GCACACAAATGGATCACACTGTATATATTTTTATTCAATAAAGAATTTATTCTCAGGTACTAATAAAAACATAAATAAAAAATTATTTCCCACAATTAAAGTAATTATATTTATAGAAAACCAATAATCAATACATTTAACTGGCAATTTACATCGCAAAACTGTTTATTCATCACATTAACACTGTTAATTTAACAGGCGAATTTATCAAATAAAAATAAAAATCCCCACGATCATTTATTGTTGAAAACCAACAATACCATCTCGTAGACAATGTCTACTAGGCATACTAACCCACAAAATGCATAGTATGTAAACTTTGAGTAAGAAAATAAAACCAGAAATAAAGGTTACGAACTTTAAGGTCGCACCTGACAAGAAATATTTTCTAATTACTGTAAGATTTATTCAGCATATTTCCTCGAAACAATTTTACAATTAAACAACAAAAATGTTATTTTTTAGACGTTTTGACATACCTGTGGGCACAACCCTAAACCACAACAAAACAAGGTCTGTTCCATTTCGTTTCGCGCATACTATAAATTACAAAGTTAGGCAACCTACTGCACAGACTTTAACGAAGGCCATTTTTATGTTTACAATTCTTGTGCTTCGGGTTTATGCTGTTTATACAGATTAATAATCGTTTTAAACGTTGTGTTTCTTACAGAGGCACTAAAAGCCTTAAAAGGGGCTTAAAAGTGAGAAGGCCAACCATTTTACTCCTTTAGTAAAAAATAAACTTTATTGTATCAGGTCTGTCAACAAACTGTCAAATGTCAATTTTAAGGTTAATTTTTGGGTATGGTAAATTTGTGGGTTATGGTAAATTAACCTTAAAATTGCCATTTGACAGTTTGATGACAGCCCTGATATAATATAAGTTTATTTTTTACAAAAGAGAAGTAAAATGGTTCTTTAGCACTTTAAGGCCTTATTTAAGGGTTACACAACGTTTAAAACGATTTTTGATCTGTTTAAACAGCACAAACCCAAAGCACAGGAATTGTAAACAGCATAAAAATGGCCTTCGTTAAAGTCTGTGCAGTTGGTTGCCTAATTTCGTGATTTTTAGTATGCGCGAAACGAGATAGACCTTGTTGTGGGAATTTTAAGTACGGGGCTTCAACGCGAATTTTTTGCATTGCGATTATTCGGAAATCGTGCAGAACTGGATGAATGAGGAAGTGCGCAATTTATGTAATAACATGTGTTTTAACAGTTTTGCCGCTTGCCATTTACGGTTTTTATATATTTTTATTTTGTTTTATTCATCACGTTTAGGTATTTGTGTACAATTAAGACAATGAGCCAACTATAGTCCTTGTTTAATGTTAAATGTTGAATTATTTTTGACTTTTTGGATTAACTTTAAAGTTGATAAGCTGTGGTTTATAACCATATAACTGGGTGAAAATAAATATTTCACATTTTCATATCCTTTTTTGACTAATATTTAGGCAAACTGAAGTTTATTCTCATGTTATTCTCAGCGAAACTTTCTTAAAGAGACTCTTATTTTTAAGTTTTAATGTCGTAGCGATAGCAGTGCAGTGTGACCAAGGAGACATTTTTCACAATAAATGCACTAAAACATTGCATTAATAAAAAGAAAGAATTTGTTTTAATTTACATGAAAAAGAAAATTAAATACTGCAAATACTTACCGAGTGACGAAAGATAACCTTCAAAAACACGCGCTGCTAGTTTGTAACGCGCAAAATAACAATAGCGATACCATTGCCTGCAGCGGCGCCATCTCGTGCGACACTTATAAACTACATGAGTTACAGAGTTATTTTATATGTAATGCTTAACTCCAGTGTATTTTATAACAAAGCTGTTTTTATTCAGGCGGTTTGTGACGTTTACAATAAATATAAGGACAAGGTGTGGTCGCGCTTAAAAAAATTCTCACAGACATTTTATCACATTCTTTATTAGTACTGAGGAGCTACTTATTTATTATTTTCTTTTAGTTTTAGATATCTGTTCCATGCCAAACCTATAAAATATAAAGTTTTCACTATTGCAATATGATGGGGACATTGGGTTATAGAGTGTGATGTCAACTTTCAACCTTAATTAAGACATTAAAAATATGTGTATATTTAATTGAAACATTTTCTATTAATTTGGTTATTTTAAGTTCTTATTAGCTGTCTTAATTTATAATTTTTTTAATAAGAAATGTTGGGGACAACTGACAAATGGCAGGCTTGTAACCAACGGGACTATGGGGGGCACGTTAGTACGTAAGTATTTAAGAAATTGAAAAGATATTTAAAAAGAAAAGAAAAAGTAATAAATTTAGAAAAAGTTTATTAATAAAGGCAACTAATACAATAGTTAATTATATTGCTACTGTACATTAATAATAATAATGAAAACATTTGTACTTGACAAGTATCATCGAATTAAGTTAATAAGGTAGAACCTTAAAAACCCACATATACAATCCAGACATGCATATATGTCGCACATCTCAACAATACAAATAATACAACAAAATCAAAGTAATCAATATGAATATAATCAATTATATTATCATATTGCTAAGATTATTCACCTACATGATAGGCTTGGACGGTGTAGAAAAGCAAATACAAATTGAAATAATTATCAATGTACAGCACCAAACAACAACAGTGTGAAACATAAAGTAAAATAATAATTAGCTCAAAAACAACAATAATAAATGGCAGTGGTAAATAAAATATATAAATACCAAGTGGTATAGTAGTGGACAACGGTAATGCAATTTAATTGTACAGTCATAAATAACAAACACAATCAGGTATGATAAAGTAATAAAATTATGTTAGTGCAAATCAAATATAGCAAAATAAAATGATTATGAATAATAATAAAATAAGACAATGTTACAAAAAATCACATCATGGGCCCTACCTAACATTCATTGTAAAAATGGGTTGATTGATAATTACTGGTAATCCCGGGCTAGACCCCTTCGAACTTATCAAAACCGTTAAACAATAGAAAGAAAATTCTAACAAGTATTTGTTGTGCAGAAATTGAAACAAAATCTCAATATATTAAATAAAGAATATTAATTATCAATATATATAATATAATAATTATAAACATAAAATAATGATTATAATAAATTTGTAATTTGGTTTGTCCAACCACAACCACAAAGAAGCTGAAATAATAATAAAATATAGTTTAAATTAAATATTAACTAATTAACCACTCATTATGATATTTGTGACCTTAGATTATAATAATAATAATAAAAATAAACATACCAGTACCACTATTTATTACACAAACTGATTTTACATTAAAATATTGAACTTGGTTATTCAAGAGTAAAATTCACTCCCTTAAAACAATTAAATAATTCAACTATTCTCTTCAAACAGCAAAATGTAACTGTCTTAAATCTATCGTCTTATCTAGGTTTTTCTACGAGTTCGCTCTTTTTAATGTTTATTTTTAAGACTAGGAACTGTACCAAAACTTTGGTATTTCCATAACGACCACTTGAGGGGTCGGCCAGATGACAATCATAAATTATTGTAGCATAATAAAAAAAAATAAAGAGTGTATCGAATTCTAAAGTGAAAACTTATACCTAACACTTAAGCTTAAAAATTTAAAGTACCAAATGTTAAAAATGCCCGTTCCCATTACAGCCTTAATAGTATAATGACCTAACTAACAGATTCATTGAGGCAACCACTCACACCATTTTTAACTGCTATTTGCTATATTCACGTTCAAACTTTAGAGATCATTTTTCTGGTAGTTTGCTACACGTTTATTGAACGTTAAGACCACGTTGCATTGACAAAGGTTTGTATGTCATCGATAAAACGCCTATTCTATCGGTAACGGTTTGACTGGCTCCAGAAGGTCTGACGTCTCGCCAGTCATATCCCTCTATAATAATAATAATAATAATAATAATATTTCTTTATTTCAAAATAATTTGTACATTTATAGTAAATTACAAAAATATTGGAAATATTGTCACAGGAGAAAAGTATAGAGCTAATATGTTAAAAATTCATTGAGATCATATGGCTCCATTTCAACTAAATAATTAAAAACATTTGATTTAAAACTATTAAAATTTTAAGACGAGTTGGTAATTTATTATAACAGACAATACATGAATAAAAACAACTTTTTTCATATATGGTTAATCTATGACTAGGATACAGGTAACAGTGCGTTCTTGTGTTTCGACTAGATTTAAGTTGTTCAAACAAGTGCTTGTTTTAAAACATAAAAATCAGTAGTTCGTATATATATAACCCAGTAACTGTCAATATTTTACTTGATTTAAACAAACCTCTACAGGACATGTCACTTTTTTTATTAATTATAATTCTAACTGTGCGTTTCTGTGTGACAAAAATGTTTTTGATATTTTTGCTTCTTCCCCAAAAAATAATCCCGTACCTTAGCAGAGATTGGAAATTTGAGAAATACACTACCATTAGTGTTGACTTATCAAGGTAATTTTTTAAAACTCGTAGCGAGTATGCTACCCCATTCAATTTGCTACATAAAAAATCTGTGTGAACACACCAATCTAGATGTTCATCTATATGTAATCCAAGAAATTTAGTCGCAGATGTAAAATTTATTCTATTTTGGTTTATTTTTGCACTAGCTGGAGTGGTCAATTGATCTTGAACTTTTTTAAACAGAATACAATTTGTTTTGTCAGCATTTATTTTTAGCCTATTCATAAAAAAATACCTTTCAGTAGCTTTCATCAAATTTCCAATCTCTGCCAGTACATCTGGGTAAGTTTGTCCCCTTACAAGCAAGTTTGTGTCATCTGCAAAGTTGACCATGACCTGATTTTTACTAGAGACCACATTCTCAATATCATTTATGTAAATAAGAAACAAAAATGGCCCTATGGTGCTTCCCTGTGGGATCCCCAGACTTATGTGCTGTGTCTCAGAACCAAAACTTTATCCGCCAGTAAAAACCCTTTTGCCGCTTTGTTTCAGCAATTCCTGTCGGCAGTCAGTAGCGGCCGTTCCGATCTGCGTCAGGTCCTTCGTTCGTCCGAATCCGGTCGCTCCTTGGTGTCCACAGGTCCGCGCCTGATACGCGACACGACGAAAAGCAACAAGGTCGTCGATACCGAGGACACGCGCGAGCTGAGCTCGGTGCAAGCGGACGGAAAGATCGTCACGGAAACGCAGCGCACGACCGAGCACGAGGAAGTCGACGACGACGAGTATCCGGACGGTTTGCCCGATCAGGATTACGAGAAAGAAAGTTCGCAGAGGTGAGCAAGAGTTGCGGGAATGCGTTACAAATTAAATGCACTGTTCGTTTGTGCAGGTTCAAGAAAACCCGAGAGCAAGAAGAGGTCGACTATCTGGCGAATGGCGTGAACATCGGCCACGAGATGCGCTTCAAGACGGAAACGATGGAGGTGGAACGTCGCGGCGACGGATTGGACGAAGTCGACTTTGATACTCTATCCGCCAGGGTGCGCAGAAGGCAGAACAACGCCAGACCTCAGCCGCAACCTCAACGATACAGAGGTAAGTGCATATGATAATTACGAACGAAAACATATTTTAATACTGTTGTGTGAAACAGAACGAGTTAATGTCTTTTTTGCCTTTTTATGCTTGGTAGGACGGCTTCAATGGTGCTCTAGGGTTTATTTAAATGTTTTTTAGATTTTTAAAACTTAATTTCATATCCCTTGGATTTGTGTGTGAATTTTAGTTCAAACTGTATAGAACATATGCAGTATATGCAGATTTATATAAATCTTGACACTGTCTAATACGAAGAGGTTACCAACATAACTATGAACGAAACAAGCCTTAGAAAATGTTAAATCTGGTTGAGGCAAAAAAACACCATAAATATGTCAACATTTTACAAGAAGTGTATGGAGTTTTCACATTGTTTTTGGGCTTACTCATAATACCATTTTATTTTACGTTCAATCCTGAAGATGAAAACTGGGTTGTAGTGAAAATATGGCTGTTTTTCTTCGAAGGGTTCATAATACAAAACTGTTTCAAAGGTGTGGTTAGGAAGAAGGAGGGAATCATTTTGGACCACCCGAAAATGATGCGCTTTTATCTAAAGAGCTACTTTAAATTTGACTTTTTTTGATAATCATAACCCAAGATTTCACAAACATAATATTGGCTTTTACATGGCTTTTACTGTTAACAAGACTTGCAACTTTAAATCAGTTAAGCTACAGCATTCTTATAAGGCTGCGTGCACCAACACTGTCGAGATTGTCAACTACTTTTTCACTATGATGTTTCTTATACACTTCTTTTCCTGTTTAATTTATCAAATACCAGATTATATACATTTTCTAACCGGTGTACACCCAATTAATTCCTGGTTGATCACTCATAATCTGTTAGATGAAGACGTTATCGAAAAGTATTTTGCATGCGTTAAGCTTACTATGTCGCACTTTTTTGGCTCCGGATTGGCAAATTATAACCTCAAGGAGCAATTAAACGAACAGATCAGTTTCACTATAATTTTATTATGCGGCAGAACATAAACCCTGTTCGTATGGTCAAGACTTTTAGTTATTTTTAGTTTAATAAACTTGTCACAAACAAAATACAAAACCAAATCTACCAATTTATGCGCATCAATAAGCCTCCAAAGGCCATCACAGACATAATAATGAAGTTCTACGAGTACATATTCCAGAAGTATTACTTTGATGAAAGCGATATTCTAAATAAGATGCCCATTCATATGAGAAACGAAGTACATTTGTATTGCTGCAGAATCTTGATTGAGAAAACTGATGCCTTCAGAAACTTGTCCAAAAGTGCAATGGGTGAAATAATGGAATACTTTAAGCAAGAAATATACATTCCTCACAATGTGATCATCAAATGCGACGATTTTATCGAAAACATCTACTTTATTTCCTTTGGAACGGCAATGTATATGGTGACTGTAGTTGCACTGGAGATTACTGAACTCTATAAAGTTGCCAAATCTGAATTGCTTAAGCTTTTTCTTGAATATCCCGATGTCAAACAGAAGATTTAAAAAAAGGCTTTCAAGGATTACAAAAAGTTTATGCAGTTGCATAATTTCAATGCCGAGGCTATGCCAATCAATACGTTTATTGCGAATTTGCATGATCGGAGGTTGATGGAGGAGATTCAGAAGAAACCAGCATGTATTAACTGTTTTTATTACTCATATTTATTTTATTCAAAAATGCTATTGAATGATCAATACAGCGTTCTCAAAATGTGCCTTCAAAGTGGCCAAATTGACATTTATATAAATTCTGAAACTGTCATAAATTCACAAAAATTAAAACATGGAGCCAGTCCATTTATGTGAGCTAAAGAACAAGTTTTACGAAGAGGTGACCAACATCCCTCCAAACGAAACAAGCCTTAGAAAATGTTTAATCTGGTTGAAGAAAAAAAACACCATAAATATGTCAAGCAAAGAAAGCAAAAGATATTTCGTGTATCGGCAAGATATTGTAGCCGAAAGAAACCGGCATTACGATAGTAAATTTTTCTACATTACGCATCCGTTTAGTGCTATAAACATTTTTCAAGAAGTGTATGGAGTTTTCACATTGTTTTTGGGCTTACTCATAATACCATTTTATTTTACGTTTAATCCTGAAGATGAATACTGGGTTGTAGTGAAAATATGGCTGTTTTTCTTCGGAGGGTATATAATACAAAACTGTTTCAAAGGGGTGGTTAGGAAGAAGGAGGGAATCATTTTGGACCACCCCAAAATAATGCGCTTCTATCTAAAGAGCTACTTTATATTTGACTTAACCAATTTTTTGATATTCATATTCCAAGATGTCACGAACTCAATATGGGCTTTTACATGGCTTCTACTGTTAACAAGACTTGCAACTTTAAATCAGTTAAGCTACAGCATTCTTATAAGGCTGCATGTCGGCACCAACACTATCGAAATAGTCAACTACTTTTTCACTATGATGTTTCTGATACACTTTTTTTCCTGTTTAATTTATCAAATACCAGATTACATACATTTTCTAACCGGGGTGCACCCAATTAATTCCTGGTTGATCACTCATAATCTGTTGGATGAAGACGTTATCGAAAAGTATTTTGCATGCGTTAAGCTTACTATGTCGCACTTTTTTGGCTCCGGATTGGCAAATTATAACCTCAAGGAGCAATTAAACGAACAGATCAGTTTTACTATAATTTTATTGTGCGGCAGAACATACACCCTGTTCGTATGGTCGAGACTTTTAGTTATTTTTGGTTTCATAAACTTGTCACAAACAAAATACGAAGAGATACAAAACCAAATCTACAAATTTATGCGCATCAATAAGCTTCCAAGGGCCATCACAGACAGAATAATGAAGTTCTACGAGTACAAATTCCAGAAGCATTACTTTGATGAAAGCGAGCTTCTTAATAGGATGCCCATTCATATGAGAAACGAAGTACATTTGTACAGCTGCAGAATCTTGATTGAGAAAACTGAAGCTTTCAGAAACTTGTCAAAAGGTGCTATGGGTGAAATAATGACATACTTTAAGCAAGAAATATACATGCCCCATGATGTGATCATTAAATGCGACGATTTTATCGAAAACATATACTTTATTTCCTTTGGAACGGTAATGTACCTGAACAGGAAAGGCAATGAGGTCCTACATTACACTGACGGAAACCAAATCGGAATTTTGTCTTTTTTCTTTTCCTCAGAAGAACGGTATATGATGACTGCAATTGCACTGGAGATTACTGAAGTCTATAAAATTTCCAAATCTGAATTGCTTAAGCTCTTTGTCGAATATCCCGATATCGAACAGAAGTTTTACAAAAAGGCATTCAAGGATTACAAAAAGTTTATGAAGTTGCATGATTTCAATGCCGAGGTTATGCCAGTCAATACGTTTATTGCGAATTTGCACGATCGGAGGTTGATGGAGGAGATTCAGAAGAGACCCATCATGAATTGACTTTTTTTATTACTTTAATTTTATTTAAATGTGGTGTTTATGGATTAATAAAGCGTTCATGACAGGATTTAGTTTTACTTACCAATATGTATATTTAGGTTTTTTGCATGACTAGTTTAGGTATACTGCTATGGCTGGTACTTGGTTCTCTTGGATTAATCTGCTTTCTTAAACGCTTTAGACTTGCTTTCTTTCCTTACACCTTGATCTTCACACAACAAATTTTATCCTTGCATATTTCCCATCAGGTATCGAAAATGGTTCCCCCTTAGACCGGAAAGACGCCATTACCCGCCGCCCCTTAGATTTCGATCAGGAGGAGGAAACCCGCAAAGTGGAGACCTCCAAATGGCTGGAGCATCACTTCGGAAGCGACAGTCGTTCCTCCAATAACTCCACTGTCGACGAGGAGGAAAGCACTAACCCCGCCCCAAAAACCTCCTTTTTCAATGTAACGATTAAATCGTCGCCGCAGAGAACCGAGTCCCAGCCATTACCGCCGCCACTGCCCGTCTCGCAAAACGTTCAGACCCACGTTCAAAAAAACTCCTCGTACGCGGTGAACCATCACCATCATGCGCAGGTAGTGAACGGGATCGGTGGGGGCAATTCGCAGATGTACAGTAATAACGTGCAAAGGGTTTATAGCCCCGTTGAGCCCGAGAGAGATCGTAATCATCAGGGCTACTTTAAAGGTAATTTGTAAATAATAGTATATTTTCGAAAAATAGGTTTTTCTTGTACTTCGTCCAATAAGTATTCGGCCTGGCAACTAAATGGTGTCTTTGTACTACCTTCGAGATTTTAACTGGACTTGTAAGGTTGATTTTGTTCAGGACCCACTTACTGCTTCATTAACATTATGTCTAACCCATACTTGTCCTAGGACAGGGTTTGGTGTTGTCAGTTTATCTTTATTGTGGCTCAAGGCCCTTTTGTCTAAGGAGATCCCTTTTGTGATAATAGTTTTGGGTATTATTAAATATAAAATTTTTGGTCCTCGTCTGCCAATCCACCTCTCCGGAAAACATTTGTCCAAAAAAGTACGGAAAGGACGAGCATAGTGCGGAGGTGCCCCGTCCTGTTGATACCAAATGGTATCACTTGGTAGATAGGGACCATTCCCATCGGAAAACATTTCTGCTAATGTGGGAAGAAGAGAGTTTTGCAAAAACAGAAGATAGCTTCGCCCGAAAAAAGTATTTTACGAGGAAAGTGTGGATTATTGTTACATAAATTCATCATAGTTTCCCCAAATTGCAGTCTACTGTCCGGATCATCTTCGTTAAGTTCCTGCACTAGTCTTATTTTGTATGGATGATACTTTTCTTCATAAGACGTAATACTGAGCGTTCACGGAAAAAAAATCTATTCTATATTAAAGATTAATCATCTCAGTCCAAGTATATGTTCATTTCACCATTCCGCAAGTATAGATACTTTTTATTTAGGGATTGATTTATTCTTATTTGTAATTTAAATTAAAACTTATTTGAAGGATATAGGGAGTTGAATGCAAGAACTAAGTTGTAAGGGTAAACTTATTCTTATATCAAGAAAAACTATCATATTATTTAAATGCAAGCACATTCAAATAAAATATACACTCACGGTAGGTCTAAAACCAGTCAATATTGACCGGATTTGCAACACGTTTTTTATGACAGATTTCAAAAATATATATTAAAATAAGCTCAAACACCTGTTTATAGCAAAATTGCCCGAGCCGTTTCGTCGGAAATCGAAATTTAGAGCAGAAAATTACAAAAATTAATAATTTTGCTTGCAAATCAATAAGGTTTACTAAATAAGAGTCATTATGACATTATAACAATCAAAATCGAGTCCTTCGCGCGAAGAGATTTTACTATTTTCCCGTGAGGTGGCGCAACAACGAAAGGTCATCTGTCAAACTGTTTACTTTACGGACAAAGTTGCTGAACTACACATTGAGGTTTACGTTACAGAATAGTTTATTGTCAAACTCTGGACCTCATAATAATTAACGTTTAAATAATGTATGTGGAAACTCAATCTTGGACCCATTAAGAAAATCGCGAAAAAGTTTGCTTGTTATGTTTTAAACAGAAGGATATGCCAAAAATTACTGTGCAATGTGCAAGGTGTAGAAAATCTTTGCAAAAAGGAATAGCACATTTTTGTTATAAAATGCAAATCTAGTCGAGTCAATTCAATCACAATTGCCTCCAGGAACATTTAGTAACTGATCTGATTACAAATATAAGCAATATCAATATTTAAGAACCCCGTGCTGAAATGCACTTATCTCGACGCCATGGTAAACCTCTGAAACTCACACTCAATAACAATACAGAAAAACGAGATTAACAAATTCGTGCAGAAGATGTTTTAAAGATTGGTACAGATTTGGACTTTCAACAAATACTGTAGTGGGCTCCGACTCTTCTTACTTCCGACCCAGAAGAAAAATAAGGAGACCATCGCTACGGAAAGTTTATTGTAGAAACATTGATGGAAACTCATTAAAAATAAAAGAGATAAATGAACCCATTTGAAATTTGGTATTGACGGGGGAGGGGAATTTTTGAAAATCAGTCTCTCGTTGCAAAAAAACAACGCCATTGATGGGCCCTAACATAGATTCTCCTATAAGGATTCTGATGCAACAACCAAGTTCAAGGACAGTGGTTTTAAAATGTTATTTCTACTGGGAGTAATTGCTAATACGGAAGAAAAGTCTGAATATAAACAAATATAATGCAAAAATAGCCAGAGCTTAAAGCTAGTGAATATTATATATATCCGCATTTTCTCTTTAAAATATGGCTCAAAGATTTTTCTGTTTTTTTGTAAAAGTACGAAGAACCGCAGCTACACCCACCACAGTATTTGTTGAATGTCCAAAATCTGTCCCAATCTTTAAAACCTCTTTTGCACGAATTTGTTTATCTCGTTTTTTTCGTATTATTATTGCGTGTAACTTTTGATGGTTTACCACGGCGTCGAGATAAGTGCATTTCAGCACCGGGTTCTTGAATATTGATATTGCTTATATTTGTAATCAGATCAGTTAATAAATGTTCCTGTACTTTTGGAGGCAATTCTGATTGAAATGAATCGACTAGATTTGCATAATTGTGCGTTTTATAACAAAAATGTGTCCTTTTTGCAAAGATTTTCTACACCTTGCACATTGCTTGGCAACTTTTTTCTTGACACTGATATTTTTCTGTATAAAATCCCAGTGTTCGTACGAACTCGCATAATTTGCACGGACATTTTATTTTATATTGTTTCCTTGTATGTTTTGGTAAAGAAGGAAATGTAGAAATTGAGTATCTGAACAGCACACGAATTCGGATCCTTTTTTTCGTTAAATATATATTTTGCAAGCACTGCATATGAGTCGTGGAAGACGGTAGTCTTTAGGATTAAAAGGAAAAATGTCCTGAACCGCGCTCTGAAGAGCTCCAGAAATTTTTCCGCCTTCTTTTTGAAACATAACAATCAAACTCATTCGCGATTTTCTTCATGGTACCCAGCATGAGTTTTCACATACATAATTTTAACGTTCATTGTTATAAGGTACAGAATTTGACAATAAACTATTCGGCAGCGTACACTGTTCAAAATTTCATGACCAATTTAACACCAAATTAACACCATACGTGGTCTATATCGATACAAACCAAAATGGTGTTAAATAAGGTTCGTTGGTCCGGTGTCAATTCAAATACTAAAATGGTGTTAAATAAGGTTCGTTGGCGGTGTAAATTCAAATACTAAAATGGTGTTAATTTAACTTTCACACAGTATTAAAATAAATTTTACCTGGTGTAAATTGAACTCCTTTTCAGTGTTAAATATTATGTGTTTGTGGTCAAATTATCATTCTACACAGAAAAAAGGAAAAAAAAAGGAAACAGGAAGTTCCTTGACGCATTACTAGTATATTACCAGTGGTATTATTCCAGAAAATGAAACCTTCAACTCGCTAGAGATAATGTTTTTAGTGCGTTCCACTAACTTAAAATACTTCAAGTATTGACAGCTTTTTCCACCTATTTAAGGTCTCTTTACTATAGTATCGAACAACTTGTAGTGTCACACCAAAGCAAAGGATTACCTATGTTTATATATTCTTCATGTAAGTCAACAGAGGCGAGATTTAAGAACATCACGTGATCCACAAAAATATAAATACTTATGGGTCAACTGGGTTAAATGAACTATTCCTTTTTTTCTGGGTAGGTGCACTTCTCAAATATTTTTAGATAAACACCGTTTTGGTGTTCATTTTCAACCCTAATTCATGGTGTTATATTAACACCACTTGGTGTTGGATTTTGACACCATTTTAGGATTACTTTTTACACCGCAGATATTTTACAGTGTATAAGCTCAATGTGTAGTTCAGCAACTATGTCCGTAAAGTGGACAGTTTGACAGATGCCACCTGACGGAAAAATAGTAAAATCTCTTCGCGCGGAGGACTCGATTTTGATTGTTATAATATCATTATAACTCTTATTTAATAAACAACCTATGGTAAAATGTTGAATAATTGCTTTGCAAGCAAAATTAATTATTTTTGTGATTTTTTGCCCTAATTTTCGATTTCCGACTAAACGGCTCGGGTAATTTTGCCATAAACGGGTGTTTGAGCTTATTTTAATATATATTTTCGAAATTTGTCATAAAAAACGTGGTGCTAATCCGGTCAATATAGACTGGTTTCAGGCCTACCGTGCGCTATGCTTAATTTAAGAGTAAGTCTTTTTTGATACAAATGTTATAATTCTTGGCGATACAATATTTACTTTTGGATTAAATATAAGGTATCTTTATGTTTGTTTATTGTTACACATATTGTCTATTCTTTTTTCAACTTTTGCTCCACTTTAAATAAAGGTTAGGATATAATGGTAAAAGGTAAAGAGTGGATTTTGCTATCTCTTTTTTTTTCTATTTCGTTGTGAGTAGTTTATTAACTAACACAAGAAACAATCTTCTACGAGTAAAATGTCGGACACTTTCGTTTAAGAATAGGCCAGTCGTACCAATATTTACTAATCTTAGAATAAATATAATTATATTTATATCCAGTATAGTTTTATATCTTTAAGAACGGAATAGAGGGAATTTTCCAAAATTTGGTCTAATCGATTGTTAATCTTAAATTAAGAATAAGATTATTTCATTTAAAGTCTTTCTAAACATTTAACAGGCAAGAATAAGATCTGCTTGTTCAAAGATTAATATTTAGTTTAATGTTAGTTTTAGCCTTGACAATATTAGGTCAATCATCTTGTTTCAACTGTAGTTGATTTTAAGCTAATAAATAAAATCTTTTTATTTTATGGATAGGCAAACTATTCTTTAATCAAGTGAATTTTTTTAAGAATAAAGGTATTCTTACATTTAGAAAACATTTTTTTCCGTGCTGGCTGACTTGACTTTCAGCTGTGACTAGGATAGAATCACTGTGAGGATCTTCTTCACACGTAACAAAATTTAAATTTTAGTGTTTTTCCTAATACTTGGACCGCCAGGTTTTGGAATATCTTTGTCATGTCCATTCTCTCTGAATTTTCGTTCAATTTTACCAACCGTAGCACGAGCTGGATACTTTGCATTATATAAATTGCAAACTTCTTGCTGTGTTCGAGTTTTATTGCCACATCCTATGAGAATTAAAACTTCAATTCTCTGTGTTTCCATTAAATGGTCCATATTTAAATACTTCGAAATATTTAGAGAACGCTTAAGAGACAGATACTTCACGTAACGTTTTAATAATTAATATCTCTGAAATGAATTTGTTCCATAATTTTGCCGGTCTTGTCTCATCACTCTCAAAAATGGACTTTTTTTCTTAAATTTTTAAGGTATTTCCGAATGGTCGGAACGTCGTCACCAAGAAAACTACGTCACCGATCGGCGTTCTCCACTGCCATATCACCAACCAGTCCGATCTGCGTCGCCCATTATAATCGATCACCCCCGTAGATATTCGCCGGCCCCCGATTACCGCAATCACCAAAAATCGCCGATTCCCGACTACTTGCCTCCTCGTCACTCACCAATCCCAGACTACAGGTAAACTAAATTACTAATTTGGTTACTAATTGGTCTCTAAATGAGAGTTTGATTTTTAGGGCTCATTCGCCGGCTCCAGACTACACGAGATCGCTTCGTAGGTCACCAAAACGGGAAGTCTTGGTCACTCCGACTCCACCGCAAAGGAAAAGACAGAGTGAACGGCAGAGACAAAGAGTTGTCGAAGAAAGAACCAGGTATAGTTTTTTTTAAACATTTTGATTTCTAGGAAGATCTGTTGAGTGTCATTGTACGAGTTTAATGTGAAAAAAATCTGGAAATTTTTAATATTTTGGAAATTCTGAATGGTTTAAAAATTTTAAAAATTAAATTAAACTTCTGAATATTTAAATAGTTTAAAATTTTTTATTAATTTTGAAAATTTTAAAATTATAAGAAATTCTGAAATTTCGAAAATTTTGTATATTCTAAATATTCCAAAATTTTTGGAAATTCTGATTTAAAAAAATTCAAAATTTTAAACTTGCCAGTTATAAATTCCAAGTATTTATTTTATAAATTTCGGATGAATATTTTGTAAATTTTAATAAAATTAAAATTTATAAAAATTTTGGAAATTCTGAATATTTAAAATTATTTGGATATACTGGAATTTTTAAAAAATTTGTAATTTTAGAAATTCTGGAAATTTTGGGAATAAAAAAAATTAAGAAATTCTGAAATTTCGAAAATTTTGTATATTCTGGACATTCCAACATTTTTGGAAATCCTGATAATTTAAAATTTTAGAAATGCCAAAAATAAGTATTTTGGAAATTAAAAAAAAATTAAAATTATAAAAATTCTGAATATTTAAAAATATTTGGATATTCTGGAATTTAAAAAAAATATTTTTTTTTAATCATAAAAACTTTGGAAAAATGTATATTTTGAAAATTATAACAATTTTAAGAAGCTTTTGCAACTTTTGAAAATTATAGGTATTGGAAATTTTTGAAATTATAAAAATTTTAAAAATTTAGAAATCTCAAGTTTTGGATGGATATTTTGGAAATTTAAAAAAAATCTAAAAATTATAAAAAATTTGGAAATTCTGAATATTTAAAATTATTTAGATATTCTGGAATTATTTTTTTTTTTAAATTCTGGTAATAAAAAACTTAAAAAAATGTTAATTTTAGAAATTCTGAGCATCATTTAAAGTTTTGGATGGATATTCTGGAAATTTAAAAGAAATTAAAAATATAAAATTTGAAAAAATTATAAAATTGGGAAATTTAAAAAAATTGCAAATTTGAAAATTTAAAAAATTAAAATATTTTTGTGAATATTCTGGTTTAAAGTTTAAATTTTAAAAAATTTGGAAATTCTGAGTATTTAAAAAATAAATTCTAGAAATATTGTTAATTTCGGAAATTATAAAAAAAATTAAGAAATTCTGGAATTTCTGAAATTTTGGATATTCTGAATATTTCAAAATGTTTGTAAATTCTAAAATTTTGAATTTTCTGGATATTTTATGTTTTTGACATTCTGTAAATTTTGAAAATTTTAGAAATTAGTTATGTAAATTTTTAGTTTTAAAAATTATAAAATTTTTAAAGATTCTGTAAATTTTAAAAAATTTCAAAATTATAAAAATTTTGGAAATTTTGTAAATTCTAAATATTTTAAGTTTTGAAAATTGGGGATTTTTTTAAAACTTTCACGCGTTGCACTCCCACTGATATAAATTTTCGAACGACGCATAAACATGACTTACGCGTTACGCCTAATTTTCCATGAAAGTTTTTAAAACTAAGTAGCTGAATTTTTCTTCCGTAAAGGTATGATAGCGGTTATAGGAGTAGAAGAGACGATAGCAGGGAGAGAATAGAAGAACCGCCGCCGGATTATTCGCCGCCAAGCCCGCCTCCGATGCCCAGCGAAAAAAAACAGATGCAAAAAACTAGATTTGCCGCCGATCCCCCGAAGGCCAAAAGCGGGAACATTATCGGTAAGTTTAAAAGTTTCCTTTTTTTTAAATAATATTTTATTTTTGTTGTTTGCATGCGCTACAAAGATACCCGGCCAGGGGCGTAGCTACCGCGGTATCAGCCGTATGAATGATACGGGGCCCCCGGCTAGGGGGGGGGCCCGATTGGCTTCGACATATTACCCACATGTTACAAAAATTGAGGCATCAAATTAAATAAATAATATTAATATTATTTAATTGTTTATTCTCCGATTTATTAAATTAAAATTTTTCTGAATACCCTCCTGTTTCAACGAGGCCGTTAACTCATACGAAATGTTTCTGCCCGCACCTTTCCGCTATGCGTTGTCTGCGGCGCAGTCTGCGCATATTGTTCTGTGCTCTGCGCCGCATACTGATTTTGCTTTGAGTGTTATTATTATAGGTTATATTAATAGCAAATTAGAAATAATTATTAACGTTATTTCAAATGTCTTGCCTTTATTTTAAAATAGAAACCTTTTAAAAGATGTTGAAGAACGGTAAATGTCTAAAACCGTACATAAAAAGCTATTTATATAAGGGTGAATATATTGAGATGTCCTCCAAGTGAAAATGATTATTTTTTATTTTTGGTTGTTTCACTGTTAGTCTAGAATGGGTTTTTTGGGAAGCCAGGTCTAGTAATAACATAACATAAGTGGTTCTGCACTAATGCAAGAATTTTAAGAAATCATAAATTTTGAATATTAGAGCTTCACGGAAGATAGCTTTACGGGGTTAGGATTTTGTATAATTTTTTTAAAACCTTTGTATATTTTAAATAAGTTATTGTATCTTTTGACACCTTAATATTTTTAAAAATACAATTCTACATACATAAAATATTTATAAAAAAATCTACTTACTGAGATATTACACTTCACGGTGGATAGGTGTTTAAATAGCAAATTAATGAACTTAAACTTTTGAATTATAAAACAGCAACAGTTCTAACTGACCTTCAGGAATCACATTCATCTATAATGTCGTAAACAGAGGTTTTTGCTTATTTAAAATGATTAAAGCGCCATCCGTTGCATAAAATTTAAAGCAAAAACAGATTCACGGAGGATAGAATCATGTTTTGGAACACTTACATAAATGGTTATAAAAATTATTTCTTTTAATTTTTAATAATATTTTATATTTGATTCGATTGCTTTGGATGTGTTTAATTTACTTAAGTAAATTAAACACTAAAGTAAACTGATATTTTTAGTATGCTTTTACTACCTCAGATATTTGAAAACATAGGTTAGCCTAGAAAGAGTAACAGTCACGGAGGATAGGTTTTAGACTTTTAAAACATTATAAAAAATAATTAATTTCGGTTAAAAATCTGGAACCTGAGCTGTAATATATACTTAATTATGAAAGATCAAAACACAATAAAAGTGTAGGTCAAACTCATATAGATTTATTAAATATCACGGGATAACACCATCGGGGGACATTTCGTGAGATTCACCCACATATATTATTTATTAAATGATAAAAATTGGTAAAAACAAAAAAATGATACCCTAAAAATTTCCGGTATAAGAGCCCCTACCAGATTTTTTATACGGGGCCCCCTCGAAGCTAGCTACGCCACTGTACCCGGCACTGATGAGAACCAAAAGTCCACAGTGACGGGTGAATGGCATTTTCGCATAATAAATTTATATTTTTTTGGATATTTTAATTGGTGCACCAATTAAAATAACCAAAAAAATATAAACAAACAAAACTATAACGAAATGCCCACGCTAATCCTTAAAAAAATCCTTGCAAAGCAATTTGCAAACAACTTTAACATTCATTTAACCGCCAAGTTAAAACAGTAAGGCATTTATTGTTGAAATATTCCTAAAATGTCTTTGTTTGTATACTTATTATCTAACAAAAAAGCAGGTGGCATAAATTTATTCGGTGATTCATAAATTTACAAGTAATGCAAACAGTCAGCTTTATTCAATGTACAGGTAACTTTTTTCTTTAGAAAAACACATTCTTTCTGATTTGTTGACAAGTTTTTCTTCTATTTTTACTTGTTGTTGGTCTAAAAGTTGGGATGCAAAATTCCTGTACCCCTCTTTTTGAATGAAAAAAATTAATTGTTTTATATCGTTTTCTGTTTGTCGGACATTTATAAATAGATATAGATATAGAGCGCCAAAGTTAACAAAACAAATTTTTTATAAATTTTAATTTTAACACAGTTTGATATACACAACTTTTATATTAAGCATTTCTTTTTGAAAAAAACAACAAATTTGTTAAATTTTTTAAATTTTGGAAATTCTAGAAAATAAAGGATTTCTAAAATTCTGAAAATTAAAAATTAATATATACTTACCTAAACTGTTAAAAACTTAAAATTTTCGAAAATAAAAAAAAATTGGAAATTCTAGAAAATTTGAAAATTCTTAATAAAAAAAATCAGGAAAGTTTAAAAATTTGACAATTATAAAAATTTTGAAAATTGTTTTAAATTTGAAAATTAAAACATTTTGTTAATTCTGAATTCCCGGTACCTATTTAAAAAAAAATCCGGAAATTAAATTTTTTTTAAAATTTTGAAAATAATAAAAATTTAAAAAATTCGGAAATTTCGAAAATTGTGAATTTTAAAAATTCTGAATAGGTATTTTAAGTTTTGGAAATTATGGAAATTTTTTAAATCTATAAAATTTTGAACATTTTAGAAATTTTTAAACATTTTAAAATTTTTAGAAAACAGGTCTGTAAATTTTAAAAATATTTTTTGAACTTGGAATATTTTAAGTTTTGGAAATTGGGTAAATTTTTAAATTCTTTTATGAAAATTCTATTCTATTTTGAAAATTTTTGAACATTTTAAAATTTTTAAAAAACCTGTAAATTTTGGAAATTAAAAAAATTTAGAAAATCTGAATATTTTTAAGTTTTTGACATTCTGTAAATTTTTAAAATTCCGAATATTTAGTTTTAAAAATTATAAAAAAAAATTGTAAATTCTGTAAATTTAAACTATTTTGCAAATTATAAAAATTTTAAAAATTTTGCAAATACGGAATATTTTAAGTTTTGGAAACCAGAAAATTTAGGAAATTCTAAATTAAAAAAAAGTAAAAATTTTGGATTTTCAGAATATTTTAAGTTTTGTAAATTTTCGAAAATTTTGCATATTTTTTTCCAATGGCAAAATCCTGCCTGTTTTTTTATAGTTTGACTGTACTAAAGGTATGCGTTCCAATTATAAAATCAAACAATAATTTGTCTGCCCGAGGCAATCAACAAATTCCTGCAATATTTTTTTTTTAAAGATATTTTACAATACTACTTTCTAGTTATCCGTGCCCAGCCTTCTTCTGCAAAGCAATTATATTTGTTATACCTTCTCTAATAATAATAATTTTTTCAACTAGTTTATTTTTCTTCTTTATTTTGAAACGTCAGTATTCCCTGATTTGTAGAACACCCTGTATAATACGGTTATACAAATCGAGTCATTAAGTCGCAAAATTATGCAGCGAATGTAATTTTATTATTCAGTAGTGTTTAAAATACCAGTTCGCATGCTCGGGTGTTCGTTGTTTAGTAAGAAAAAAAATGTTTTGGAATAATAGTTTTATAATATTGTAATGCTAATGTTATTTTTGATACAAAGGTAATTTAATATTTTGTTTACTAGATTTTTTCTTAACTTCACTAAAACTATTAGGGCAATTTTCCGAAATTTTTTATTTAAAATTATATATTATATTTTAATTGTACTACTTTTTTTAAGGGGTGAATTTTATAACATCAAAAACTTTAAAAATATATAAATTGTCCAAGGCAGTCTCAACTAATTAAATATTTATATATATACACTATATTTCTACGAAAAATACTGGGTGTTACTATTCCATAAAAAAACACAAATATTAAGAAATACTTCCTTAGAACGTATCTAGAATAACTAATTATACAAACAAAGTAAAAAGTCATTAAAATAAATAAACTTTCAGCAGTTATTTATTTTTACATATTGCCAACAAAAATTATTGTTAATAATGTTAAAGGATTAGTTAGTAATTCGTGTTTTCTTGTCTGAACTGTTTGTCTAAAGTGCTAAACAACATCCCAAGGTAATTTTGATTTATTAGTAAATTTAAAAATTAAATTTATTTATTTGTATATTTAATTTTTTTTTCTAAAATACAAACAAATACATTTTTTTGTTTCAAAAAAGGGAATTCCGAATTTTTTCGATGACAAAGTTTGATCCCAGCGCATCCACCATTTTTTCACATTTACCAATTTGAATTTGGGGAGTTTCAAAAATTTAAAATATATATTTCTTCGTGCCATATCTTTCCTATTGTTGTATTTTTTTGCAATAAAATTCGATTAACATGGCGAAAAGAACCTAAGCCCTTTTATATTACCAATGGCAATTTTATACAATCTAAAGCATTAGTTAAGTTTTATATTAGTATCTAGGTTACTTAAAGTGATATTATTTAATTTTAAAACTCTTATATATAACTTATAAAACTTTTGCTTAACACTCAAAACTAGTGTTGCCAGATTCGCTAATTTTGCCTTGAATTTGCTGTTTTAATGTTTATAACGCACTTTTAAAATATTTCTGCTAATACTTTTTGTCACTTTTTACCACTCAAAACTAGTGTTGCCAGATTCGCTAATTTTGCCTTGAATTTGCTGTTTTAATGGTTATATTGCACTTTTAAAATATTTCTGCAAATACTTGTCAACCAATCTTAAATTAAAATTATATAAAGCTTTGCAACAAATACATTTTTTTGTTTCAAAAAAGGGAATTCCGAATTTTTTCGATGACAAAGTTTGATCCCAGCGCATCCGCCAATTTTTCACATTTACCAATTCGAATTTGGGGAGTTTCAAAAATTTAAAATATATATATCTTCGTGCCATATCTTTCCTATTGTTGTAAGTTTTTTTTGTAATAAAATTCGATTAACATTTAATTTATATAAATACAACATGGCGAAAAGAACCTAAGCCCTCTTATATTACCAATGGCAATTTTATACAACCTAAAGCATTAGTTAAGTTTTATATTATCTAGGTTACTTAAAGTGCTATTATTTAATTTTAAAACTTTTATATATAACTTATAAAACTTTTGCTTACCACTCAAAACTAGTGTTGCCAGATTCGCTAATTTTGCCTTGAATTTGCTGTTTTAATGGTTATAACGCACTTTTAAAATATTTCTGCTAATACTTTTTGTCAACCAATCTTAAATTAAAATTATATAAAGCTTTGCATCGAAAGCTGACACTATGCTAATTTTTTTCAATTACCAAGGATATTTGTTTTATTTAGCACCTAAATAATTATCAATTTTTATAAAAAAAATAACAATAGTTTTTTAAAACAGGTAACCGCAGACTGTTTAAAACTCTTTTATAAACTTCTGGTAGCTGTTACTATAGGTTATATAAAATGTTTCTGGAAATAATTATTTAACCAAATTGTGTTATGTAATTAATGTAATTCATTAAAATGGGTAGTTCCGTGGGGCCCATAAAGAACCACCTGAAACTTTTTTTTTTAAATTCTAAAGACTAAAAATAATTTATAAAAATCTTTATCCTACCAAAAAGTACGTCACTGATCGACTAGGATCGACTAGGAACCAGCGTTTCCAGATTCTGTCAAAAAAGTTGCCTAATTTAGCATAATTAAAAAATTTACAAAATCAACTATGCAAATTGTTAATTTGGCGTTTTTATTAATTGTTTATTATGTCATTTTTGCAATGAAAGTAAATTCAAACAAAATCTGGCAACTTTTATGACAGAATCTAGTGCTGTCTGTAGGTATTTGAAGTTGGTGGAACGCAAAAACAAAAACAAAATTACAATACCTGTATGGCAATGTTACTAAATATTTTTTTTTTAAATGCTTAGTAAATTTCAACAAACGTTGTAGTGAATTTACAAAACTGAGTTTTTTTTATTACTATATTGTGGTGGGTAAAAACTTCCTAAACATTTTTAGTACAATTACAATAGAAATTTTTAACACTTCACTGTCGATTTTATAAAACAAATATATACCCTTTATATAACTTATCGTTACCATAAGTAATACAAATTGAGTTGCCTGAAAATACCACTTAGTATTAACGAAAATTGCAGGTCAGTCCATTCGTAAGCTTGTAGGAAAAATTCGTTCGGCTTCAGCTGAAAGAAAAGCTCGCCAGCGTGCCAAAAGGTCGCCGAGTCCCTCCTATCAAAAAGGACACGTGATCGATAATAACATCGGACATACGATGGAAAGACATCCACCAGTTCAAAGGTAACAACACTTTTTTTATGGATTTTTAGGTAGGGTTTTCTAGTAGTAAATTATAGTAAAAGGTTACCAATAAGCTGTTTTGTTACAACTACAATTTACAAATAAAAAAAAGTTACATCATTTTTATAAATTGTTTTAGGTATTATTTGGGAGAAGACCCATTTGCTGGTAGCATCTATGGTAGAGAGAATAAATATGATGGGGTGAGGCCGGTTAGAAGTTCTAGAAAACCCAGAGAAGAAGACAAAAGGTAGGAATTTTTTTTTTATTATTTAAAACTGTTAAATTTAAATAAAAATAATAGGAAACAACCCTTAAAAGTTTGATTACATTTTGGGGCCGGTCATGGCTAGTGTTGCTAGGTATAAAGAAATTTTACAAAACAAAATTTGATTTTTTTTATTTTTCTAAAAGTGAAAAAATAAATAGTTTTATCTCGTTCCCTATTGGTCGGACAAAAAAGTTTAAATGCAAAAAATGTAGACCTTGAAATTTTTAACATATTTGTTTGTAGACAAAACTTTCTATATTTAGATTATGAATATACAGGGAGTTATGTAATTAATGTAATATATTAAAATGGGTAGTTCCTTAAGGTACATAAAGAAGCACCTGAAACTTTTTTTTCTAAATTCTAAAGACTAAAAATTAATTTAAAATAACCTTTTCATACCAAAAAGTACGCCACTGATCGACTAGGAACTTTAGGCTAATCTGGTTGCCTAATTTAATTTATTATGTTATGGACCAGCGTTTTCACAATTTGTCAAAAAAAGTTGCCAGATTTTCTTTAAATTTAGCTTACCTAATTACAAAAATAATAAAATCAACAACGCAAATTGTTAATTTGGCGTTTTTAATAATTGTTAATTATGTCATTTTTGTAATGAAGGTAAATTCAAACAAAATCTGGCAAGTTTTATATCAGAATCTAGTACATTTCTTGTAAATTTTAGGTTATGTGCTCAAATTGGAAATATCTTAACTAAGGGAAGTGCTTTTGAATTTATTTACACAAATTGAATGTTTAACGTGTGAACCTGTCCTAATTTCATCTGAGTAAACATAAAGAAAAAAAACGATAAAAAAATAAATTTTGTGGTTATGGAGTTTTTAAAATAGGTACTAAATTTTCTAATCATTGCTTAAGCTAAAAGCTGGATGAGTAAATAAATACAGAAGGGTATTTGAGCTTTAAGGGCATACAACTTTTGTATTTTGGAGTTTTATTTATTTTTTGCAAGAAAAATTTTTAGTAACAATTTTTTTACAACTGGAAACGCGCAGCTACTTTGTTTGTTGGTATCTATGTTCTCACAGAACACAAGTGTGTAACCAGACAAAAAATGTGAAAAATTCTAATGCATATTATTTGTTTATCTTTGGGAAAATATTTTTTCCTTTACACCTCATGCCAAAAGGTATTCAGTATTTCAATATATTTCATTAATTACATAACACCCTATATAGAGAGCGCCAAACTTAACAAAATCAGTTGTATTTTATATTTTTAACCTCTAAACTTAATTAAAACAAAAAATTCTAAATAGAAAAATTTACAAAAGGTAGCCAAATTACAGCCAAAATCTATTTAAATTTTTTTATCATTTATGAAATTTAAACACCATAATTTTGTGATGTTACATAGGGTTTAAAGGGTTAAAATAATAAGTTATACATTTAATTATATTAAAACCTTTGGAAATATCATCATAAACTTTAAAGAATAGTTTTATTTATTAATACTTAAAATGATTAAAATTAAAAGTAAGTTGAAATTAAATTATTCTAAAAAATATTTAAAATAACATTATAAATTTTTAACACAAGTTTAATATTATTAAGTTACAGCTATTTAAACTTAATAGTACATTTTGTATCAAGTTTGATAAACGCCATTTTAATCACGAATTTAATGTAGGCACTAGCAAATTTGCAAGCGAGTGCCTAATTAAACGAGTGTCTAGCAAAGTTTATGAACGAGTTGCATACTACTACAAATACTTATTATTATCTAAAAATGATTTAATTTAAATATTTGTATGGAGCGATATCCATACAACAATAGAGTAACCATAGGAATGGGAATCTGTAATACTGGATAGAGTAACCATAGGAATGGGAATCTGTAATACTGGATTTTTTCCTTTTTTGTTGTTTTTTGGGCACTTTATTTTAACGATTTTGTGAGATTTGACAACTGTCAACTAACTTAAAGCTAACTTCAGCCCGTTACTAAAAAAAACTGTTTCTAACTTCAGCCCGTGACTAAAGCGCCATAAATCCATAGCCTGTCAAAGTGAAGTTCACTTTAAGGATCTGTAACTTTTTTCATTAATTAATCATTAATAAACAAAACGTGAAAATTCAATGTTTTTTCTATAGATAAAACGAATTAATGACCATTATTTTTTGTCAGAAACCTGAGGTCAAAAAATGGACTGATTTAAGAAACATAAATATCCCGGCGAATCCGCCATTTTTGACAATCCCTGCGCGCATTCACCATTTTTGCAATTTTATAATTAATATTGTTACTTCAATGATAAATTCCATAAACCTGCCCATTCGTTCTTGATTACCTTTTATTTACATACAGTACACGATAAAATTGTGCATATGACTTTTCCTTACAATTTTACAACTCTATTCTGCATGCTAATTTGCCACATTTAACATTCAACAAGAGGTCAGCGATTAGCACACCATAGGAAATATCAGCTCGAGAACCTCAAGTATCCAAGCGATTTTTTTAATCGAAAAATCTGCATAAACAAGAATATTATTAAAATGTCAAATAATATTATTGTACATACCTAAGTAGCAGTGTGTAATGACCTTGCGTCGACCAAGCAGTTGTGACCATATTAAGTAATTATCAATGTCAAGTGAGGTCATTTAAGCATATGTGAATAAATAATATTATACAGCACAGTCAAGTCTTATAATTTCCGAAAAAAATTTTTTGCATGAATCGTTTTTGGTTCAACTGTAAAGCTTTTCGGAATCGTATTCGTATGCGTATGAAGGTAAAAACACATTTTTTTGTTTTTTTTATTTCATTTTCTTTTTAAACGGTTGTCAGGCCATTTTCAAGGGATAACTTTTGTAATACAGATTTACATTCTTATGGTTACTCTATTGTTAATTTTTTAGATAATAATAAGTATTTGTCGTAGAAAAAGTATAGTATGCAACTCGTTTATCAACTTTTCTAGACACTTATTTAATTAAACACTCACTCGCAAGCTCGCTCGAGTAAATTAAAATCGTGACTAAAATGGCGTTTATAAAACTTGATACATATTATACTATTATACTTGTTAGTGCCTTAAAGAGTGTTTTTTAGTCTTTTAAGACTATTATTGGTTTTTTTACCTTTTAGTCTCAAATTTTTTTATATGTCAGTGCCAATTTGAGGTTTTAAATAAATAGGTTTTGTTTATAATTTAATTTAAAAAAAAATATATAAAAAAAAAACAAAAAAAATCAGCTAGTTTATTTTTTACATAAATGATATTCTTCTATATTTATTGGTAATGTATTGTTCCGTATTTTTTAATTGTATTTTTATGTAGTTTTACACTTTTTAAATGGTTGGTTCTGCGAAGTTCTGCAAAATTAAAAAAAATCTTATGTAGATATTTTGTATTTACAGCTCTCCTCGGGATTTCAGGTGAAACTTTTCCAAAATAATGTAAAAATTATATTTACTAAAACTATACTTCTTATTACTATTGTGAAAATATCTATACTACACTCTAATAATATTAATAATGAGTATAAACTAACATTTCAAAAATATATTGTCGAATAAAAATTATATAAAAAAATGTAGATCTTACTTATTACTTATTAACATTGATTGAATTGCTGTAAAATAAATATGAAAATTAATTTTACTTTTAATAAATGTATATTAAAAATATGAGTATTTTATTAAAAGTTGAGACAAACAGCAAACAAAAATCTATGATTTTATAAGGTAAATATCAAAATTAACGCTTTTTGCACCATGTAAATACAGCACTTTAACAATTTTGCATATTTTACCCTATATGCTACACTATGAATACTAAATAATAATTTTAATAACAATAAACATAATTTACAAATAAGGAATCTACAATGGATCTGAAAACCTTGAATTTATTAATTTATTTTTAACATGTCTATTTTATATATAAGGAAATGTTAAAGATGTCCTTATAAGTTCAAGATTTAAAACATTTCCAATTGTTTACACTATTTTTAACTTGTTATTTTGTATATGATGCTCCAAATTAAATTTGTCCATGAATGAATCATCAATTTTAGCGTTTTGGCGTAGGATTTTATTAATAATAATAGGTGTAAAAATTAGGCGTTATATTTAAATAACAAATTGTTTAACAATTTGATCTGGATAATAATTCATTATTCACAAAATATAGTAGGGTGTCCGCATTTCCCTTATTGTTTTTTTTACTTGGGTATACTCTAAATTATTTGTTTACAGTCTAAAACTACTTTAAAAAATATTTTTTCTACTTCCACTTAACAGATTTTTAATCACGGTCTGAAGTTAGTTTTAAGTTAGTTGACAGTTGTCAAATGTCATATAATCGTTAAAATAAAGTGCCTTTCTTGTAAAATAATACTAAATGTGAAAATTATTTTATTATCTCAATACATAAATACAAAAGTATTAAATAATTTCTTGACGCCAATATTTAAAAAGATTATAAGAACGTTTGTACTGACCTTTTAATTTACCGTAGTAGTGCAGTTAACTAGATTTAACTGATAAAGCGTTACAAAGTGTGCGTGCAGTGCCCATAAAACATTCTCTTCTCGTTTACTGTGAAAAACTGATTCTAAACTGCGCACCACTCAATGTGTCGCGACCAAAAAGTTCGTTCTTTTTCAAAACGACATAACTTTTTTGTTTCTTAAACGATTTTATTTTGGTCTGTGATGTCTGCTAGCCCTATCATCTGGCAATTCATGCTATAGATATGAAGCTCACAGTTCTTCAAGTAAATTTCGTACAGGGTAATATGTAAACGGTGAAAAATTTCAATAACTTCATCCAATCCCCGTTCGAAAAAAGAAATATTTTTTGTCGTTTTTACTTTGAAATAATAAAGTATTATGTCTTACCTTGAAAGAGTTTTCAAATTTTTCGAATTGGCATCTTAGCAACGTAAATATCGGTTTAGGTTTAGTTTTCTCAAATTTTCACCAAAATGTTATTTTGAAAAAGTGGTCTTTGCTTAGGCCCTCTGAATATAATGGAAGTTTGTTGCTTGTCGCTTGTTCAAAATTATTTAGGAAACATTATTTCACCATCATATCTTCTTGTTCCTAAAAAGACTGAGTTTATTGCCTACAAAAAAAGCCTTAAATGTACTCTTTTGAAAAAAAAATTATATTTTAGTTGCTAAGATTCCAATTCGAAAAATTTGAAAAATGTTTCAAGGTAAGACATAATACTTCATTATTTCAAAATAAAAACGAGAAAAAAATTATTTTTTTACAAACGGGGCTTGGATGAAGTTATTGAAATTTTTCACCGTTTTACATATCACCCTGTAGGAAATTTACTTGAAGAACCGTGAGCTTGATATGTATAGCATGAATTGCCAGAGGATGAGGCTAGCAGACAACACAGACCAAAATAAAATAGTTCAAGAAACAAAAAAGTTATGTCGTTTTGAAAAAGGACGAACTTTTTGGTCGCGACACATTGAGTGGTGCGCAGTTTATTTCGATTGTTTATTTTTAAGGGATAAATTTTGATTTACACAGAAATATCTGAGATTTTAGGGCCGGTAGATTCCCAAGTTAGAAATTCTAACGGGAATTCCAATAAATACAACTGTCACTTTTTGCACATTTCCCGTGTAAGAATTTCTAATACTTGAGATAATATTTTAAAATTATAGTAATAAAAAAAATCAAAGGATAACATATTTTCTGAAGTATCAATTATTGTTAAGTTTAATTAAAATATTTTATAATAATAACAGGCAATATTAATGTTAAAAATTACGTCAAATATGGGATGGTGACTAAAATGGCGTTTATCAAACTTGATACATAACATACTATTTTTCCGATGTCGTTTAAATGATTATACTTTTAATTTTTCATTATTTTATATATTTCATATAAACATTGACCTCCGATATTTTGTAGAGCGTAACATTTTCTACAAAAATTTGTTTTGTGTATTGTGACATGCCGAAATTGTTTTGGGCTGTAAACAAATTAATAAGATGGTATTTTAAATTCTAATTTTATGACATGTTAACTTTTTATTAGGTAGTGCTTTAAAACCTAACTAGAGAGTGCTAATTAACTTTTTTATATCACCCTGTATAATTAATAACTAAATCGACTAAAAACTTGATACATACAATCGGAATCTCATTTTCACTCGCCGCCTTCTTAATTTATCAAACCCACGGTCATCGAGACCAATCGGGAGCGATCAAGGCTCGCCATACACTAATTATGTCTTATTTTTATGGTAAATGCCAACGGTGCCCACCATATAAATTTTTACGCATGTACTAATACGTATTACTCATTGGTTGTTGTGCTTGCAGGTCTCAGAGCACTCTTGGTCGTTTCAGTAAGAGCACATCTCGTCTAGCGAACAGTTCGGTCGAAGAGAGGAACTCTCAGACGTTACCGAGACACTTGTCGAGGCACGAGCCACCAGTGAGGTTGGAGAGGAGCAACAAGAGCAACAGCACCATCAACGTGTCGATAATAAACACGGTATCGTCCCCGAGGATCGTCAACAACGGTCCGGAGAAACCGGCAAGGACTTACAAGACGAATCTGCTGAGAAGCAAGAGTTTGAATGTGCATGAAGACTTGAGGAACATGTACACCAGCAACCCGCAAGTGAACAAGTTGGAGGGGGGGTCGATAGGGCTCAAAAGTCCTGGATTGATTTCAAGCCTTAATAGAAGCCCCGAGGTGTCGGAGGAGCGTTACACTACCCGTTTTACGAGTACGAGAAACGGGCACAGTGAAACTGCCGACCCGAAGCGCGTGTTTATGTCCGGTCTCAAGGACCGCGCCCCGGAGCTCTTCAAGACGCTGCACGACGATTCCGAGCAGTGGAAAGCGCCGGTGAAGAGCGTAACCACGACGAGGAACTACAACGGCGACATCTACGAGCCGCCGACGAGGCTGAGGGACACTCAGGTGGCGCGCAGGGGGAGCGGGTCCTCCACGGACTTCTCGGAGACCTTCCACACGACCACGAGGGGGCAGGACCCGCTCCGGCCCAGCGTGACCAACACCACGAAGAGCGTGAGCAAGAAGACCATCCCGAGCAAGGATGGGCGGTCCGTGGAGACCATCCAGTCCAGCGAGACCAGATCGGTCACGAAGAGTTCTTACAGAGGAAACAACGAGCCCGTCAAGTATTACGAGACGGAGAGGAGATACAACAGTTCCGGAGGCAACCCTGTCGTGATCGAGGTGAGGAATTACCGGAAGTAACAGTGCCGTATCATTTTTTTGGATGACTATGTTTTATTTATGTTATTTGCTTTAATCCTATTAATATTTTAGATGTATTTTTTAAAAATTGTGCTCAAAATATTCGTTGCGCAAGTGTATATATTGTGAGCAATACTATTATATTTTTAATAAATAAATTAATATTATGACTAAATGTTGGTTTTATTTCTCAAAAGATCCCAAAAATAAATCTCTCTCTAGAAAACTTTGTTTTCATAATAAATATAAAAAAAGAAAAAGAAAAGTTGGGAAATTAAAGTCAAAATAAATCAAATCAAATAAAGTTAAAAATGTTTTTTTTTTCTGTAAAACAAAAATTCCCCGAATAATCATCTGGATAATCAAATTTTGAAAAAGTTATAAGCGTTTACAAAAAGAAACATCAAATTTCGTCTAGGTAAAATTTTTTGAAAAAATGCACAGATTCTTTTTTTTATCTTGACTGCGACAAAGTTGCAAATTTAGGGGTTTGGTTGGTAAATACGGAACCAAATTTCATTGCATTGATTAAAACCTTAGTTCTAAGATTAAAACAAACTAAACTAGTTATAAATGTAATTGTGGTTATGTTTAAATTATTGTAGGTTACATTGAACGGTTGTCAAGTTGAGTCAAGTTAAGTTGTCAAAATTCGTAGTTAAAAATGCAATTAATTTGGCTTTGGTGGTGCGTAATCATAAAAAGTAGTTAAATATAGGTGACTACGGTCCAGGAGAGACAAAGTATTCCTAGCTGATAATAATCTTCGCTTCGAAAAGAATTTATATAAAAGAAATTAAAATGTTATGTTAACATACGTGAATGTTGTCCAATCATTGGACTCCAATGCATTAACAAAATTCATTCACCATGGTGAATGGGTAAATATATTTTGTTAAAGCCAGTGGACGTTAATACTTGTAGTGGCTTAATAATAATTATACCTAATGGATATATTGTCCAGGACTATTATTGATCAGCTGCGATTCTCGAGTTCAGTAACTTGCAAATTGAAAGAAGAAAAAGTTTCGTGATTATTGCTTATCTTTTTCCAAACTAAATGGATACTATTTTCAAAGACAGGAGAATTAACTGCTAGATTTTTCACAAAAAGGTTGAACCTAACAGCAAATAATTTTTATTATTTTTTTATTTCCCCCTTATTTTTTAAAATTTAAATTTTTTTTGATCTGCTAAGCTGAAATTAATGTGTAATTTAATATTTGTAAAACCAAAAACGTTACTTTTTTACTCCAAAAATGTCCATAAGGCGATGTAGGTACTTTTTCTGCCACTGAGGCATTTGGCATTCCGTATTTACCAACCAAACCCCTAAATTTGCAACGTTGTCGCAGTCCAGATAAAAAAAAATAAACTTTACCATTATGGGGGATAGCTAACAAAAGGGAAATAAACAAATTACAAAGAATAAAAAATAAGTAATCAAGGTCTTACATAATATCAATTGATATTTAAATAGGAAACAGCTACTAAAGAAATACATAAAAAACAAAATATTGGAAAATCAATGATTTACATATACCTACTTTAAACACTAAAAATATTACAGGGAGAAATTCTGCCGTGCTTAATGAAAACGCCGTAACCAACAATTTTGCAATTTTTGGTTTACGGCATTTTCTACTAGAAAAATTCATCCTGCGTCTATCCCCGGTACTCAAAAAACCGTATATATATAGATACGGTTTTTTGAGTACCGGGGATAGACGCAGGATGAATTTTTCTAGTAGAAAATGCCGTAAACCAAAAATTGCAAAATTGTTGGTTACGGCGTTTTCATTAAGCACGGCAGAATTGTACACAATTGTTAACATAAACCTAACAAAGCAGGAGGGAAATACACAATTACAAAACTAGTCAAAAACAGCTGCACGAGAAATAAGGAAATATAACGAGTTACCAGCAAAAATAAAGGAACAACAAACCAAAGATTTTAAAACAGTGATTTAAATATTAAATTATATTTTTATTTGTAAAAATACTGTATATAGGCACAAACAGTATTTAGATTATTTATATCAGGGCACATTAGGATGTATTTTTCTAAATAAAATAAAAACTTGTGCTTTGGTTTTGTGCTGTTTATAAACACGTATATAAATACGGATTAATAATCGTTTTAAACGTTGTGTTTCTTACAGAGGTACTTGTAAGCCGTATAAGAGGCATTAAACTGCTAAGGATAACCATTTTACTCGCCCTTTGTAAAAAATAAACCTTTACATAGTAGTCGTAGAAAAAGGAGTTTGCATCATTACCTCTAGTTATTAAATTGCAGTGGTGCAGTTTAGTTTTCAGTTTTTAAAATTAAACTTTTAAAAATTACTTTTGTGGCCATTTTTAATTTTTACCAAATTATTAAATTAAAAAAATCCAGGTGTCAGGATGACAAACAGACTCCTGCGCTTTAGTTGAAAATCTAAAACAATTTCCATTCCTTTATTAAACGTATACGGTTTTAAGCAAAAGCGTCAAGCTTTCTTATGAGCTTAATTTTATTTTTTTAAAATGCTTTCTTTTAAATAAATTAAAATTGCAAAAAAAATATAAAAAAATTGTTGCTTCAATTTTTAAAATGACGACAATACAAAATGCTAAGTAAATAGTAACCTAAAACGACGATAAGGAAAAATGCATTTATAAGAACAATAAAAATTTATTACAAACAAATGGCACCAATATACATATTTACAAATAAACTAAAAAATAAAAATCTAACTGAAAAAATACACGGATTTTATTACTTGATTTATATCGAATTTTCCTGTTTTAGGCAACTGGCGTAGCACTTTATTCAATTTTTTCTTCGAAACGTCAGTGGCTGAACCATCTCCAGTTAATTCCCTAAAAAATATAACAAAGTAACAAAAAATACACAAGTTGTTTTTTTATTGTATTACCAGTCATCAAAACTGTATTTTTCCGTCAAAAATATCGAAAGTTCCTCCAAAATGGGTTCTGAATGTAAAGCAACGAACTGTTCTCTACAAACCTAGAAAAAAGTGCGCTTTTATCAAGTAGCAAATTAATTTGACATTTGACAGCGTCAAAACTTTGATCAAGTGGCCGTGTATAAAATGACATTAGTTTTACATTGAACACAATAAGTCAGTAAAAAAGTGAATTTGCAACAATGAATCCCGATATTATTAAGTTACTTAATGAATTAAAAACCAACATAACCACACAATCAAGCTTAACGGAGATAGAGGACCTGGACAAGAGTTTTCGCGAATTAAAAACCGAGCTGCTGATAAAAAACGAGCAAGTCTCGCAGCTAAGAAAAGACTTGGAAGCTTCGAACGCGAAAAATCAGGACTTGACGTTGCAGCTGGAAAAAGCGACGCGTACGATGCAGGAAAACGCGTGCAACTTGAATTTGGCGGTAAACAAGATGCGACAAACCGACGATCAGCTGCGCGAAATTAAGAACGCGTTTTTGATTCAGAATATGCACTACAAAATGGTGGAGGCGGAAGCGAAGGCTTTGAAGGAGACAAACCAGAAAATATCCAGGGAAAATTCGGAGTTTTCCAGAAAGTTGGAGGTTTTCGCGACGAAGAGTAAGTGCGAGGGCGTGCTTAGGGAGCAAATTACCGGCAGCAAGAACAAAATTGAGGCCTCAATGGCGGAAATAAAATGCCTGATGGACAAGGTTGCCAACGAGCATGACTCGATGAGGAAGTTGGGCAACGACGTGGAAAAAACAAAAGAGGAAATAACGCGGGAGAAATCGGCTGCCGAGGAAGTTCAAAGAATCGCATCCGAAAGGGACAACTTGGAGAAACTCTACATCGAATCGCAAGCGAAATTTGAAAAGTTGGAGGAGTTATTGAAACCAAACGCATCGAGTTTCGCTTCTGCCACTTTCGTGGAGTTGATCTTGGGAAAATGGCACGAATCGCAGAAAAACTACGAAACTTCAATGACAGTCAGAAACGATACGTTGGAAAAATTAGGCAACGAGTTGAAAAACGAGAAAATCGCCAACGAAAAGTTAATCTTGGAGAACGAAAAATTACGGGACGATTGTCAAAAACATGCCTCCGAAGTTGCATTAATTAAAATAGAAAAAACGTTTAATAACTCCATTGAAATCATTGATTAGGACTTTCTATAGATAATATTTGTTATAAATAAAAAATACTTTGAAATTTGTGTTTTTGTATCAATCGCCATTAGTTTGACATTCAACACAATAAGTAAGTAAAAAAGTGAAATTACAACAATGAATCCCGATATTATTATTATTACAGGGTTCCCTCTTTTAAAACCATTTAAAATTCCCTGACTTTTCCAGGTTTTCCCTGACCAAAGTCCCTATAATTCCAGATAAATAAAAGAAAGACATAAAGACAATTATCTCCCAAAATAGTGTCCCATCAGAATTATGTTAAGTCAAAAATAGCGTTTATTTTTGTTAATATTTATTTAAAAATTAAATATTATAATAAAAATTAAAATAAAATTTTAATAAAAACAGTTTGACATAAAATAGATTCTTTGGTACAAACATAAAAAACATTCTTTGGTATACATTTATACAAATATACCATATTCATCAAAGCAATGCACAACAAACTTTAACAATTTAAAATTAATTATGACAATTGTTTTAATTATTGTTAATTGTTCGTTTGTTTATCAGGTGCATTGCTTTGCGATGTGTAAAATTTTTTTGTGTAAAATCCTTGATAATTACCGCCGTTACGGCGGCGCCGTACGAAAACAATTGTTTACGATACCAGTGTTGCCAATACGGCGACTTTCAACGAAAAAGGGTCAGAAAACAAGCCGTTTTATAAATTTCCCTGACTTTTACCATAATATTAACAAATTCCCTGACTTTTGCGCTGACTTTCAAAATTCCCTGACTTTTCCCTGATTTTATTGGACTTAAACGGATTCCCTGACTATTCCAGGTTTTCAAGGATTTCCAGGTGAGAGGGAACCCTGTATTATATTAAAAACTAATGTAATAAGACGTCATTTTGTCACAAAACGTCTTATGACATGAGTTCTTTATGCTATTTTATCTATTTTGCAAAAATTCTATAAAAAAACCACTATGTAAAAGTCACATTTCGTATTGGCATCGTTGCTTAGAAAATGAATCTTTTCATTGGCAAGGCCATGGAGCCTACACAAGGAGCCCGAACTTAATAGGGAAAATTGACAAAACCTGCCCTCTAAATTGCACAAATTAAGTCACCAGCGGCGCTGATTGTTGATGCGTCCTGACCACGGTCTTATATAAGACGTATATAAGACCGTGGTCCTGACGTCTGCTCTTTTGGTAGCGTTTCGGTACAAATTAGTCAATTGTTTCAGAATAAACGATACACCAGCGCCTACTTTCCTTAGGAAGATTCTTGTTTACATGCAGTTCGGACTCCTTGTGTAGGCTCCATGGGCAAGGCAAAACACGAATGTAAAGTGACATTTCTGTGTGAAAAGAAATTGACAGCATCGTTTGACATTCGTTTCAAAATTTGTATTGTATTTATATATGTATGTCTAAATATCATTTAGAACACAATTAATTGTGTTTGTATAATAAATTCTAGTTTTTAGTGCCATTATTTAAATTAAGAAGGTAAGTTTATTGATTTTAAATACCTTAAAAATTAAAAGAATAAGATGAAAGAATTTTAACAGCTGTCAAACACGTTTTTAGGTTATTTTGTTTTGTATTTGAATATAATAAAAAATAAAAAGGTCGTAGAAAATCTTTCTTCAAGCTCGTGTTAATGCACACTCGGTCTGAAGGCCTCGTGAGCAACTTAAACACTTGCATGAAAAAGTCGCTTTTCAACACTTGTAAAACAAATAACTATTATATACCTACCTTATATTTAATTTGGTCGGATGTTAGTTAGTTGGTATCACAGTCATTGGGTTTGAAGGGTTAATGTCAAAATCGATTCGCCATGGCGTCCTTAATTTACTTATTTACAATAAGCGGCTGTTAATGTTAAAGAAGAAAAAAAGGATTTTCTTTGGTGTTAAACAAAATTTATTGCCAGAAAAGTCTAGTAAGTACTAGAAAAATCATAGAAATATTATAAAGAATATGCAAAATAATATTTTACTGTTTTGCTGTTTAAAGTAGACAACCTATAAAATCAAAATTTTGGGTGGGGTAAAGTACCTCATTACAGCACCGAAAGCGATGTTACAATGAAGTAATTATGAACGCCCAATAGATAAACTTACTTAACGAATTAAAAACCAACATAACTACACAATCAAGCTTAACGGAGATAGAGGACCTGAACAAGAGTTTTCGCGAATTAAAAACCGAGCTGCTGATAAAAAACGAGCAAGTCTCGCAGCTGAGAAAAGATTTGAAAGCTTCGAACGCGAAAAATCAGGACTTGACGTTGCAGCTGGAAAAAGCGACGCGTACGAGAGTAAGTGCGAGGCCGTGCTTAGGGAGCAAATTACCGGCAGCAAGAACAAAATTGAGGCCTCAATGGCGGAAATAAAATGCCTGATGGACAAGGTTGCCAACGAGCATGACTCGATGAGGAAGTTGGGCAACGACGTGGAAAAAACAAAAGAGGACATAACGCGGGAGAAATCGGCTGCCGAGGAAGTTCAAAGAATCGCATCCGAAAGGGACAACTTGGAGAAACTCTATATCGAATCGCAAGCGAAATTTGAAAAGTTGGAGGAGTTATTGAAACCAAACGCATCGAGTTTCGCTTCCGCGACTTTCGTGGAGTTGATCTTGGGAAAGTGGCGCGAATCGCAGAAAAAGTACAAAAGTCAGAAACGATACGTTGAAAAAATTAAGCAGCGACTTAAAGAACGAGAAAATCGCGAATAAAAAATTAATCCTGGAGAACGAAAAATTAAGGGACGATTGCATTGATTAAAATAGAAAAAACGTTTAATAACTCCATTGAAATAATTGATTAGCAATTTCTATGAAGTTTATATTTTATACTTGTTAAAAATAAAAAATACTTTGAAAATTGTGTTTTCGTACCTAGATGATCATAATTGAGGTTAGATTTTCGGCGCCACCTACCTTGTTCATGATGTGCACTGTAGAGGGATGCGTCCAATAGCAATCGTGCACCGAAACAAAAGTGATGCCTTTTCTTTCGCAGTGCAAAGACGTGAGCATCATGTGGGAAGAGTCCAGAGAGTGGATGAAATTGGGGGGGAAGGCGTTCTTTTGTTTCATAACGTTCGGTTTTCTGAAACGTTTTAAATAGAAAACTTGTGTTATCGAGGAACCCTTATCGGCGCTTACTCGAAAGTGTCCATCTGATAGGATTCGTAGATGGGCATTTGAATTTTTCTGCTCCTGATGTACGGTTGAACGATAGGCAACCCCAAAGGCGTCACCCACTCCACGTGCTGTCCGCTCACCCCCGAAATCAATCGGGCGCATTCGGTGAACCAATCCTGAATCTCCCTCGTCGAAGTGAACATCGTTCTCAGAGAGTCAAAGGTCCTACCTAAAGGCCCCCACAGATTTAGTTTGTAATGCCACGATTCAGAACGTCAAAAACGACAAAACAGTTTCTGGCGTTTTTAAAACGAAGATTTCTTTTTAACACACCTGTTAGATATGAGGAGGCGGCCCATACGGAGTCTTTGGGGAAATCGTCGATATCTTTGAGCTGCTTGGCAATCTGGAGTCGCGCCCCGAACCTGGTCACCCCGTATACGGTGGTCATCACAGTTTGTTTTATCACTTTCCTTTTTACGAAACCTTCCAGTTTTTGGGCGATCTAAAAAATAAGCAATGATGATTTCCCATTTTTTAGATCGCCTATAATGATTTGTTGGTCGTTACACGTTTAAAGGAAGACTTTGCAGAAATGTAAATGATAGACCTATTTGTTTATTAAATGCTAAATACAGATAATATACATAACAATAATTACATAATATACATAAAAATTATTGAAAAGGTGGAGAAACCGTCACAGCAATAGCATGACTAATGCCCAATATTGGAGGTACAAGGTCGTTGATGAGGATAATGTCGGATGTTAGCAAATACTTAATGGTTCGCAATCCTGGCACACCATCAGGATCAATAAGAAACTAGTGCAAAATTTGCTAGAACACAAATAACAATTGCCATCGAGATATGCAGTGGCTACAGAACCACATCAAATGAAGAACTATGTTTGGACTAAGTTTTTCATTCACGAGAGAAGGGAGATGTACAGAAGTTCGGACTGATACAGCCAGGGCTGGACTAATGAGCAAGTGGCAGGAAAAGTGGAAGAACATCATGAAAACAAAGGAGAAGCTAGAAACAAGTCAATAAAGTAGAAAATACAGTCTAAAATGATGACAAGCATAAAATTGCGAAAATATTTGTCAATGAACTGTTGGGAACATCGGAGTATTTTATCCAAGAGAGAAGGGAGAGATATACAGAAGTTCAGACTGATACAGCCAGGGCTGAACTAATGAGCAAGTGGCAGGAAAAGTGGAAGAACATCATGGAAACAAAGGAGAAGGTAGAAACAATTGTTAAGTCAATAAAGTAGAAAAGACAGTCTAAAATGATGACAAGCATAAAATTGCGAAAATATTTGTCAATGAACTGAGGAGCATCCTCAATGTTGGGAAAATGGCAAAAACTCTCGGTTTCCTGGCCTTTACAGGTAAAAGAAAAATCAAACTTGAGTTTTGTGGGCTTTGTGGTACTTGATTTATAAGACATACTTTCGTTTTTAAAAACTTTATATTAAGGCCAAAATTTCAAAAAATGTTTTGGATATAGCCGGTTTTGCTCGAAAACCGAATAAAAAACGAATAAAATGTAAAAAAAACCTTTATTATTCAAAAAATAAATATAGTGCAAACATAAAAAAACAGAACAAATTTTAGTAGTAGTATCGACATATCCAAGCCACATATTATTATTTATTAAATATAGCCGGGTTTGTTATAAAAAACGTGGATTTGGCCGGTTTTGCTCCTAAAGCTACCTTTTAAATGTGATTTTAACATGGATTTAGTCGGATTTAAACTGAATTATCTTGGTTGTCGATAGAAATGAACCCAAAGATGCGAAATCAAAAAAAAACAAAAACTGAATAAAATGGATTTAGCCGGTTTTGCACGGATGCTCCTCAACTGTTGGGAACATCGGAGTATTTTATCCACGAGAGAAGGGAGAGATTTACAGAGGTTCAGACTGATACAGCCAGGGCTGGACTAAAGCTTAATTTTCATGTATCCGTTTGTCCGTCATCCGTATGTCAGTTTTTCAATAAAATCGTCCGATAAGAAATGTTCTAATTTTCATGTATACGTTTTTTAATGACGTTTAACAGATTGATTTTGCGACAAATAGAAATTATGTGTCAGTATATTCACTTACTAAATTTACCTAATGCTTAATTGTCATAGTTACAATTATGTCAACAATTGTAACTTTAACAGTTAGCTGTCTAATAAATTTAAAGGTAGGTAAATATACCTTATAAAAAGAATATACTAGCCCTAATATACATTAAAATGTAGTTTTAAAAAAGCAGGTCCTTTTAGTTCTACATTTAATTTTTTTTGTTTGTCCTTTCTTTTTTTCCGTTATTCTTATTAAATAAAAACTTAACAGTAAAACATTATTCATATAACGAACGTAATATTTCCGTTTTACAATCTTATTGAAAAAATATGAAAATATTTGAAAATAAATTATCTTAAAATAACGTTAGGCGTCAAAAACAGATGTGAAGTGACGGATGAGTTAAAATTATTTAACCTTTCTCTGTCAGACGTACGAAGTTGAAACTTGACGGACCGATAAAATGTCATAATTTTCGAATTATAATTCTACCAATAAGAGCGCTCCCGGATGAACGGACTGACGGATAAACGGATACATGAAAATTAAGCTTTATGAGCAAGTGGCAGGAAAAGTGGAAGAACATCATGGAAACAAAGGAGAAGCTAGAAACAAGTCGATAAAGTAGAAAAGACAGTCTAAAATGATGACAACAGGGTGGCGATTCTCGAGTTAAGAGAACGCTTCTCATAGGAGAAGTGGACATTTCTCTCAAGTTTTGACAGGCTGCATTATTGAATTTAAGATAAGTTAGTGCGTTCTTCTCTCGGAAACTCTTTTCTGCTTTAGGAAAACCAAACTATTGCATGATTTTAAGAATGCAGCCTGTCAAAACTTAAGTGAAACACGCCCACTTCTCATGAGAATAGCGTTCTCTCAACTCGAGAATCGCACCCCAGGGGTCGTACAGACAAAGCTCAAGAAACATATGAGAATATGCATTTGGGTTAATGAAAAAATGAACGTCTTTATTAAAATATGACAAGAAAAATTAACAAACATATATCCTTTTTGGGGGCGTCCATAAATGATGTCACACGTTTTTTTGATTAAAAATATCATAGGGCAAAAATTGTGTCGCCTATGTTAAGAGTACCTATCTGAAAAAACTTCATGACTTTCTCAAATGTTTGGTGTGGGTCCCAGGGGTATCACAAAGGGAGAGTTTGTAATTTATAATATAAATATGCATATTATGCATATTGTTACCGTTATAATTAATCTTTGTTAGAAAATTGAAAAATATGAATATTTTATGAATATTTTAACTATTTTTCGTAATTTATGAACATTTTATGAACAAGGGTGAAAATATGAAGTTTTGCATAAAATATGAAGCGAGTACGACCCCTGTGACAAGCATAAAATTGCGAAAATATTTGTCAATTAACTGTTCGGAGTTTTTTATCCACGAGAGAAGGGAGAGATATACAGAAGTTCAGACTGATACGGCCAAGGCTGGACTAATGAACAAGTGGCAGGAAAAGTGGAAGAACATCATGGAAAGAAAGGAGAAGCTAGAAACTAGTCGATGAAGTAGAAAGGACAGTATAAGCTAAAATAATGAACTTTCCTGTAAAAAATCTCATTGTAAACTCACCTCGATTCCACTCTCGGCGTCTTTTTGTCTTTGCTCCTCCACCAAGGCGACAACGGCGCTGTAGACGTCCTGCGGCACGTGGCTGGGCGCCAAGTTGACGCTGTACGCGCCGGCCGCGTCTCTGCCCAGCGCCGCGTAGTGCTGCAACCCGTTGCAGCTGCCGTCCTGGTGGATGGGAAAGCAGCTGCGAAACTCCTCCGGGTTCGGGGAGCGCACCGCCTCCGCCAACTCCAAGCAGCACGCCAAAGTCTGCCAGGGCTCGTCCGATCGCACCCACCACTGCTCGCCCGTCAGCGGCTTATCGGCCGAGTCCAGGATAAGGTGCATTATCTCGTTCGCGTACTTCAGTCTGAAAGTTTTGCGTGCCAAAGTCAATATCAATGCGCCAAATAACGGTTAAATTCACCGACCTTTCAGTCACGGGATCGCGCTTCTTCAACCCGGTCAAATTAATTAGGTGCACCTTCAGCCAATCCAAACCTTCGGGGCCCAGAGGCCGAGATTCCGCGAAAATCAACATGGAACGCGCCAAATCGGAACCGAGATGGTTCAGGTGGGGGGGCACGGGGTACACCCTGCCCCTGAAGTCCATGTTGTGTGGTAACCAAAACACATCGTCCCTAAACTAAATGAAACAAGTTTTCACACGAAAAAAGCGGTTGAAAACATAGACTGAAGCGAATATTTTAAGGATGCAGGTGATAAAATGAATGCATCCCTTCCAAATACACAACAATTAATTTAAAAAAACTATTATTACATATTTTTCTATGATTATTTCCCTCATTATAATATGAACCAATCAAAAGCCTTGAATTTTCGAATAAATTTCGTTTAAATAAGCGATTAAATCACTAGAACTATTTAACAGCGATTAAATTTTAGCCTCCATATTGGATTTTTGTTTACGATTTTATGGTGTTATTTACAAGTTTTAACAAACATTTTTTAAAAAACAATAAAAAATAAGTTATCTAGTTTACGAAATATCAATTATTACTTATTACATACCTTAAATTAATAGAATTTTCTTTAAAAAAATATTTATAAATTTTGACACATACGTCAGATTTTATGAATTGTCAAATAGTTTCCTTTAATTCGAGAAATAATCTAGACGTATATCACTCAACCTATAAATTTAGTCTGTCACACTATGCTCAGTAAGTTTTTTATTTGATTTTTCTTTTTAGAAAATAGTTTCATGCAAAATAATTAAAATTTAAACCCCTCGACCGCTACGCGGTCTCGTGATTTTATTAAATTATTTTGCATTCAACATTTTCCAACAAAAACCAAACAAAAAACTACTGAGCCTAGTTTAACCGATTAAATTCATAGTTCTCGTGATATATAATATATGATTAATCAAAAAAGGCATAAAATATGCAGTTTTTCTGTGAAGAATATTAGAAAACTTAAGGGTCATTCCATGACAAACGATACTGAGGGTGAAAAAAAAATATATTCTTTTCGCATTAAATCTAAAGAATTTTTAAAGAAAATATTCCAATTTATAATGCGCGGCAAAAAAAACTAAAAGAAACGCGTAATTTTTAAGTTAATTAGTCTTCAAAATCTGTAAAATCTGTGGTGGATTGCGTCAGTCCCGAAAAAATTGATAATTATCACGTTATAAGTGTGTTTTCTTGTTACTTTAACACTGTAACACCCGAAACGAAAAATCAGGAATTGTTTTATTATTATACCTTACAGATTGATTAGTGTATTAATATTTAGTAAAAGTAATGATTTAAAATACCAACTAATATCTGAGCATAAAACTAATTTCATATGTTTTTTATTGATTAAAAACTGTGTGTTGATATATGTGTGTGAATTGCTTAAATAATGAAATAAGAATTATTTTTAAGGCTCTTTCGACGGCCCAATAGCGCCGCCATTGGAAAAGCAGTCACAACTATTTTAAAGAGGTGTGACTGCTTTTCCAAAGGTGTTGTCGAACCTACCGAAATTTCGGTATTTTTACCGAAATTTCGTTATTTCTGCCGAAATTGCAACGGACCTACCAAAATACCAAATACTAAGATTTTCGTCAATAATTATGTTTCTACCGATTTTTTTACCGAGTTTTGGCAATATTAACGATTTTACCTGTTTTGCCGATTTATCAATTGTACCCGAAGCTGCTTAAGTTATGTTAAAGGAGAATTCATTATATTTATGTTTATTTGTTACTTACTTATTTTGTAGTACTTAGAGATTAATAAAACACCGATTTTGTCCACATAAAGGGTTTAATTTTCGTACTTGTAACACCCGAAACAGAACCATGGTAACACCAGAAACAAATTAAAATTAAAAAAAATATATTAAAACGTTATTTGTGACAGTGGTTATGTGGTAGATGGTTAGTAAATATTATACTTTTGGAGGCCTGTAATTTTTAGGAATGTTTTCCTAAGAAAATTCGCTGAATTTTAAATAAATGTAACAATGGTCAAGACATAGAGGCACACTTTACGACTTATAAAATCGCTATCCTTTATGCTAAACTGTAGTAATTTTACCAAAAACGTAAAGAATAAGGCAAAAATTTATACTTAGGTTGAACAAATGTAACACCCGAAACGATGAAATGACCCTTAGATTAAAGAGTAAAAAAATAGTAAGCAAATATTTTTGTATAATTTAAACTTACGTGATTGGCCAATGAGAGCCTGTAGAGGCAATCGCACCATAGAGAGTACATTTCCGCCTTCTTTCTGCGGTGCTGCAACTTTTGGCGGAATATGTGGAACTTTTCCTGCTTGTCCATGTCGGCGGTGTAGGGGGGTGGCGGAGCAAGCGATGTGCTCGGTTCGGGGACATCCAATTTAGCCGAGCCGCCATTGTTGAAAACCTTTACATAATAGTACTTTATTTTTTAGTTCAAGTTTCACTTTTTCTGGTGAGTCTGTTGAGATTCGCAGATTAAAAAAGATCTGGGCCACAGCACAATCTACACAACAAGTTAGAAAACCCAAAGATAATATTATCTTTGAGGCAAGTCTTTCATGTAAACATAGATAAAACTTTAAAATATTTCAATTTGGAGGTTTGTTGATTTGTGAGTATTTGCTTTAGAGTTTAATATTTTTTTACTAAACCTTCTTGCAGCATTATTAATGTCGGAAGAAAATTTCATGATGGGTACGTACTCTCCCTGAAATAGGGGACGCAGCTAGATCTGCTACAGAAAATTTAACGCCAACTGAATCGTCAACACTTCCAGCAGCTTTTAAAAAAATTCAAAAATTCTTAGAACTCACAACCCACGTCAGAAACAATGAAATCTTCGATAACGTCGTCACAGTATTCAATAACAAAATCAGTACTTAATATAAAGCATGGAGTGGATATCAGCAAGTTCATAAAACCACGGGCATACTTGAAAAAGCAAAATGAAGGGTACTTCCCAAGAAAAGTCGAGACCCCACAGCCAAGGCTGGACTAATGAGCAAGTGGCAGGAAAAGTGAAAGAACATCATGGAAACAAAGGAGAAGCTAGAAACTAGTCGATAAAGTAGAAAAGACAGTCTAAAATGATGACAAGCTAGAATAATGAGGTGACCACTATGCATTAAATGTATACAGAAAATCGAGGGCAACATTCCATGGAAATGCTTCCATAAGACTTTGAGTAACGTAATTTTGAAGGTGCGACAATCAATAATTGTTTATTTATTTACCTTTAAGCGGCAGTAAAAGTACTTCTACTGGCGTTTAAAAAATATTATAGGGTACCTAAATTATTATTATTATTAAAATTACTTACACTTAAAATAATATCCAATATTTTCCGATTCACTTTCCACGGAACAGCTGCTAATTGATTTAAAGCATCCAAACTGGGATAAAGCTGTTCGGCTGGCGCGTTCGCCAGCCTTTCTCTTTGAGAATTGGCATTTGAAATCATTCTAGAGAATATAATATATATTTAAAGCCGTTAAAGGCAACGTTTCGTCACCTCACCTAACCACGTCCACGGGGGACACCAGATAGCCCCCGGTACCAACGGAAATCCACGGTATCGGAGGGCACTTCATGGGAACTTCGTACGCCGGAAACGTTAAAGTTTCGGGCATCGAAGCCCTGTATAATTTTGAGAGAACTGGGTGAGGTTTCACTTCCTCCTTCACTATTCTACCCTGCGTGCGGAATATCGTGTAAAAACCCGGTAACATATTCCTAAAAAATTGAGTTGAGTAAATTGCAAAACAAACACTGCGTGTTACTTTGTCTTGCTATTTAGCCTTATAGCGTTAACGTCGACCTTCAAATCGTGCATAATGATGTGGTATAGGAATTTTCCGATGGTTTGCAGAATGGTAGGCACCCATTCTTGATGGTCCATGTCCAAAGTCGCCCCCGTATCCCTGACGCCTTGTTCCGCCCACTGCCACCTTTGACGCGGATTCAATAAAACGTCCTCTTCCGGCAGAACACTCATTTCCGGGTGTTCACACGCGTACTCCGTGCAATACTTACTGTGAATTTTGACAATCTACGAAAAGAGAAAGTGAGTAACGCTGCGTGACAGGTTTTGAGCTAAAACGTGGCCAAAACTCAATTTCGTTAATTTTTATTACTAGATCTAAGATTGCGTCTCAAAGCAGATACACTGCGTGTTAAAATTAACGCATAATAAGTAAAAAACTCTCAAACGCCTTTACCAATCTTTATGAAAATTTGTATAAAAATACTTCAACTTATATCTCAGTTTACGTGTACGAGGGTTTTTCGAGAAAATATTTTTAAAGCCCTTTTATTTAGTAATAAAAAAACGTTCGAAAAATAACTTTTTATTAGTAAATAAAAACGTGCTATTAAAGACCGTATTTTTGTTAGTATACCCTGAAAATGTTGTACAAATCAAACGAACAGTAACGAAGATACAGTGCTTCAGAGTACGTAAAAATGACCCCTTTTTGATTATAATCATTTTTGACGACTTTGCAGCGCTGTATTTGTGTTACTGTTCGTTTGATTTGTACAACATTTTCAGGGTATACTAACAAAAATATGGTCTTTCACAGCATATCTTTTATTTACTTAAAAAAAAAATCCCTATAAAAGTTTTTTTTCAGCGTTATAAAAGGGCTTTAAGGATATTTTCTCGACTATTTCCCTCGTCTTAATTTACACCAATCACAAACGCGCAATTTTGAATTACAAATGGTTTCTAGGTGGAAAAACTGTATGACAGCCGAGGGGTCACCCACACCTGGGAATCCCTGGACATTTTAGAGTGGGAATACCATAGGAATACAATGGAAATACATAGGAATACAATAAAATATAATGGGAATACATGGGAATCCCTGGACGTTTTTCCTTTGGGTGATTGACCCCTCGATGACAGCACCTGTGTATTTTGTAATTAGATTTACCTATTTTTCAGTTTTACAATTAATCCCTTCATATTTATTATGTATGCATGTATAAAGTTAGTATGTTTTGTAAGCTATGTGTATGCAGAATAATACCATTCGGGCATCTAATTTTTCCTGTGGAAAAAATCATAAAAACACAATGCTAAGTAATATTTTTTAACAAAATGCATTCGTGCAGGTGCAAAAATTCTCGTCTCCGACTCGGATTTTTGTTGCCACCAGCACTCATGCTTCTTGTTAAAATATTACTTAGCAACGTGTTTTTTCGAATTTTTTCGGAAAAATTAGATGATATTACTTCCTTATCCAAAATTTTATAAAGATTGGTAAAGGCGTTGGATATTTTTTTACTTGTTATGCGTTAATTTTGAGGCGCAGTGTAGATAACATGGCTATCTTTTGGTATAGTTGCTACCTGAATTGGCCATCCAGGTCCGCGGTACCAACAGCTAGAACTTAGCGCTCCTTTAAATCGTACGTCTTCGTTCGCGACACTCCACAAAAACAAATTTTCGCTGTGTCGTTTCTTATGTTAAAAGTGATTTTGGTGGAAAAAGTTGATATTAATATCGTCAATCAAGGTATGTACAAAATTTTGAGCAGCATAAACTTTATTTATTCATTTCAAGTACCTACTATATCCATTTAACTAAAAATATTTTCTCGTCTTTTTAAACAAACATTTGAATTTTTAAGTATATGCAACACCTCGCACGTTTTATTAAACTTCAGGACATCTAGAATAACTAGCCATCAAAAACATTCACAAGTCTTCACATCACGAAAAAATTTACCCTTGAAAACAGATCTTATACGATTTTTAGTTAGATGGATATGAATATATATTTTTTTATTTCTAGTAAAAATACCTACAATCACTTGTATACCTTTAGAAATATGTTTGCTACCCTTTTGATACAGTAAAAGTGCCCAAATATTTTTGGCCACGTTTTAGGTCAAAATACCTGTCTGTGCGTCGATTACCTTGTCCAAAACGCCCGTCTTCTGCTTCTTCAGCACCTTGTACCTGGCGTAAACCTTGTGCCCCAAGTCCCTGTACAGCATGTTGACGGTGGGGCTGTAGGTTTCGGACCCTTGCGCTAACTTTTTCGCCTCGTCCACTATCACGGTGACGTAGTCTTTGATGGGGATGCAGCGCAGGTAGACTTCGTGGTTTAGCGAGCTCTTTTGCGCGGTCAGAGCGCCGAGATCGCGAACGAACGCGACGTGTGCAGACTCCTCCCAGGTTTTGTAGTGCTCTTGTAAGAGCTCGCGGTAGCGTTTCACGTCTTCGGAGGGCGCGCCTTTGCTTTCTATGCTCTTGATCTGTTTGGAAGGAGACGGGACGGGTAACAATCATTTTTGGTCGGTTTTTGTTTATTTTGTTTATTTATTTCTCAAAAGTAATCGTTTCTATTGACAGGTTCAAAGCTTTTACTCATATCAATTTAGCGCCAAATATATAGTATAGTCGCGGCCAAATCTGTATGGGTGCACGTCATCAATGCCATATAAGGACGTCAAAATTACCAACTTTGAATTATAAAATTACTGCCGTTAAATTTGCTTTTCAAGGTATAATTCTGATTTGTTGTAAAAAAATATCAATCATTTGCCTATTGTTTACCAAGAACTGTAACAATTTCCCTGTTTTAAAACGTTTTTTTTTTACGAAATTCTGAAAATAAAACCTTTTGGGGTCACCATTATTTTAAATTTGACATTTTTTCATAAATGTTGACAGATTTTGTTTGAATTCACCTTCATTACAAAATTGACATAATCAACAATTAATAAAAACGCCAGAATCTGGAAACGCTGCTTGTTACCAACCATAACATAATAAATTAAATTAGGCAACCAGATTAACCTAGTCGATCAGTGGCGTAATTTTTGGTATGATAAAGGTTAACCGGTTATTATAAATTATTTTTAGAGTTTAGAAAAAAAAGTTTTAGGTGCTTCTTTATGTACCCAAAGGAACTATCTATTTTAAAATTTCGATGATAAAAACGTGTCTCAAACTACAGGAAAATATGCATTTCCAAGTAAAGTATTATGATTAAGTTCTTGTTGATGAACTTATTTTAAACGATTTTACAGATATGGAAAGCTTTTTACATTCTTAAAGAGAAAGTCGGAGCGCTACACACCAAAAAACTATGATATTGTCAGCAGAGCAAATAACGCGTTTTCTTGTGGAATCTTCGGATTCCTCAATTTTTACTAGAGAAAATCGTATTATTGATAATATTGAAGACGTTGGACGCTTTATAACTGTGAAACTACAAGACACAAAAAAGAAATCGTTCCGAAAGTTCACTATTACGGAAGACGAAACTCCTTTTAAGGGTTGTGCTCCGTTGAACGATGACGAGAATCTGATGAAGAATAGGATAAGGAATGCGATTCAATCGTTAACCCTTGAAGAAATCCGTAAAAGTTGTTGGATTTTAGGTCCAGAATTGAAGCGCATTTCCTAATTTTGTAAACATTGTAAAGCCAACATAAAACTTGGAATGTCTTTCTACTTCATAAGAAAATTGAATAAAACTCGGAATAAAATAAAAAAACTTACCGTGACATATCCCTCAATTTCCAAATCGAGCTGTTCCTGTATTTTACTTTTTAAACTATCCGGAGTAAAAAGACCGCCTTTTTCTTCAAACTGCTCAATCTTCTTCTCGAGCTGACTGTCTTCGTTCAAATGATTCACCAACATGTTCCGGTAATGCAATTTTGGTGTGTCCAAGTAAATCTGGAAATCCGGGTCCACGGAATGCATAGCTTTTAGAACCATTGCCCTTTCGTCGCACAAAAAACACCCGTCGTTCATCATCTTGGAAAAAGTGAAACCTTTTGATGATGCTTCCTTGGAAAATATTCGAATTTGTTTTGTTAGGATGTTGTCTATGTTGCGCCTACCCAGACATTCCATTATAGCTATGTAACTTTGCAAATCCAACGAGATGTTGTCTTCAGCAACCATTTCAAGTATTTCCTGCATTTTCTCGAAATTTCCCTTACTCGCGAAACCCTTCAGCAACGCATTATAAACCTTAATACTCGTTATCGGTGGCACGTTACCATCCTTATTCTTCTTTCTGCGGTTTTTGTGAAAAATTAAAGCTTGCAAACCTCGCTGCGGTTGCTTCAAGTGACACCACAGTTCTAGGTACGCCGCCAGGGTTTTGTTCACGATTTTTTCGCGGTATTTTTGGTCGACTTTGGTTTTTTTCGTCAATTCTCTGGGATCTTTTATTTCCTCCACCACCTCCATCGGTTCGTGATGGTCTTCTTCCGTTTCTGGCAGGAATGTGCCGGCTTTTGACGGTATTCTTAACATAACATAAAAAGATATTTACCTAATTTATCGCCCAGATAGCACAAAGAAGTACTAAAAACGTCCTGAGTATATCTTGTATCAGACATTAGTAAGTTCCGAGTACGTCCGAATCAGGTCCTGAACCTTCCCCAGGACGTTCCAGGGACATCCGATGTTACCAAATCGTCGGTCCCCAGAACGTCCTAAGAAAGACATCATCTGGCCATCCTGAAATGCTTTATTGGGGACTAATGGACAAGCTTTACAGAATTGAAGAGTGGTATTCCCAAAGGCCCAGACAGCAATATGACGTCTTAATTAAGACTTATTTTAAATGGATTTTATTAAAAATCATTTTAATAATTTGTTCGTATTCGCTTATTTTAGGAATTGCGATTACTTCGTCTCACATTTGTTTAAATTTAAAGCGTGCTCTTCACCGGCACCGATAGACGGCCTGTTACCCTCTTTTGGAGCTCGTCAGTATCGGGTAGCCGTTTACCTAGGTCCAAGACCGTTTGGTACATAGAAAAACCATATGGTTTGGTATGAAGCACGTTCTAAATTCTACTTCGCCCCTTCTTATATCAAACACAAGCAGTTACAGCGGTGAGAAGAAAGAATCGCATTAAAATGTCATAAATGTGACGTCTCCATGATGACGTCTTAAAAAGTTAATAATATGTACAAAAAAACTCATACAGCTATATTGTGGCTGTGTGAATAAAACTTTTCCGTCAATGTCAAGCTGACATCGAGCTTTGTCACATCCATTATGACTTTTTTAACATTTTTAACCAAACAATGCATAAGAACTCTGGCAAGCCATTGAAGCCATTTGGAACGAGATAAAGCAAGACGGCGACTTCCATGCTTTGCCGTTTGCGGGCAGTAATTGACAAGAACAGAGGGATGACGAAATATTAATTTTTTTTTCAAACTTCAACCTAACTTTGTATTTAATTTTAGACCTTTCAAATGTGACGTATCATGTTAAAAGCCATAATTACTCCAACGAAATGATGAAAATCAGGAACACTAGATTTTTAAGCTGTATGAGTTTTTTTGTTAGCGATAGTACGTCCTTGGGACGTACCCAGTATATCCGCTATAATTTTCCCAAATAAGTAAGAGACTGGACGTACCCAAAACTTCCGATATAGGTCTAGGACGTTCGGACCTATGTGGGACCCGAAATGGACGTCCTGGGTACCTCTTGTGCTATCTGGGCGCTTTAAATATGCTATTAAGAATGTTTCAAAATATTTGTTCAAATGTGTTTTGACAAAATATCGCCATCTGCAACGATTTGTATTCTGGGTTGCCTACCTACATGCCAATAAACTCGTCCGATAAAGCAGAAATACTGCCCTTTCATTGGCGGCCTCAAAAGTTAAATAACTCCTGCAATTTTTCGAATTTGAAAAAATGGTAAGGAAAAAATCAACTTGGCATTTCAAGAAGAATTGGACGCCTTTCTGCAGAAAGGAACCAACCCACAAAACCAAAAAAATCGAGATATTTAGCCTATGAACTAATTAAGTATGTATAATTTATCTGCAAAATAGGTCATAGCCAAAATGCAAGTGTAGTGAAATCTATTAATCATTGAACCAACCAACATTCAATAATAGTGTGGATTACTAATCCAAAATTAGAATCTGTACAGTATCTGCAAGTGGGTTGGATCTTTTTTGTAAAAAAGCAGGCTGGTAGACCCACTACCAAAGTCTTTAAAGATTTCCTGCTTCTGCAAAATATAAAGTCTTGATGCATTTTTTTGGTAGCTTACAAGATGAGGTGGGGTTGGAAGATGATGTGAACGAATTTCAAATAGAATCAAAATTAATTCATATTACCATTATAATAATAATATCAGTTGTATTTTGTTTGGAAATAAATAATTGTCGCTTTTCTTTAAATACATACATACATCAGATAGTAGTTTTCATAAATTGCAGAAAGGAACCAACCAACAAAAGCCCATTTTTTTCGTCACCCTTACACATAACATCACAAAATCCACCTGATTAAATTATTAAATTATATCCTTTAAACCTCCGTAAGTCCAAAATCGGCATAAAATTAACAGGTAATTTTAAAATTGTTAAAATCTTTGATAGCTTTTTTCTCAGTTTCATCATGGTGTGGGTTGGTCCCATTCTGCAGAAAGCCGTCCAATCTGACAGATGTCAGATTGGGAAAAAGTGAGGTTAAAACTGCTTGACAGTTGTCAGATGACACTTCTATAAGTTTGACATGTTTGGCATTATAAAATGTGTTTTCATATTCCCGAATATATTTCAAACCCTCTAAAATGTTTGTAGGTCTGTGGTTTTTAACATTTTTCATTAGTTTTAAAGTTTTAAATTGTATTTTTACCATTGCATTGCATTAAAATGGAAAAAAGTGAGGTTAAAACCGTTTGACAGATGTCAGATTGGATAAAAGTGAGGTTAGACCCATCTGCAGATGTCAGATTGGGAAAAAGTGAGATTAAAACTGCTTGGCAGTTGTCAGATGACATTTCTGTGAGTTTGACATGTTTGGCATTCTAAAATGTGTTGTCATATTCCCAATTATATTTTAAAAACTCCAATATTGGTTTTAAAGTTTTAATAGTACATTCTGTAACAAGTTTGGAATACAGCATATTCCGCTCGAGGAAAAATTTGACACACGAGCCGAAGGCGAGTGTGACGGTTTTACGAGAGTGGAATATGCTATTCCAAACGTGTTTCAGACATTATTTTCTCTACGACTACGTAAGAATAGTAACGCTTATATAATTTTAAACAGAGAAAAGAAACCTCTAAGCAGTTTTTGACATTTAAGTTTTTTGTATTGTCAAACCATTTTGTGCCGTCACAATTTTATAATGTAAATTATAATAAATTTAAACAAATGGTATGCCTAAATCTTTATTATAATTAAAAATGGTTATTTACACTAACTAATAAAAAAAATAACATTGTAACAAATACAAAACTAATTTTACAAGTAAGGGGCCGTTCAAGTATTACGTAAGCAGATTTACTACAATTATTAACCCCCCCTCCCCCTTGTCAGCAAAAGTAATCAAAGCTCTTACCAGCCCTCCAATGCTTACGTAAACATTGGTCTTTTTGTTTTCAAGCATAGACAATGTGTGGGTTGCCATATGTGTAAAAAAGTAAATAACTACTGCGTACGTAATCACCATCTAGACCCCCCACCCCCCATGTCATCAAAAATAAGCAAAGCAAAGACCCCCCCACCCCCCTATAGTGCTTACGTAATACTTGAACGGCCCCTAATCTATGTCAACATCTATTCTTTTTCTACATTTTAAAGGTCTTTTTTTAAACTTTGAATTTTGAATCTGACAAAACTTCAAAGCCGTTATAGTAGGTAACTGGTTTATCATTTTAATATCAAATTTATTATAATTTTGATTTGTATATTTGAAAAACAATAAATATAACTAATTTTTTGTGCCTAAACCTTAATTATACAACTGCTATTATTTTTTAATTAATAAATAATACAGTAATATTTAAATATTTTTAAATTTTTTACGTTTAGTAAACAGCCAGGAGATGTCGTTACTTGTGACCATTCTTAAACAAGAGTAGGAATATTCTCGCACAGTATTGCAGAAAAACATCCTTTCTATGATCAAAAATTACACTAGAATGTTACTATTCTTAAGTAGTCATAGAGAAATTGTATTTTTATAATTCCATTGCATTAAAATGAGAAAAAGTGATGTTAAAGCCGTTTGACAGATATCAGATTGGATAAAAGTGAGGTTAAACCCATCTGACAGCTGTCAGATTGGGAAAAAGTGAGGTTAAAACCGCTTGACAGTTGTCAGATGTTTGCATTCATTGTAGAGAAATCAGTAGTCTTAATATTCAACTTACCTATGCAAAGCTAAATCGTCAAAAATTTCAGTCTGCCCATCCATAAACTCTCTATTTACACTCTCCTCCACATTATTTAAACTTAAATTACTTTCCACATCAACAGGATACAAAGCTGGCACATTATAATATGTCACATCATTATTAATTAAACTGTGGACTTCTTCATTTGAAGAACTATTTGCAGCAAAATTATGTATTATTCCTAGACTATTATAGGTGTGTTCTCCAGATATTTGCAGCGTTTTAGCCATATCCTTTAATTTATATAACTCGCTCAAGTTTAAATTTGTACTCGTGAATAGCTTCATGTCTTTGGATGTCAGTCTTTTTATGGTGGCTTTTTGTTGGACTGTGCTGTTTTGGTCAACTAAAAAATATAGTGTAGAATAGTCTTCTTGGTTTCCAAAAATATTGACAGTTTGACCAACTTTATTTTAATGTTATTTATAATCTGTGGTTATTTACCTGCCAAAAGTTCCGCATACTTTCTTTTTACTTTTCCTTTCTTCTTCACTGTCTGTGAGGGATTTGGACTTGTTATCGTCGATTGAAACCTTAAATTAACTAAAAACACAATACATAAACATCATTATAACACAGTATAACGATTATTTACCTCTGGATGTCCTATTTAAATGCCTACAAAGTTCACACGTTTTTTCACCGACCAAATAATCATTTTCCCCTAATTTACCTAACGACAACTTCGGTGAACCACCCAGTATTGCACTATTATACTTAAGTAATCTGTACATAATTCGAAATTTAGCTTAAATTTGATCAAAAACCGGTAAAATCATCGTTAATTTCGTTTGACATTCACGTGTTGTGATTAGACGCCATGATGGATTCAAAAATTGCGTAATGCAATACAGGAAACTGTATTCACCGAAACCACGCTATTAACCGATAGGTGGCGTTTATTTGTAGTTTGAAAAGAAACCACTAGGCAATGTTACCGTCGCCCCCAACAAAGTAGGGTGGTTTTTGTACTATTTTTGAAATATTTAATTTTAAATAGACCTCAGTCTCAGATGTGACTGGTTTATAGTGCAGTTAATAATTTTATTTATGTGTGGATTGTTTATTTTGTTTAGTTTTTAGTGACTTTACGATGTAAGTATGGGTTTATGGTGTATTTAATTAAAATTTTATTACGATTTTAATATGGTTAATTCAAATAATTTAAAGTGTAACATATGCAGGCTTTTGAAGTGTTTACCCCTATGATTTTAACATCATCATTATTAAAAAGATATTTTGCTTTGTTAGAAAAATTATTAAATTAGTGATAAAACATGTTTTTTTTTAAGGAAAAATGCAAGCCCCAGTTTAATTAAATAAATAAAGAGATAAATAATATTTAATCTGAAATAAATAAAAATATGCGGCATATACAGATTTAAATGTTTATAATTAATACATACTGACATAATTATTTATTATTATCTATTACTTATCCAGGACTGTATTTTGTTAAAAGGACATAATCTAATTGATTTAGCAGTCTCTAACTAATATTTTTTAATTGCAATAACATTATACTTTCATATAAAAAAATATATAGCTCTTCTCCAAAACATACATTTTTATTAATAATTTTATTTTAAGTTTCTTATGGTTTAAATTTTTGTATTGCACAATTAATAAAAAAATGCAAATCAATACATTAAGGGGGGCAAATAGAGACGCCAAAAATAATTAATATTAAAAATCCAAAAAAAACTAAAAATACTTTTAATAATTCTTTGTGGAATGAACATATATGTATAACTTAATAATTAATATCCCGGGACCTTGTTTGTGTTAAAAGTTAGGGGGTCAAAAGATATAAACGTGAAATTTATCACCCAATATTTCAATTTGTTGTCACTTTTCGCAAAAATATGTATATATTTATCTATGGCTAATAGGATGTTTAAATTTTGTTTTATTTATTAGTTCGTTTTTTGTTTATTTCAGATTTTTTTACTTTTAAGTTTTGAGTTGAAATGATTTCACGTGCAGTTTTTTTGGTGATTTTTTTAACAAATTTCGTTAATATCCAAGGAGCAGCTAGAAATACAGTGACGTAAGTTTTTTTTTACATATTTTGTATAATTTTTTAAATTTAACATTTTACGTAATGGTTGGTTTTCTGTAATTCCCCTATTTTTAAATGCAAATAACTTAAGATATTTAAGTAATTTTGAAAAATTTATAGGAGATAATTTAAGGGAAATGAAACGCTCTACAAAAGAGGTTCTGTAAAATATTGCGATAAGCTGGATAGTAGTTCACGGAAAAGTATTAAAATCTTGAAATTTACTGTAAATTCAACTTTGACCTTGAATAACTTTTGAAAGAGTGAATTTATCAAAAAATGTTAAGAGACCTTTTTTGTAGAACGTTTAATTTCCTACAAAAATAAGTCATGACCTTTCTGGTGTATTAATCTTTTGATGAGGTAAAAAATAACAAAGTTTAAACAAAAATCCATGTTATTTTCGAAAATCTAAACGATATTTTTGAACAAAGATCTTCTTGTTTGCAAAGAGTTCATCAGTTTTTAAGACCACATTATTAGGTCAGGGTTTAATTCTTCACAAGACTAAAAATAAACCAAACAAAAACAAATCACTATTATGCGTAAATATACAATTTCAAACATTCCAACTGTTCCGTTTGGACACATCATTTATTTTTAGAATTATGTCAACTTGTATATAAGATCGTCAAGCAAGTTTGAAATTACACGTTTTTTGCGGACAGTGTTGTAGGATGGCGCCACTTTAAATGCTCATATTTTTCTGTTTTTATTATCGTAACATCAAAAGCCCGATAATTTACTCAACGATCCGTTTCTCTCTCTAGGGGGTAAACGAACTGAAGTTTATTTATACAGTTGACAATACTCGAGCTTCAACCATAAAATCTAGTTTGGTTCATTTTAAATGTCTTTAAATGAAACAGGAATATATATAGTATATATATAGTAATAATAATGACAGGGGCAAAAGTATGCCTGCAATTGTATGAAATTCTAAAACCTGTTTCAAACATTATAAAAGCTTTTTTTCATCCCAAAGAAAAACTTGTACAATCACTAAAACTCTTCAGACCGAATAGTTTCCATATACCATGCTAAATTGGGTCCCTGGGGTGTATTATAGAGCAACATCCCATATTATTCCATGCCGTATTGCATTTACTAATGGACTTAATGGTTGTAAAGGAAAAACACGTGTAAATACAAAGAACGACTTGTTACTAAGAACCAATGTGTTTGTTATTTTAGGATTACGTTTGATGTTATAAAAACAAACTTTATGTTTCTTTTAAGATCGAGTTTTATCTACCAATCACAGTGTGCTACCAATGTTATTTGTAGTTTTTTAAGAGTAATTAATGTATATTATTAATTAACAAGGATGGCTGTTTTTTAGTTACCTATTAATATTTTAAAGTTAAAAGGAAAAACTGCAATTTGTTGGAGACATATATGTATAAATATTTAAGTGCTTTATGGTCATTTATAAATTTGCCTTGGCCATATGGCGTTCGCACATTTTTAAAATTTGTTATTTATGTACAGCAATTTTCCCATGAAACCATAAAGTCTTAAGTAATGGTCGTTAAAAACACCCATTAAAATATCGTTGGTATTTGCTGGATGCCAAATTTCCGTGTTCCTATTGGCCAGACAAAAAAAAATAAGACAAAAAATGTAGAGCAAAACTTTCTTTATTTAGTTCCTAAAAAGTTGACAAAAATTAGTTTTTTATACAGGGTGTCACCAAATAAGTTGTCATCCTTCAAGGGGATGATAGTACACGCCAAAATAAGAAATTTCTTAAGTTTTTCCCTGCATTACTTCCATTTTTTTTTGACTGACGCAAAATATGCTTGCACAGTGGGCAATAATCTACTCTCTAAAAATGAATTAGTCAAAAATGACTAATTTAATAGTTATTAGTGACTGCTTTTTCACTTGTGCCATGGTTAACCATGGAATACCATGGTATCCCAAAATTTAACAGCCAATTCTTATGTAAAATTGTCCCCTGAATCCGAAAATGTCGTCAAAAGTTAAAAAAGTAGAACAGTTTTTGAGATATAGTAAATTTTCCATTTAATATGGAATTGACTATATCTCAAAAACTGCCCCACTTTCATAATTTTCGGATTCAGGGGACAATTTTACATAAGAGTTGGCTGTTAAATTTTGGGATACCATGGTATTCCATGGTTAACCATGGTACAAGTGAAAAAGCAGCCATTAATAACTATTAAATTAGTTATTTTTGACTAATTCATTTTTAGAGAGTACATTCATTAAAAATTTACATTTGTGTTATCATTGATTACTTTTTGATTATTGTTTTTTGTTTTATGGTACTTTGAATAAAACAATACTTACTTTTTATTGTTATAATAGGTATCTCGAGGTTTCCGTGGTTTTCCCGTCGATTTTAAATTTCAACTTTCACTTTTTACGGGTTCCACAAAATCATAATAAATGTTCAACTATCCCGCCGTTATTATCAACACAAAGTTGACAGCGGCGTAGAAAATTATGATGTGTCGCTCTTGCCATCATATCCGGATGATTTCGGATTTCATCTGCCGGTGCAGTGACAAGGTCGCGGAGTTGTTCTAATGTGTCAACTTCGCTCTGATACACCAAACTGTTCATGTAGCCCCAGAGAAACCACAATAACAACCGTACTCCCAGTAATCAATGATAACAAAGTACCTACTAACCGATTTTGAATAAGTTTAAAAGTTTGCTTGATATTACATAATACACTGCGCATGTCTATTTATTATTTGCTTGGATAAATAATATCATTGTTTTTAGAGGTAAAAACAATGATAATGATAGCTCAGTTACATCCAGTGGCTCCCTGCCCAAGAAGCAAAGGGTTTCCACCGATAATGCTTTACTGTTTTATGCAAGCTTTATAAATGCATGAAAACATGCTTTTTGTTTTATTTTATCTCTACTTCGTGTTAGTTGGTCTTGAGATAATAAAGCTTTATGATTAGGCTTTATGAGCGACTTTAAAGTAAAGCATTTTTGCAATTATAACCGTTTGATCTTAACATTGATTTATTACTGTTAACCAATAATGCTTTTTAGGGCAACTTGCCCCTTAGAAACCCCTATAGTCCAATAAGCTTTATGAAGGTTTATCAGATCCCTTGCGGCCTTGAGTTCACGGTTTATTCACCGTGAATTCACCGTGAATTCACTGTGAATTCACCGTGAATTCACCGTGAATTTACCGTAAATAAACCGTCTGTTTGTGACATTTGTAAACGGTAGTTAGACGGTGACTTGTGAATTTAGTTTTTGTAAAATAAATGCGCTTCATCAATATTTAAGTATAAACAAATTATTTATTTAATAATGTTTATAAATAAAAAAATCTTAATATTTATTATTAATTTTTTATTTAATTATTAATACCGTCTATTAGCAACAAAATTACTATTTATTAAAAAGTAAACAACCATTTACAAATTTGTAAATTGTTAACAATTAAAATAATTTATTATTTACATTACCACGTGGTACTTGCAACCTTAAGATTACCGTGAATTTGCGGTGTTTTCACAGTCAATTTACGGTGTTTTCACAGTAAACTCACAGCGCTTTTACGGTGAATTCACGGTGATTTCACGATAAATTTACGGTACTTTGACAGTGAATTTGCGGTGATTTTGCAAATTTGAGTTCACCGTGAATTTACCGTAAAATCACCGTGAATTAACCGTGAAATCACCGTGAATTTATCGCAAAAACAGCGTGAGTTCACCGTTTAATTACCGTCTACAAATGTCACAAATGAACGGTATATTCACTGCACATAAACTGTGTATTCACGGTGAATTCACGCAAACGGTGAATTCACGGTGAATTCACCGTAAACTCAAGGCCGCAAGGGATGCCTATTGGTTTTAATGGTGCTCGGAAAGTTGGCTTTAATGCATCTGCAGAAAGGAAACATGTTTCCTTCAACCTCCTGTTCCAACCAAGAGCTAAATCCGCATCATTTTATGACAGCAATTAAGACAATTTTTAGGTGTTATCTGACAAAGCATTATAGCCCTGATGGCGATACTTCTGATGAAAATACTGCAAAGTTGTTTTAAAATGCTCGCACAAAATTCCAATTGGTGTTATTATAGCCCTAATGGCGATACTTTTGATGAAAATACTGCAAAGTTGTTTTAAAATGCTCGCACAAAATTCCAATTAGTTTTATGATTGATTGCCTTGAAAATGCAGTGAACAAATAGTTGTAAACACTTTTTAAAGCAATTAAACTTTTTAGCAGTTGTTTGCAAGAGTACATTGTTGTATAACTGAAAACGCCATTTAAATTAGAAAATATTGCTCCGCCATGATGAAATAATTTTAATAAAATACGAATAGATAATATTTTTCAGAATATTTAAAAAAAAATTGGCATTTTAGTTGGCATCAAACGTTTTGTGTCTCGGCAATTAAGTTTTATTAGTAAAGTGGTATTTGTTTATGATTTTTGCATCCGAGAGTTATTGGTTGGCAAAAGATAATAATTTCCTTATTAAGTTTTTAAAATAAATAATGGCCTATATATAGGCATATAATAAATAATAATAATAATAATAAATAATGGCCTATAGGCATATATATATATGCTATATGCATATATATATATGCTATAGCATATATGCTTGTGATTCATAAGGCAACAATATACCAAAGAAGTATTTTATTAAAGCAATATGGAATTTACAAAGATCATCAATAAGTACAAATTGTCAGCTAAAATGTGTACGACAAAAGCACACTACCTCCTTAAAACTTATTGCACTGTAAGCTGTTTTATGGGTAAGGTAAGGTGTGCCTTAGGAGTAATTCAATAAAGCAAATTTGCTTTAAAGCAAATAGTAACTAAGCAATGCAAATTACCCTTAAGAGTAGTTTTATGGAGCCCTTGTATACTTAAAAAACCTATTTTGCTACTTGGTTGGTTTTGTTAAAAAAGTTTCATAATTTTTTTATTAAAAAACAGTAGCAAAAATGATAGAAAAAAACTTTCTCCAAACATCCCTCCAAAGGATATTACTGGATGTTTCTTTTGTTCTAACACTTTTTTTGACCAACCAATAGGAAACAAAATAAAACGATTCAAACAAAAAAAGGGGAAAAAACCGAAAGGAAGAAGTTGACATCCCAGGTAGCACACTGACATCTGCTGACGTTTAAATGACATTTAAACGTCAGCAGACGTCAGTATGCTACCTGGGATTATACCTTTTTTGGCATTTTTTTCGTCAGATTCATTTTAAATGACTTTTTTAGAAATGAAGATATCCGTGATGCAATTTTGCAAGTGGTTAAGGTTGTGAAAACCACCGAAGACAAATTGGAGAGGCATGAATTTAGGGAACGTGTACTGGGTGATTCCTTGAAAAAAGGTAGAATCCTATTCGAACGTTGCAACGCGTTGCTACGAATTTCCATGTCAACACAACTTTTTTTTAGGTTTGGTGATAATCGAAAAAAGAATAAAAACTCTGGACCCTTTAAAAGGAGCTTTCACGAGGTTGGACGAACGTCTTGCTGCTGTAGAATCAGTGTTACTTCAAAAGGACGAAAGAGAAAAAAATCACCTTCAAAAAACGTTTGATGTGGTGGACGATATTCACAAAAACCTTCCAAGTTTATTGGAAAAAGTCAAAAATGAAATCATTGATGAAGTAATCTTTTGTATTTTTTGTATTTTTTAAAAGTTACCATCTTAAAATTTTGTAGATAAGAAATAGCCAACAACCACCTGCCCAAATGACGGAACCTCCAGTATCGAAAAAAATCTTTGAAAAACTGGAAAAGGAACTCATCTCCAAAGTCGATCAGGTGTCAAAATCACTAAGTGGCGTGGAAAAACAACTGGGAAACCTGAGAAACGATAATAAAGGCATTCTGGATATGAACAACAAATCTTCAGAAAGTTTGGAAAAAGTTAAAAGACAACTGAATAGCAGTGAAAGTTTGCTGCAAAAATACGAGGATAAGTTGTCGGAGTTCAATAAAATCGCCATTTCGACTCCCGAAAACGATGATGATGATCGATGGAAGAAAGAGTTTTTGGATGGTGAGTGGCGGAACGTAAAAAAACTCTTCATACAATTTTTTTTTAGATCTTAAAACCCAACAAACTCAAATCTCGAGAATCCTCAGTGACGTCCAGAACGTAAGTCGATTGTTCTCAATTATCCCTGATAAAAGGGAAGTGGAAAGCATGGGTAACATGACCATGAGGAAGCTTGAAGAGCTCAAACAGTTGGCCTCCAGGCCTACCGGTATTTCGGACGATTTATCCAAAACCATCAAGGAAATTAAGGAGGAACTTGAAAATAATCACAGCGAGCTCAATGGGACGCTTACCGATTTAACTGAGGTTTCTAGCGCGCTCGCAAGCAGCATTCCTGCAAGCTATGACCAAATCAAGTAAGTTGAAATACGTTTTTATAGAGAATTATATAAGGGCCTTTCCATCTCAAATCGACCAGGCAAAAAGCGTTATTTTTTAACAAATTTTTTTTACAGTTGCTCTATCGAAATCGTTGAGACCTGTATTTTTTTTTTGCTTAAATTTGATTTGTTTGCCCGTAGGAAATTTTTGAAAAATGGACAGAAACATCGATTTTTTTTTTTACGAGTGACATTTTTTATTGAAAATGTGATAACTTGGCCAAATCGTTACAATTTTTTTTTAAATTGTTGGTAAATGTTTACTACATATAAAAAATATAAAAAATAGGTGAATTTACTAATTTTTTTAAGTGTTTTTCTAAAAAAGGCCAAAAAAATTGAAATCTAAACTTTGACATTGCAACATTTTTTTTACTTCATTTTTTTTCCTTTGAAGTTGATAATAAAAACAAATTTCACCAAAAGTCCCGAGTTGGCTAAATTTGTGATTTCGAAATTATTTTTTTAATGAAAATCCCATTTCATATTAAATTCGTGGTTCATCGCAAAAATTTTATCTACTCGTAGGGTCATAAAACTGGGGTGACATTTATAAAGTGTAATTTAGAACTTTTTGACATTTTTAACATATTTTTGTCACTTCCAGTTTTAACGGAAATAACGGAAATGGTCCCAACTTTTTATTTTTTAATAAAACACCCTATGCATTTTTCAATTTTTGACATGTCAAATCATTTTTTGATTAAATTTTATTTCTATATCTAGAGTGAATTGAATTGGCTTTTCTGCTTCATGTTGGGCCAAGTAGTCTGGAAAAATACAATTTTATTCTTTTTTGCAATGCTGGTTTTTAGGAGCTTTCAAAAGATGAAAAACATACTTTATGCCAAAACTATTTTTTTTAATAAAAGAGGGTGGTTCGTAGGTCATAAAAGAAATCCACTTTTTTAAAATTTAATACCAAATATTAATGCATTTTTTTAATAATATCGCTTTCAAACTTGAAAATTTAAATGTTTCTTAGGTTTTAAAGTGTGTACATAAATTAAGAAGGCTTTGAAACCTTTGTGTTTAAAAGAATATTTGACTATAAAAACATACGCTAAAACTTTTAATAAAATAAAATAAAAATAATAATTGAGGTGGTTAGAATCAAAGGGGTGTAAGTAATTACTCAACATTTTTTAGTTTTAAAACTACCAACTAAAATCATTAAAATATTTTGAAATGATTATAAAAAGTTATATTTAATTTGTTATTTCTAAACATAATTAACCTGCGCATTAGTTTCTGGACCTCTTAGGCTTAATAATTATTTTTCTTCCTGATAGCGCCTCAGTCAAAAGGAGTTTCGTGACTGCCTCACTCTTATCTGTTAACCGGCAAAAATTTATCGGAATTGTTGGTGTTCCACATTTCTTGGAAATCGCGTTTTTATTTATAAGTTTATAAGTTTCTTGTGTAATACTTACTTTTTATTATTTTAAAGAAGAATTTACATTTAACTATAAAATCTTTAATAATTTAATTTACTTACATTTTCAGGGAAACGAGAAGTGACAAAAATATGTTAAATATGTCAAAAAGTTCCAAATAACACATTATAAAGGTCACCCTACTTTCATGACCCTAAATAAAATACCAAATTTTTGCGATGAACCATGACTTTACTAGAAAATGACATTTTCATTAAAAAAATAATAATTCCGAATATATATCAACTTCAAACGAAAATAATTTAAAGTAAAAAAAAATGTGGCAATGTCAAAACTTTCACCAAATTTTTTTTTGCCTTTTTTTAGAAAAAACAAAAAAAAATTTGTGAATTCACTTAATTTTTTGTATTTTTTTGTTGTATGTAGTACCTAAACATTAACCTACAATTAAAAGAAAATTGTAACGATCCTAAACAATTCTCTAAAAGAGAAAAATCGATGTTCTGTCCATTTTTTTGAAATTTCCTATGGGTGAACAAAACAAATTTAAGCAAAAAGAAAAAATAGGGGTATCATTGATTTCGGTAGAGAAACTGTAAAAAAAATTTCGTTGAAAAATAACGACCTACCCCTTTTTGCCTAGTCGATTTCAACTAATTTAAAATAATATTTTTTTATAGAAACGATATAAACTCCCTGAACCGACTTGAGCAAGTTATGATGCAAACTGCTGATAACGTGTTGGATACCAAACGTAGGGTGGAATACGGGGTTCACCAAATTTTGGCCGACGTCAGCAACAAAATTAAAGATGGCGGCAAGGATGTTATAGACTCGGTCAATGAAAGGTAACACATTTCGATCTCTCGTCCGGAAGTAATGTTTTTATATTCTCAGGTTTGAAACGTTTGAAACGTCGATTTTGGACGAAGAAAATGGAGCCTTGGCTAACCTTACATCGAAAATTGGCGAAGAAATCGATCAGGTTTGGAGGCAAATCGGCATAATGCATCAACAAATGACAGCCAGCACTGACACGTTAAATAAGCTTCAAAACCAAACGGATTCGTACGTCAACGGATCGTTGAAATCCATGGATAGTATGAAAGGAAAAGTAAGTAAATTATCCTGTTTGTGCGTTATTTACAAAAATATTTCAGGTGGGCCAGGTAAACACCCGCATGGAGGAAGTGGACGAAAATTTGAACTACCTACTGGGCAAACTGTCCATGGTTAGTCAGGAATTCAACATGATCAAATCAGGCTTGGGAAAAGCTCTGGAAGATATCAAAAACAGTTTTAAATCCGTCGAACAGGAAGTAAAAGACGTTGGTCCAGGTCCTCACAAAATTTCCAGCAATGAAGTTGCTGGAAATTAATTTTTTTATTAAACAAAAAACATCTGTAAGAAAGTCGGGAAAAATGTGTTTTTTTTGTAGAATAGCTGTCATTTTGACAGTATCAATTTTTTACTTATTTAAGATAATTGTTTAGTTTGTGGTAGGATTTTTATACTTTTAGGTATTAATAAATAAAGTTATTAGTTAAAACTTGGTGTTTTTTAATGTACAAATGAATATTTTTGAGAATAAGGCCGAAAAATGTTAAAAATATCGAGAAAAAAAAGTGGCATGATTTGTTGTGTTGTTGGGTGTTTTTCGAGGGGAAATCCTGGGCAGTAGCGTGCCGTGGGTCTAAGGGCGGAGGGGGCGAACTTTCTTAAAAACAACATTTTTTTTATTTGATACAAAATTGTCAACAAATTAGGGCGCCAAATGCGGTCTGCGCAGAAGGGCAGGCCGCCCCCCCTGGCCCCCTTTACTGCACGCTACTGATCCTAGGTTGGGTTTTAACCGGTTTCCCAATAAACAGTGGAAATCCAAATAAAAAAATTAATTGCACACAGTCCCTGTAAATACAAATTGTACCTCTTGGATACAATAAATACCCGATTTACGTGAAAATTGTAAACATTATAATCAGGGCCGGATTTACGAATTTGCCGCCCATGGGCCCAACGCATCATTACCCCGAATAACGAATGACTCAGCGAATAAGCTAGAGTCGCGCCCCACTCGCCTCGTGTACATCGACTGCCGCCCTTCTACGCAGTGACGCCACTGAACTATACAACCTTGTATAGTTCAGTGAGTGACGCACTACGCAGAATAATAGTACAGTCTGATATAAAATTATCTAATGGATTAAAAAACTTCTCTTCCAACTTTTTATAGTTTTAATTAGTGTATAAATCTGAGTGAAAACAAAAATTCTGCATAAAACGCTCTTGATTTTTTAGCAAAATTTTAACTGGCCTTCAAAATTTGCCGCCCCTAAAAATTTGCCGCCCTGGGCCCGGGCCCATGTGGCCCATGCCTAAATCCGGCCCTGATTATAATTATAAAATTCAGTTAAAAGCATAAAACAAATAAGTCGTCTAAATTCAAACAGCGTCATGCAATATTAACCCGTAACTGGTGACGTGGAGTCTTCCAGACTCCTCAGCATTTTAAAAACAGTGTATTTTTTAAAGTTCGCGCTAAATCTGTACCCCCCTCTAGGTACCTTCAATCCTCGATGTTATTAACCCCCTCTATCAATATCAGTCGTTTCCGAGTTGTGTATGTAAAGACAAGTGTGTGCAAAGTTCAAGCGGAGTCTTTCAGACGTGGCCACGTCACCGTAAGTGTAATTTTTTTTGGGGCTTGAAATAAATATTTATTTTTGGATTCTTAGGCTTTTCAGTATGAATTCTGAGCCTTCAACTTCAAAGGCAGTTAAGTTTGGCGATGAGGATTATGAAGCTTCACTGCTAAAGTGGTTTGATGAAATTGACAGCGATACAGAAGAGGATCAAGATAATCAAAATGATGATTTTCAGTTATCTGATCACGATTCCGGGTCTGTGCAGTCAGTCTCCGATTTGGAAGATGTTCCGGAAGCCCTTATCGAGCATGATTTGGCAGCCAACGTTGAGTCGGTATCAGGTTCTGATGATGAAACACTTTTAGACAGTAGAGAAAACGTTCCAAAAGACCGTTACTACTACGGCAAAAACAAATTCAAATGGTCAAGCTTGGAGCCAAAGAAAAACACACGTACGCAACTTCACAACATCGTGACGCATTTACCAGGGATAAGAGCTCCTGGAAGAATAGCAGATCATAATCAAACAGAAAAAGTCTGGAATCTTCTGTTTGATGATGAAATAATAGGAAATGTGGTACGATGGACAAATGTAAAATTAGCCAAAATGGCTCAAACGTATAAAAGGATTGATAAACCAGAGCTCAAGCCAGTGGATGATATCGAAATAAAGGCATTCGTGGGACTTCTTTTTTATACAGCAATTTTTAAATCTAATAATGAAGATATCGCTTCGATATTTGCCACCGATGGGACAGGAAGGAATATTTTTAGATTAGTCATGAGCCAGAAAAGATTTGCTGTCCTTTTATCTTCTCTCCGATTCAACAATCCCGTTGACAGAATTTTGCGCAGAATAAGTGATCCTGCTGCTGCAACTAGCGAGCTGGTTAACAGATTTTTTAAAAACTCTCAGAGAGTATTTACAATTGGAGAATATGCGTGTGTTGATGAGATGTTGGTGGGTTTCCGAGGAAGATGTCGCTTTAAGATGTATATGCCTGCAAAACCAAACAAGTACGGCTTAAAAGTAATGATGCTTACAGATGCTCGTAGCGGCTATGCATATAATGGATATTTATATTGTGGTAAGGATTCCGATGGTCAAACTTTATCTCAGGACGAGAAGAAATTTAGTAAGCCCACACAAAGCGTGATAAGGTTAGCTCAGCCTTTGAATGGTACCAACCGAAATATAACAGCCGACAATTGGTTTAGTTCCATAGAATCGGTACAGGAGTTAAAGAAAAGGGGCTTAACATATGTAGGCACATTGCGAAAGAATAAAAGAGAAATTCCACCGAACTTTCTACCAAACAACACCAGAGAAGTAAATTCCTCTTTGTACGGATTTACAAGAGATATGACGCTCCTATCATACGTGCCAAAAAAACGCAAAGCAGTACTGGTGATTTCATCGATGCATCATTGCAAGTCAACTGACGCCGTTGATACTAAACCTGAAATAATACTTCATTATAATGCAACAAAAGGTGGAGTTGACTCAACCGATGAAAAATGTGCTGTTTATAGTTCAAGTAGAAGAACTCAACGTTGGACCATGGCAATTTTTTTCCAAATACTGGACATGAGTGCTGTTAACGCTTTCATTATGTACAACAGCTACAGGGATAATCAAAATTTACAACGCTTTAAAGCGTTGCGTTAACGCAATTGCGTTCATGAAAGATTTGGCAAGGAACCTAGTAAAGCCTCACATGCACAGGAGAGTTGGCAATAGGAGACTTCCACTGGAGATTCGAAATGGTATCCGGAAGATTTTGAATATTGACCCAGAGCCAGAACGTGAAAAAGTCCTCGAGAGCAGGAAGTACTGTTACATATGTAATCCTAAACTAAAGAGGAAGACACAATACACTTGCAGGACGTGCCACCGGCCTGTTTGCCTGCAATGTGCGAGGAAAGTGTGTATCGAATGTTGCGCGAGAGACGATATAAATGACTGATTTGGACCCTTGACAGTTTTTTTCTCCGTCGGAATATTTTTATTATGTTTAGTTTTTTTATTTCCTTTAATAAAATTTATTAAGAAAATTTATGTTTTTTTATATCTGGGGCTGCTGGAACGATGGTAGTAACTTTTTAATTATAAAGTGTTTTTCTTTGAGTAAAATTTACCGATAATTCTAAAATGTGCAATTACTTTACTATTGCTTAATTTTTTGTCAATGTTTTTATGTTTCTGTGTTTAAAACATAATAATTAATCACTAAATATAACAAACTTGTATAAATTTCATTAAATGCATTAATTATAATAATAATAATTAAGGAAGTCTCACAGACTCCACGTCACCGTTAGTGTAAAACTTTTTCACGTCACCCGTTACGGGTTAAAAGCTTTGATTGAGAAAGTCTCCACTCAACGGTAAAAAACTAAACAGATAGTATACTATCTATAGATATATTTTAAAATGCAGTTGTCGACTCAAATATAAAAATGTTTGATTTTAAAGTTATGTTTGTAAAATGTATTACTTGTTGTTAGATTTCTTTAAAATGTCCAAACTTAAATATAAATTACATAATATATTATATTAGGTAAAGTTATCCTTATAATGTTAATTAATTAAGAATTCTGCACCAACAAAAATGCAAAGATTTAATTTTGAAATTACTCTTTACAATTAAAGACGTCTTTAATTGTGTACACAATTCACCATGATCACTTAGTTTTAATATACACACTAAAATATCATTCACATAAGTGGATATCCACTTAATAAGCGTAACTTAACTTAACTTACGTGAGAGACGTAAGTTGAAATACATTGAAACCACACAGCAAACGGAAAATTATAGAAGTGTATAGGATGACTCCGCGTTTGAATATCAAAACTTAAAGTTTTATCATAACTATTGAATCGTGCTTTGTTTGTATATTTTTCGGCTCTATACCTATGCACGACTATATTTAAAGTCAAACTCAATGGTGTCTTACAACTTGTAAGTTACAAGATACATTATTTTGATTTTCTATATTCAACAGAGAGGTAGAAACTCGACCCTGTCGAATGGTGCAGTCATTTATGTCTCTAGAAATTATTAAAAAAGGGTTCAGTCCAATGGTGCAGCAACTTCGGATTCCTATTCTGCTCAGAGACATAGAAACTCAAGCTTTTCGAATTTTACTGGCAATGATTTTCGTTAATGTCCCCGAGAATTATACAAAAACAGCGCAATGCAATATCGCAACGGTTTCGACTTCTCTTTACTCTACCAAGTTATAGAAACTGGAGTCTCTCTAATACTGTTCTAGTCAAAATTTCTGAGAGTATAAAAAGAGGGTGTAATATTGCAAGAAGTTTTGATCTTTTGATGGATGCAAGTAGTTCGAATTTTCTCCTTTCTGCATATGATTTTGTTGAAAATAGTTCCTTTCTTTGGTTCCTTTGTCTGATTTTTATTTACCGTAACAACTCAGGTATGTAAAGCATGTGTGCATCATATGATGTTATCTGTGCATCATATGATGTTAAGTATATTTAAGTATTGTATAAAGTACCTATATTTGTATTAAAAATTTCAGAGGTTATGTTGAAAAAATGATCGATATACTATTAAACTTTAATAATTTAGTAATTAGGTCTGTTGGTAGACCCTGCACTATCTCCACTGGTATATGTTAGTTTTGTAATATTTAAATCTGGTTGATGAAAAAGTACACACCAGTGCAGGTTATTGTACATCTACATATCATTTTATCCGCGAACATCTGCTTTTATCCGCAAACATCTCATTTTATCCGCGAACATCTATTTTAATCTGCAAACATCTGCTTTTATCCGAAAACATCTGATTTTATCCGCAGACATATGCTTTTATCCGCAAACATCTGATTTTATCCGCAAACATCTGCTTTTATCGGCAAACATCTGCTTTTATCCGCAAACATATCATTTTATCCGCGAACATCTGCTTTTATCCGCAAACATCTCATTTTATCCGCAAACATCTGTTTTAATCTCCACACATCTGCTTTTATGCGTAAACATCTATTTTAATCTGCAAATATCTGCTTTTATCCGCAAACATCTGATTTTATCTGCAAACATCTGATGTTATCCGCAAACATCTGCATTTATCCGTAAACATCTGGTTTTATCCGCGAACATCTGATTTTATCCGCAAACATCTGATTTTATCGGCAAACATCTGATTTTATACCCAAACATCTGATTTTATCCGCAAACATCTGCTTTTATCCGCAAACATCTGATTTTATCCGCAAACATCTGCTTTTATCCTCGAACATCTGGAAACATCTGCTTTTAATTGCAAACCTCTGCTTTCATCCGCGTTCGGTTTGCCTGCATTTCCTTTGTCCATTTCGGTCCTGTTTCGTACGCAAACGTCTGGTTTCATTCGCGCTTTTTGTTTTCCTTTTTCTCGTGTATACTTTAGTTTAGTTTATCTGCTTTGTCAAATTTTACTGAGCTTTAACTAACTGGTTGTTCACGGCACACAACTTTATAACTCTAAAAGGAATTGAATAAAAACAACCTGTAAAGGAAATAAGTTTATTCAACACGACATTTTCCCAATGAGAAAATAATTTAATTATATTCACCAGATTTAAATTTAAAAATCAGGTATAGTGAAGAGTACCACAGAAATAATAAGTATATTAATTCTTACATATATATTAAAAATATTGGTTATGCTAAAATTAAAAAAATTATAAAGTTAGATGAAAAATTCTACGCCGATATAAGTGTTTTTAAAACAAATTCCATACAAATTGAAGATGTTATATTTCCAAATGTATTTGAAATTAAACATATATGTTTTCTAACAATTAATTTAAATGTAAGCTTAATGATTAAAAAATGTCTATTTATGTCTTTTAACAAAGACCTTATTTGTATTTTACCAAATAATATTGAAGTTCAATAAACTTATTTCCTTTACGGGTTGTTTTTATTCAAATAATTCCTTTTAGATTTATAAAGCTGTGTGCCGTGAACGGCTAACAACCAGTTAGTTAAAGCTCAGTAAAATTTGACAAAGCAGGTAAACTAAAGTAACTATACAGGAGAGGAAAACAAAAAGCGCGAATGAAACCAGACGTTTGCGTACGAAACAGGACCGAAATGGACAGAGGAAATGCAGGCAAACCGAACGCGGATGAAAGCAGAGGTTTGCAGTTAAAAGCAGATGTTTGCAGATGTTCGCGGATAAAAGCAGATATTTGCGGATAAATGCAGATGTTTGCGGATAAAATCAGATGTTCGCGGATAAAAGCAGATGTTTGCGGATAAAATCATGTTTGCGGATAAAAGCAGATGTTTGCGGATAAAATCAGATGTTTGGGTATAAAATCAGATGTTTGCCGATAAAATCAGATGTTTGCGGATAAAATCAGATGTTCGCGGATAAAACCAGATGTTTACGGATAAATGCAGATGTTTGCAGGTGAAATCTTATGAATCAGAGTTTTGCGGACTAAATGAGATGTTTGCGGACTAAAACAGATCTTTGTGGATTAAAATAGATGTTCGCGGATGAAAGTAGATCTTCACGTATAAAAGCAGATGTTTGCAGGTGAAATCGGATAAAGCAGACGTTTGCGAAATAAAGTAGTGGCGGCTGGTGGATTTTAAGTATACCAATATCTCAGTTATTAGACATGGGACCCACGCCAAATTTATAATAGTTTATATTGACATTAAATAAACAAGTTCGGCGCAAACAGAATTTAAATTGAAGTTTGCGAAAAAAAGTTAGTTTTTCCTGTCGCCTACCCTGCCTCCAGGCCCCCCTATTTGAGATAATTCAAATTAAAGTGGTGCAATTTATTATCTACTATAATTTATCGACAAATTTAAAATTTTATTTAAAAAATCCAAATATTACAGTTTTTATACCATTTTAAATATTTTTTTATTTTAATAAAATAAATAATAAAAGTTTAAAATCGAATAAAATCTGTAATATTTGGATTTTTTGAATAAAATTTTAAATTTGTCGATAAATTATAGTAGATAATAAATTGCACCACTTTAATTTGAATTATCTCAAATAGGGGGGCCTGGAGGCAGGGTAGGCGACAGGAAAAACTAACTTTTTTTCGCAAACTTCAATTTAAATTCTGTTTGCGCCGAACTTGTTTATTTAATGTCAATATAAACTATTATAAATTTGGTGTGGGTCCCATGTCTAATAACTGAGATATTGGTATACTTAAAATCCACCAGCCGCAAACTTTGCGGATAAAATCAGATAAAACCGGGTGAATGCAGATATAAACTCAAATACAGGTATTTGCGGATGAAACCAGATAAAAGCAGACATAGATCTAAATAGATAAAACCCGACGTTCGCGGATAATATTTATACCCGCAATTGCAAATAAAAACCGACATGCCGGGTAAAATCAGATATGTCGGATAAAAACAGATATAAATGGACATAAAACTAGCTGGGTTTTTTATCCGAAATCATCCGATATTACCCGTCTTTTTCAGCAGGGACAGCAGACTTACATCTGCAACTTCGTGCTCTCCTGTCGCACGGTGTTAAGCTGTGACGTCACTTACGTGGCTGCTAAAATTTTACTCGCCAACTTCAAAAACAACAAAACTTCAAGTAGTAGGCTTAAAATTGTATTAAAAGAAGATTGGTCGGTATAAACATTTATAAAACTATAAAGCTGCATTCAATGTTTTACTTCTATTTGACATATTAAATAATTATTTATAAGACATTGGTCTATTAGACGTCATTCTCATGGCATTTGCAATTTTTTTAGCAAAATTCGTCGGTTGTTGAGGTTCAGCTCTTGAATATTCCAAATTGTTTTCTACATTTATCTGATAGTCAGCAGGTGAACACATTTCGCAATTTATATTTTCTTTCTCCGTTTTGTAGTCTTCTTGTATGATAGACAAAGCTAAAATAGTAAAAAATCTCAATTCAATATTTTGACTGCTTTGGCGCCCCTTAAAACAAATAATTTTTATTTACTTAGGTTAAAGTGACCATTCGTCCCGGAATTTGCGGGACAGTCCCGGATTTTTTCAACATGTCCCGCAAGAGTAAACGTCTCGGATTTTGCGGTTAATCACTATGTCGTTTTACGAGAAATCATAATTTCTTACACAAAATAATAAATCTGACAAAATATAAAATAGATTTAAAAATTTGTAAAACTTATAATTGTTTACAAAATAAAATAAAAACAGTTTCGGCCGCTCACGAGTATACTTAATACTCCAGAAAAATTGACTCAATAGACTGAAACTAATGTTTTTATTGACTAAAGATGGGTTGAGATTTTTCAATATTTTCGCGTCCTTTCATAAAATTAAAAGAATTGTAGAATTATGCTTGTGCCTACCAGGAACTAATGCTCCCACCGAACGGGTATTTTCTGGAATAAATAAATATAATTTCTTGTGAAGAATTTTATAATTCTGTAAAGAATAATGATAACCTTCTGCGGAAAATTCAGTCGACAGAAAAGTATTTGTAACTTATATTAAAGTTGTATATTTGTAAAAAAACGAGTAATTTTCAAATATATATTTTTATATATAAAATTCTGCATTTTGGGATGAAGTGCATACTATATTATTTGAATGATAATTGATGTAAACGATTTTCTGGAGAAATATTTTCGTCTTTGTATCGACAAAATGCGCCTGCCGCGGAATTTTCCGCTTGTGGCGGATTTTTTTTGGCTTTGTCCCGGATTTTGACATTTTTTATGTGGTCACTTTAACTTAGGTACCTGTTTGTAAGTCTAAAGCATCCATATCCTGGTTCTGTATCAATCTTAACCTTTGTCGAAATTTTTCTGCCAATTTCTTTCTTCTGTAATCGGCCTCGATTTCTTGCTTAGTGCGCGGTACTCGTATCCTTATGCAACAACAAATTAAAACCACTAAAAATAATTAATAAAACTACCGAATTGATAATGTTATATACCTAGATGCACTTACAAAATATTGTAACACCAGAAAAGCAAAAAAAGATCAGATGCCATATTCTAAAACCGTAACCTTCAATGGCAGCCCTCTCTATCCAAGGTTCTCCCTCCTCGTTGGGGTTGGCGTAAAAAGTGGCCATAATTATTAAATTTTTAATAAAATTATATATTAACCACTAAAAAATTTGTTATACATTTTATAATATCACAATAATTGTGCTTCTTCAACGTATAGAAACAAACTGATTGTAAGTTGAGTAATTTTAGTAAATTAATGCCTATTAGGGGTAGTGCGCCACTCCCTCCATGGCACTCCCCGATAATCTAAACAAGCATTTACACATGCTTTTAATAAAATCAACCCGTTTATTAATCTTCAAGGCCTTTGGCAAACACACGCTTCACTTTACCTCCAAACGCACAAATAATCCAGATAATGAAAATTTCAAATTTTAAGTATTTTATTTTTAAATTTTCTTTGTAAATTTTGAAAATTTTAGAATCATTACGAATTTGATATTACCATTTAAAAAAGAGGCCATTTTTTTTTAAATTTGATGTTATCGAAACTGGGTGATTTCCGGTTTTTAAAGCATTCCTAAAAACAAAATAGTTGGCCAAAGATGGCGACCATTAAAAAAAATACCTTTGACATGTTTAAATATGAATAACTTGATGTATTTTGTCACTGTTTACAATTATAAAATAAAATAATTTTTCCCACTGTGCGCAATGTCCTCCAATTTTAACATGTACGCTACTGTGCTAATTTTTTCCACCGTTTCTTAATTTTGAACCACCATTTTTTTTTAATAAATGCCACCGTGCACATTCAATACAATAATTGTATTAAAGATTTGATTGGAAAAGTTTGGAATTTTTCAAATTTTTGATAACGGCCATTTCAAGCGGATGGACGGGACAAATTACAAAACTGTTTTTATAAAAAAAATTGTAGGTAATTTATTATATATTATTTTTGCATCCAAATTGTCAAATATATTCTTCTAATATTAGGCTATACATTAAATAAAAAAAATCGCAAGAAATATTTTATAAAAGTAGAGATAATTTCAATAATTGACAGGGGTGGACGGGACAAGATAAATCTTTTTTTTGTCCCGTCCACACCTTTCAATTATTAAAATTATATCTACTTTCATAAAATATTTCTTGCGTTTTTTTAAATTTAATGTATAACCTAATAAAAGAAGAATATTTTTGACAATTTTAATGCCAAAATATTATATAATAAATAATCTACAATTTTTTTTATAAAAACAGTTTTGTAATTCGTGCGTTTCGCGCGCTTGAAATGGCCGATAATTTAAAATTTAATTTTTTTTGCAAATTTTGATTTAAAAAAAAATATTCCCTTGTGCGAATTTGCCCTACAGTTTCTTAAATGTATGCTGTGATTTTTTCAACTATTTTTGAATTTTAAACCACTTTTTCCACCATTTTTTAAATTTCCGCATGTTTTCAATCACTTTAAATCACTTTTTTTATTAAATCACCAATTATGATGTATTTAAAACTATCTTTGTACAGCAAAATAAATAACCCCTTCATGCTCTCCTGATTACAAATTTGAAGAAAGCATTCCCAAAAACAAAAAGGTAGACCAAAAATGGCGGCCATTTAAAAAAAATTACCTTTGACATTTTGAAATACGAAAAACTTTAGTTCTTTCAAGTCACTGATTACAACCAAAGATAATACCTTTGATTACAACTATTAAATAAAATAATTTTTCCTACTGTGTGCATTTGTCCTACCAATTTTTACATTTGTACAATTGTGAGAATTTTTCCGTTTTAAAATTTTTAAACACCGTTTCTTAAATTCATGCCACTGGACACATTCCATACAATTAATATATTAATTATAAAGGTTTGATAAGACAAGTTAAAAATTTTTGGAAATATGATTTTTTAAAATTTATTCCTCTGTGCGATTGTTTCTATTCTTTTAAAACTTTGTAATTTTGAGGTCGCTCATTACGAATTTTAAATTACCTTTTAAAAAACAAAATGGCTGACTAAAAATAGCGGCCATTTTTCAAAAAAGTTGATATTTCCGAAACTGGGTGACTTCCGGGTTCTAAATTCGCTGATTATAAATTTGAAAAAGCATTCCTAAAAACAAAGTTGTTGATCAAAAATAGTGGTAATTTAAACAAAATTACCTTTGACATGTTCAAAGGTCTTTCAAGTCACTGATTGGAATTATTTGATAAAATAATTTCTCCCACTGTGCGCATTTGTCCTACCAATTTTTAGATTTATTCTACTGTGCGATTTTTTTCACCGCTTTTTAATTTTGAACCAGCGTTTTTTAAATGTATGCCACTGTGTACATTCAATACAATTAATAAAACTATGATTAGAAAAGTTTGGAAATTTTTAAAATTATTTTTTTTAAATGTATCCCTCTGTGCGAATTTGTCCTATCATTTTTTCAATTTACGGTAATGTGCGATTTTTTTTTATTCTTTAAAAACTTTTTAATTTAGAGGTCGCTCATTACGAATTTGAAATTACCTTTTAAAAAACAAAATGGCCAACTAAAAATAGCGGCCTTTTTTAAAAAAAAGTTGATATTTCCGAAACTGGTGACTTCCGGTTTTCAAATTCGCTGATTACAAATTTAAAGAAAGCATTCCTAAAAACAAAATGGTTGGCCAAAAATTAAAAAAAAAAGCTTTATTTATATTTATCCCACTGTGCGCATTTGTCCCAACAATTTTTACATTTGTGCACATGTGCGATTTTTTTTTGATTTTTTTAAAAATGTATCCCTCTGTGCGAATTTTTCCAACCATTTTTTAGATTTATGCCACTGTGCAATTTTTTTAAATATTTTTGAATTTTAAACCACTGTGTCCTCCCTTTTTTAAATTTCCGCATGTGAATGCAGTTTACAATCACTTCAAATCACTTTCATAATAAATTAGCAAGTGTGGGTTTAAAACCATTTAAACCTATCTTTGTACAGCAAAATACATAATATAACCTCTGCGCCTTCATGCTCTCCTCATACTTACGGTCGTTAAAAAGCGTTTCATATTTTTCTCTCAACGCAACAAAAATAATGAACATTTTGGAAAGAAAACGATATTGTATAACGTAAGTATTTATTTAACAAAAAATACTAAAAAATATACTCTACAAGTTTAAAACCGAAAAAAAAAACAATAAAATTATCACAAAAATAATTGCTTTGGATAATAAGTAAATAAAAAATGCAAGGTAGGTATATAAAAAATGTGATGGTAGACAAAAAAGCATTATGTAAAAAAAATAGTAGCTTATATAACATAACAAATCATTATTTAAAATTTAATGTAAGAAGCAGAATTATAACAAGAATAATTATTGTTAAAAAACCCTAAAATTAGTATTTCCGCAATAAAAATTAATAAAATCAATAAAACTAATTTTTCAGTGTATATTTGGCTTAGATTTACAGAATGGACATCACAGCTCAACTGTTTTGAATACAAATAAAAGTAGAGAGAAAAGTGGTCGTGTTAATTCATTGTGTATAGGGCGTTTTAAAATAGAGGCGTACTCAAAACCTTTGAGCTAAAATGTCGGAAAAATTGTGATGCTTGGGTGTTCCTTTCACTTGGTTCCCAGGAAATGTTTCTTGTACGCGGTGTTCAATTGTTCCAGGAATATGAAGGTCAGGACTGTGTGCGGCCCTAAACGGAAGTAGTACGGGGTAAAGCCCTTCCACAGTTTAAAGAAGCCTTCTTTTTTGACGATTTGGCTTAGGACGTCCATGGGTCCGCTGTATTCCGGTTTTCCGTTGATTGTTTTCATGTTTTGTATTCTACAGAAAGTCGAATAGTCAAAAAAGTCCAAAGAAAATGAAAAAAATGTCAAAGAAAGTAAAAAGTAAAAAAATACCAAAAATAAGTTAAAAAAGATCAAGAGGTTTAAAACAAACTCTAAAAATAAAGATAATAAAGAAAACAGCCTAAACTACAAAAAGTGAAAAGTCAAAAAAAAACACATAATAATAATATAAATCTCGTGACAGAAAAGAGTAAACAAGCACAAAAAGTCCAAAACAGTAAAAAAATCTCAAAAAGGTCCTAAAATGACCATAAGTTTAAAAAAGTGCAATAAAGTCACAAAAATCCAAAAAAGTCAACAAATGTAAAAAAGTCCAAAAGTCAAAAAAGAAAGGTAACAACAATAAAGGAAAAAACACAAATAAAGGAAAAAACTTCAAAAACAAGCCAAAGAAAAGTAATATAAGAGTCTAAATAAAGTCCAAAAAATCAAAAAAGAAAGGTAACAAAGCAAACCAAAAGTAAAATATGTAAGTTAAAAATTAAAATGAAGTTAATAAAGATAAAAAGCCCAGAAAATCAAAGGCCAAAAAAGTCAAATAAACTTTAAAACAAATCCTAAAAGAAGGTTAAAAAGAAAAATTTAAAAAAAAAGACAAAAATGCAAAATTTAAAAAGTCAAAAAAAATCAAATAAGCAAAGAAAAGGCAAAAAAAATCCTAAAAGTCCATTTAAAAAAGTAAACAAAGTTAAAAAGTCCTAAAAGGCAAAAGAGAAATTAAAAAACGAAAAAAAAATACAAAAAGTTACATAAAAGGAAAAAATTCCAAAGAATTCTTAAGTTAAAAAGTCCAAAAAAGGAAAAAAAATTATAAAAAAGAAAAAAAAGATTTAAAAGAAGAAAGGCTGGAAAAGTAAAAAAAAATTAAAAAAATCTAAAAACAAAGTAAAGAAAGCAAAAGTCCAAAAACTAAGAAAATGTAAATAATGCGAAGTAAAAAAAAGCTACAAATGTCCTCAAAAGTAGATAAGGTAAAAAAACAAACAAAAAAATCAAAAAGTCAAAAAGGCCCTTAATTTGACTTTTTAAAATACTTTTGCTCGCAGCTTATTAAAATTTAATGATCTATGAAATACGTAGTGAAGTGCAAAGCACCCCCTGTAGTGCAAATGACCCCTTACCTGGTCTTGACGATATCCACGGGCATCGAGGCCACCGTGGTGGCCAAACCTGACACCATCGACGCCAAAAAGTGCAGGAAAACGCCCTCGTCGACGTAACGCCTCAGGGCCCCTTTGGCTTGAGAATACGTGGCCAGCTGCGCAGCGTTCACCACCATCGCGCGGCCCATCGTGGGCACGGCCCCCCGCCACAACTTGGTCAAACCTTCCTCCCTGTAGATGCGCGCCACCGCGTCTATCACGTGCTTGTAGTTGCGGCGCTCGTTGGGCGGCAACCTGCCGTCGGAAGTCATGCGGATCAGGGCCACTTCCGCCGGAGTACCTAAGAAAAAGTTTATTGGAAAAGATGTTTTTTACTATTTATTAATGACTTTTAAAGTACCTACTTTTATAAATTTTAACTTAAGGAGGTCTAGGCAGTAAATTGCGGTGAAAAGAGTAAGGGGCGACAGGTCTATTACAAATAAAAAATTATTAAAAAAAGGTATAGGAAAACAAAAAATAAAGCAAGAAAAAACACGCAGTATGTTGAATGCAGCGAAAGTCTAAAGAGAAGAGCAGAAAATAAATAGAAGAAAACCATGGAAGGAAAAAGGATTTTCTAATTATTTAAAAAAAACTTATAATTAATAAATGAATTGCTTAATTGCTTATGGTTGTCATTAAATAAATCAAAACAAATATCCCTAGATAATCACGTGTTCGTAATCGTAAAATTATTAATTTTTCAATGTTACATTATAATATACACAATATGTATTCATTAAATTCATCCCAAGTAGCAGAATAGGTTTTTTAAGGTATGCAAGGGCTCCATAAAACTACTCTTAAGGGTAATTTGCATTGCTTAGTTAAAACCTATTTGCTTTAACAGCAGCTATACAGCTTCGATAAAACGATCATAGGGCTAAGTAGAATCGTATCGCTGTCCTTAAGAGCAACTTGTGTGTCAGCCACAAAACAACTTTGCTTTATTGTATTACATCTAAGGCACACCTTACAGCAGTCATATAAACCTACCTTACAGCTGTCATAAAACCTGCTAAGTTCAATAGGTTTTAAGGACCCTGTTGTAAATGACCGATTAATTCCTTATAGAAACCAATTGAAGTATTAGTTGGTATCAATAGGTCTGAATTGAACTTACCGGGTTTAATTGGGAGCGATATAAAACAGAAATTGGTTTTTACTGGTATTTTCCATGATGGAAAAGTCCGATTAGGATTCTACTTTTTTTTGGTGGTTTCGATTGGTTAAAGCTACCAATAGGTAATTTACAATTGAATTCAATTGGGCATTTCCAGTGTGAGATTCTAAAAAGGAATCTGCTAATTGATTATTCCCAATACTAAAATATCGCAAGAGGATCTCGTGTAGCTGCGCAAAAGCAACATACGCAGTCCGTGTTCTATGGCAAGCCGTTTTAGTTTTTATTACACATGGCTATCAAGTCTCATTTTAATTCGACTTGATTTCTATGAGACATTAGATAATTGAAATTATATGTATTTTCCTTAAGGGAAATTACATTTTTATTATAATTTCAAAACTGAATGCATATTTTCTTTACAAATAGTAAAAATAATGCATTTGTTGTATTTATTTCCATTGGTTTTTTAAATATTGTCCTTAACGTGAAAGCAATTTTCGTTAACAGAAATTGTATTAAATTTACTAATTATAATTTTAATGCAAATTATTTTTACTGTTTTAGTTTTTTGGAGCAATTTTATGACACATTAAAAGGATTTTATTTTAATTCAATTTTATTAAAGTAGCTTCTGACTTGGATACAATGTTACATTTTATTTATGTTAGACCAGGCTAAGTATTAAAATAAAACGTATTAAAATTACTATTACGAATATAAATGCATTTGTCCTTAAAGATATAGTTTTATACTTTCCTAAATGACATAAAAATTAAAAACATTTTAATTTGAAATACTCATTGAAATGTTGTTCCCGAATAAAATTTAGAACCGCAATACATAGAGTCTAACAATATTTAGAGAATCAGAAAATAACATCGAATTAAAATGAGACTTAATGATCATGTGTACAAAAAATAGCTCGAATTACTTTTATTTTTAACTAAACAAAAATAAACTTCTATTTCCGTTAAGGGAAATTACAATTCCCTTAACGAAAATGTTATTTCCCTTAACGGAAATGCTATTTCCCTTAACAGAAATTACATTTCCCTTAAGAGAAATTAGTGGCGCTATCTGTGGTGAAGATGCCGAAGGTTCCACCGCTTACAGAGTTCTGCCAACTTTGGAATCTTTCATTTTGTTTGAATGCAACAAATATGACACAATTAACAATAATGAATAATATTACTACTAAAGTTTGCTATTTACTACTTCTTTTCGTTTTAATATCCTTTACTAGAAACGTTAAAACACACCTTACACATGCGGCGTTGCCACACAACATTCGATTCGAATGATGCGATTCCAAAGTCGATCGGTGTCATCGCGATTCGATTCGGAGAGACTCCGGGAGAGTTTGGTTTTCTCGAGTAGTACCCATAATTATTAATATTTCTATTATTATAGCATTATCAATACAAATTTTGTGACAATTTTCTGAAAATTCGATAATTTTGTCAATAATTTGTCGATAATTTCACTTTTTACATCTGGCAACACTGGTGGGTGATATTTTGTGGTTGGTTTTTAAATTAAAAAGGTAACAATCAAAAAAATTCTTTTTACTAATAAATCTTTTGTAAAATCACAGTGCAATAATTTCATTTTATAGAATTTTGATAAAATTAACTATTTGAACTTCAGCCGTCCTCTCATAGATGGCGCCAATTTCCCTTAACGGAAATGCTATTTCCCTTAAGGGAAATACAATTTCTCTTAACAGAAATGATATTTCCCTTAAGGGAAATTGCATTTCCGTTAACGGAAATGCATTTAAATTCTTAATTATAATAAAAACTACTTTCCTTAACGAAATTTGCATTAAAATTACTATTTGTCATAAAAATAATTTTTATTATTATTTCAAATAAAAATGAAATGTTTTAGTATTTTTATTACAATTTCGAATGTAAATCATCCTCTACATCTAATCTTTTCAATTTAATGTACCCAAAATTTCAATGCTTATTAAAAAAGGAATTTTATTTATAATTTGTAATTAAAATGTAATTTCCCTTAAGGAAAATACATATAATTTCAATTATCTAATGTCTCATGGAAATCAAGTCGAATTAAAATGGGACTTGATAGCCATGTGTAATAAAAACTAAAACGGCTTGCCATAGTGTTCTAATGTCTTTGGACGCTATTTAATGTCGTTTTTTTATTAGTCGGTTTCTTTTATAATCTATGGGTTTCTGTGATTAGTGGTAGTTGTGTACTTATAGTGGTGTGTACTTATACCTTAAAAATTGTTTATATGTGTAAGGTTTAGGGACGATGGCGTAAAAATGGTGGTTACAGAGGACAAAATAAAAAAAAATTGACATAAATAATATTGATTTTGACCATGCCTACAAACATCATTTGCAAGAAAGACAAAAAAAAAATGATTATAACCGAATAATTTTATTTTTTTTTTTAACTTTTTTTGTGTTAGTAAGTTATATGTATCAATACATATCTCACTAACACAAAAAAATAATAAAGAAATAAAGTTACTCAGTTATAATAATTTTTTTGTCTCTTCTGTGAAAAATTAATTCTGGTTTTTACCCGGTTATTCTTCTGGGATCTTAATTATTTTTGAATGAAAAATCAACCAAATTTAAAAAAATAAATTGGTTTAAATGGGTTTGGCGCTATGAATTACCAATTCATTCCAGGTGCATTTCTATTGGACTTAGCCAATAGAGACAAACATAGGCATGGATTGGTATATTCTTACTTACCAATAGGAATGCAACTGGAATGAATTGGTGATTTATAGCGCCAAAACACATTTTAGCTGACAATTTGTACTTATTGTTATACCTTTTTACTTTATTGTTGTACTTTGTAAATTTCATATTGCTTTAATTACTTGTTCGGTATATTGTTGTCTTATGAATCACAAGCATAGGCCATTATACATATAATATATATATATTGATTTTAAAAACTTTCGGATGCAAAAATCATAAACAAATACCACTTTACTGATAAAAGTTGATTGCCGAGACACAAAACGTATGATGCCCACTGAAATACGCTTAATTTAAACAATTTTAAAGGCTTTGGCTAAATTACTTACTCGATCTACATTCCGTTTTTTAAACCATCTCTTATCGAAAAAATATTCTAGCATTAACATGCTCGTAAAAGCCAATTTTTTTAAATTTTCTGAAAAATATTATCTATTCGTATTTTATATTAAAATTATTTCATCATGGCGGAGCAATATTTTCTAATTTAAATGGCGGTTTCAGTTATAAAACAATGTAGGTACTCTTGCAAACAACTGATAAAAAGTTTAATTACTTTAAAAATTGTTTACAACTACCTATTTGTTAAAACTAATAAGCATTTTGCAAGGCATTCATAAAACCAATTGAAATTTTGTGCTAGCATTTTAAAACAACTTTGCAGTATTTTCATCAAAAGTATTGCCATCAGGGCTATAATGCTTTGTCAGATGATAACACCTAAAAATTGTCTTAATTGCTGTGATAGAATGATGCGGATTTAGCTCTTGGTTGGAACAGGACGTTGAAGGAATACAATGAGTATTATCAACCGGATGTTTTGCCAACACTCATGCAAATTTGCAAATTGGAAAGCAAATTGGTTATATTAAAGACCTATTGCTGTTCTACTAGGAACAATCATAAAACCTTCCCTATTGTAAATTACCGATTAATTCCTGTAGAAACCAATTGAAGTATTGGTTGGTATCAATGGGTCTGAATTGGACTTACTGAATTTAATTGGGCGCTATATAAAACAGAAATTGGTTTTTACTGGTATTTTCCATGATGGAAAAGTCCAATTAGGATTCTAATGATTTTTCTTGGTTTCGATTGGATAAAGCTACCTATAAGTAATTTCCAATTAAATTCAATTGGGCATTCCCAGTGTAAGATTCGAAAAATTTGCTAATTGGTTATTCCCAATACAATACAAATATCGCAAGAGGGCTCTCGTGTAGCTGCGCAAAATCAACGAGGTTGAGACGCCATCATAAAGAAAAAACAACAAAAAACAAGTCATTTCTGTGTTAAGTGCCTAGTGCTAGTAGTGTATTTATATATTAAAAAAATGTTTATATGTGTAAGGTTTAGGGACGATGGCGTAAGAATGGTTGTCACAGCGGACAAAATAAAAAAAAATTGACATATCGACTTCGAACATGCCTACAAACATCCTTTGCAAGAAAGACAAAAAAATGATTATAACCGAGTAATTTTATTTATTTTTTATTACTTTTTTGTGATAGTAAGTTATATGTATCAATACATACCTATACATATATCACAAAAAAATAATAAAGAAATAAAATTACTCAGTAACGATAAATTTTTTGTCTCTTCAGTGAAAAATGAATTCTGGTTTTTACCCGGTCATCCTTCTGGGATCTAAAATTATTTTTGAATGAAAAATAAACTGGTAGGTATTTTCTAATCCAAATTTTTAAAAAATTAATTGGTTGGAATGGGTTTGACGCTATGAATTACCAATTCATTCCATCTGCATTTCTATTGGATTTAGCCAATAGAGACCATCATAGGCATGGATTGGTATTTTCCAATTCAAGCCGCTGACTTCATTGGAAATTACCAATAGGAATTCAACTGAAATGAATTGGTGATTCATAGCGCCAAAACACTTTTCAAACCAATTCAAACCAATTACTTATTTTTTATTGGATTCTATTGGTCATTTACAATAGGGTTTTCACTGTTTGGTTCTGAAACATTCTTACATAGAGGAAAAGTAGTCCTAAGACCAAATGCTCCCATGAGTCGGCTTTAACAGATGCATTAAAGCCAACTTTCCGAGCACCAGTAAAACCAATAGGCATCTGATAAACCTTGAGCTTTATAAATGCATGAAAACATGCTTTTATGAGCGACTTTAAAGTAAAGTATTAAAGCCTTTTTGCAATTATAACCGATTGATCTTAATATTGATTTATTACTGTTAACCAGTCCAATAAGCTTTATGAAGGTTTATCAGATGCCTATTGGTTTTACTGGTGCTCGGAAAGTTGTCTCTTCCAAAAACAGTAAAGCATTATCGGTGGCAACCCTTTGCTACTTGGGATGGGCTATAGGAGATGTATTTAATAAACGCATATCATAACAGGACAATAAGAAATCAATGATTTTTTTATATGTAGAAGTAGCATATAAATTTTAGCAATATTAATAAACGATATTCCGTGTAGTCTTAAGACTACTAATTAGCTACTTTAATAATTTTTTGCTCGGAAACCAAACAGTCAACTTCGTAAATATCTTTTAAGTAGACTCTACTTTAACCTCCCTATTGTAAATGACCAATAGAAACCAATAAAAAATAAGTAAATGGTTTGAATTGGTTTGAAATGTGTTTTGGCGCTATGAATCACCAATTCATTCCAGTTGAATTCCTATTGATAATTTCCAATGAAGTCAGCGGCTTGAATTGGAAAATACCAATCCATGCCTACGCTTGTCTCTATTGGCTAAATCCAATAGAAATGCACATGGAATGAATTGGTAATTCATAGCACCAAACCCATGCCAACCAATTTAAACGAATTAATTTTTTAAAATTTGGATTAGAAAATACCTACCAGTTTATTTTTCATTCAAAAATAATTTTAGATCCCAGAAGGATAACCGGGTAAAAACCAGAATTCATTTTTTACTGAAGAGACAAAAAATTTATTGTTACTGAGTAATTTTATTTCTTTATTATTTTTTTTGTGATATATGTATGTATTAATACATATAACTTACTATCGCCTAAATCCCTAAATCTTACACATATAAACATTTTTTTAATATATAAGTACACTACTAACACTAGGCACTTAACACTGAAATCGACTAATAAAATAAACCGCTAATAAATGGCGTCCAAAGACTTGTTGTTTTTTCTTTATGATGGCGCGCCATGGCGTCTCAACCTCGTTGATTTTGCGCAGCTACACGAAAGCCCTCTTGCGATATTTGTATTGTATTGGGAATAACCAATTAGCAGATTTTTCGAATCTTACACTGGGAATGCCCAATTGAATTCAATTGGAAATTATAATTATAATTATAATGGTTTTTATTGGTTTCGATTGGATAAAGCTACCTATAGGTATACCTATAGGTAGCTTTATCCAATCGAAACCAAAAAAACCATTAGAATCCTAACTGGTATTTTCCATCATGGAAAATACCAGTAAAAATCAATTTCTGTTTTTTATCGCGCCCAATTAAATCCAGTAAGTCCAATTCAGACCCATTGATACCAACCAATACTTCAATTAGTTTCTACATGAATTAATCGGTCATTTACAACAGGGCTAGAATTTTTTCAACATTTTCTCATAGCGAATATCGTGTCCGAACTTCCTTAACATGCGGGTATTGGAATGATGGCGCAATTCCAAACTTTTTGAACTTGGACCTTGAACATTTTTTCAGAATATTTCTACAGTGAATTTACCACACCATTTCATTATTACCAAAAAAGAATGTTATGAAAAACTTCGTGTTTAACACAAAATATAATTTACCACGTTTTCGTTAATTGATCTTATAATAAATTACTTTATTTATTATAATAGTGGAGTGTAGTGTATAGTGTATAGTCACTGTTTTTGTTTATAAATACTCAGGTACTAGTATTACAAAGATAATTAATATTCATGCTGTTGAACATTGCACATAATGAATATATATATATAAAGAACGCGTGTAAGTATTAAGAAATTATAATTATAAATTATTAAAAAAATAAAAAAGATGTCTTCCTTACCGACAAAGGCTCCGGCGCACCCGGCGGCCATTCCTAGAGCAGCCTTTGCCGCAAATCCGGGCTCTTTACCGTTCTTGGTCATAGCCTCGAGAAGCCACGTGTAAATCCCCAAACGCGTCGTCGTGTAGGTGGCTTGTCGCAGTAGGCCTGCCGACAGACCGTTGTACATGCCGGTGATTCCCTCCTTTTTCACGATGCCCATAACGGCGTCCATGGAGTTTTTGTACTCTTTAGTAGTAGCCGTTTGCATTCTGGTTTTGACCAAGTCGAGGGGTTGCACGAAACATGTTGCCAACATTCTAAAAAGTTAGCTATAATGTATGATGATCATAATACCCAAGGTACAATAAAACAAGGTATGTTCTTGCGCATCTGTTTCCACCACTCCATCAGATTGGCGAAGAGGTGGGAGCCCTCAGTCGCCGCCATATTGACTATTTACATTTTGATGTGAGTTGTTTTTAAGCTATTTTAAAGTTTTTTAATTGTAAAAAATGTCCACCTGCCAAGTGAAAATATGTAAAAACAATGCCAAAAGAAAAGAACCTGGAAATCCAATACAATTCCTTAGTTTTGGCTTAAAAAAAATTGATTTTAAGGATAGTAAGTAGATTTATTTTACAAACAATTAATTAGCAGTCGTTTTTTAGAGGTACCTTTTGTATATGTTACCGGCAATGTAAAAAATCCGACAATGTGCGAAATGTCTAGATACTCTGCAAACTGACCAATTTACCAGACATTGTGCAAAAGCACTACCATCTTGGGCAATCTACAAATTTACTACGCCATTTTAGGTAATTTGCAAAATGTCTGATGCGATAGTCAATCTGGGGGTTAAAGGTTTTTACTTCTCACATTGACTAGGCAGTATGCGAACACTAATTTACGATAGAAATGTAAAATTGAAAAACTGAATTTTGTTTTTAGAAAAGAAATACTACACTGAGAAAAAAGTTTATTGCTCCCAAATAAAAAAAATATTTAAATATAGGACAAGGGTACAGTTAATTTATCCTAAATATATTTTTATTCCCGACACATAAAGTTTTACTAAAGTATATTTATCGTTATTATTTCGACTATTTAGAGGTAATAAACAATATATTCACTATTAATAAAAGTATTAGCTATACAGTTTATTTGTCCCATTTTTTTCTCAGTGTATGAGTATGAGTATGAGTATAAGAGACGTATAACCAGCCAATTTTCCTCTTGACTCTCGAACCCCGTACAGGCCTATGTTTACTTACGCCGATTTTTGTTCTTCCCCAGCAACTGCACGGCTTCACCCGTGTTTGCTGGGTGCGAATGTCCATTGCGTTACGTACTGTCCCCTATTTGGGGCTCGAGAGCGAGAGGCGAATAGTTATAATAGCCATTCCCGGGTTCGCCGAGCCTATGCTATACGCTCGGTGGGGTATGGATGAGGGACGGGAGGGAGTTGGTTTTTGGGGGACAATTTCGCCGACTTAAAACTAAGTACGACGCGGAATCCCCCTAGACCAGTCGATTAGTATTACTCCAAACATTTGGGATCACTATTTGGAGTTGGGGAGTTGTTATTTCGCTGCAGGGGTGTAGTTTCCTAGTCGATGTCTTTGTCTTGTTCGTTATTGTCATTGTCCGTGTCCTGGTCAGATAGTTCCTGCCCTTGGTAAAGTGTGTCAGTTGTTTTTAATAATTTTTGTCCCAAGCACGTTTTGTGGTAGAGTTCCGTCTTTGTTTATCAAATTCCAAAGCATTGCATTTATTCACTAGTCAAACAAATCACAAGCGCGATTATTCTGTTGTCTAATGTTTACAAACTCGAGTTTGGCTATTAGGCCCTTTTTTTTAATGTGTTAGAATTTTGTTCAATGTTAGTTTACTCTGTCAGTCCAGTGTTTATTTTCCGGCTCGATTGGGACCGCCTTACGCATTTGCTGTTGACAGACTTATTGCCCCACGCTGCGTGCCCTTCTTAGGTTTTAAAGATATCCCAATAAACACTTTAACGATACCTATCACCACTAACATTGCCCGTGTAAGAATTTTTAACACTTTTTAATACAATTTTGCAATGATAGTAATTAAAAACAAAACAATTGTTTAAAGAGTAAAATATGTTCTTAACATAATCATATTTTAAAGTCATTTTAAAATTTTCAAGTAAAATAAATGTTATGTTTAATGAAATGAATACGGGCAATGTTAATGGTGACAAATAACGGAAAATGCTTGCTGGGATCTATACAGTGCTTGCAAATCCAAGTCCGACCACACTGGAAAGGACGGCTGTTCAATACCCGCGTGAAAAGAACAAGGATAGAACGCCAAATAGAATTTGATTGGCCAGAGCCGGCTGCCGGATGCGTGCGAATTGTAAGCGAGGTCAACTCTCAGTCTGGCTGCATTTAGACTAAATGATTTAGTGTCAAGCAAACTGCGTAAGAGTGTAGATGCACATTTTAATTTTCTTTTTAAATATTTTATAGGTACCCGAATCCTAAAAATAAAATTTTTTGATTTTTTCCTTGAGAACTAGGGCAACAACAAAAATAGTATTCTTAATAAAAAAGATTTCTCAAATAAAAAATAATTCTGAATAAAAATAACTAGGTATAAATAAAAATAAAACTCTAAATAAAAATAAAACTCTAAAAATAAATAATAAAAATAAATAAACTCAAAAATTAAATTAAATGTTCGAACAAGCCCCCATAGGCAGCCAAACAATAGCCTAACCTATTATAAAAATTCCCACGCACATTTGCTAGGACTTCTGGACTAATATCCCCCAACAAATTAGTTATGCGGATTCCTAAATCATTGAGGTTATTAGCCCGATCTTCCTGGAAAACGTACAGCTTCGACTTGAGGTACCCCCACAAAAAAAAAATCACACGGCGCCAAGTCCGGTGATCTAGCTGGCCAGAGAATTCCTCCTCGACCCATAATAAGACGAGGTCCAAAAGTGTCGGAAAGGAATTCCCGAACAGCCATCGTATTATGTGCGGGGCAACCGTCCTGCTGAAACCATACGTTTTCGATGTTAACTCCGTCTAAATTTTGAAGCGCGGGAACTATTTGGTCTCTTAAGAGATTTAAATACCTAGCGCCATTTAAATTACCATTTATAAAAAATGGGCCAATTATTCGGTCGCCCAAAATACCCGCCCAGACATTAAGTTTTTGGGGATACTGTGTCCGAGCTGCATAAATCCTACGAGGATTTTCTCGCGCCCACATTCGAACATTCTGCGAATTGTGCCTGCCATGGAGAGTAAATGTCGACTCGTCAGTAAATAAAATATTACCGATAAAATTTGGGTCGGCATTTGCTCTCTCCATAACAACCTCGCAAAATTCCATGCGGCGGAATGCATCGGGCAGCTTAAATGGACGATATCCATGGCGTCTTAGCACATTTCGTGCCGTGGAAGCTGAAATATCAAACTCCCTAGCCACCGTACTTAATGCCTGGGTTGGGTTTTCTTCAATTGACGCGCAAATTAAAGTATCCCGCGCTTCTCTATTTAGATTTTCACGGGGAGGACGTTCCCGTCGGAGCTGCATCGGAACTACACAACCGTGCGTGAGAAAATTATTAACGGTTCGTCGAATTGTTTCTCTGTTTGGTCTGGCCTCGAACATTCCCGCAAATAATCTTTGAATTTCTCGTTCAGAATTACCAGCAAAATGCCAGATTAAAATCTGAACTTTTTGTTCTAACGTGTACATTTTTTAATTAAATAATCTTTTTCACTAAAATTACTACCTCTTGCTCGCACCACTGCAGTTCTCGTTCTGATATCCTCGTGTCAACCACGCTGCGAGGTGCGCGATGGGTATGCGTTGTCGTAGCCTGCCGGCTGGCCAATCAAATTCTATTTGGCGTTCTATCCTTGTTCTTTTCACGCGGGTATTGAACAGCCGTCCTTTCCAGTGCGGTCGGAGTTGATATTGCAAGCACTGTATATATATATATGTATTTATATTGCAGATTTGTATCAGGTCATGCATACTCTTAAAGTAAAACTTATCAGATTTTTCCCCTTGCGGATGGCCACCTCCCCTCTTCTCCGACCTCCCCCGTCCGTCCAGTGAAAAGCCTCCAATGACAGGTGGCACCCAAGTCATTCATATCACCCAACACTCCACTCCTCAATGACCGTTACACCATTTTAGCTTGCACTCCATGAAAATGTTTGTTTCACTTATCAGTTCGCACCCCTTTTTTTTAATTATTGTTGGTTTCAACTTTAAACTTTTACGTTTCAAGAGCTCACCCGCACGCGAGTCGCGAGCATTGCTGTTTGTAAGTTTCAAGAGCGCGACGGCAAGATGCAAGATGCGACTAACTTTGACGAGCTCTCGAACGTGACTGTCCCATTTTTTTCTCAGTGTACAAATAAAAATTAAATTTACAAGCACTTGTTATTTATATAATGGTACACAGTGTTGTAACGTATCTAGTTACTAGATACAGTATCTAGATACTTTTTATGTATCTGTTTGTGTAACTAGTTACTTATCCCAATCTAGTAACTATAACTGTAACTAGTTACAAATTCTAAGTAACTAGGTGTGTTAAGATACAAAGATACATTTTTAATTAAACTGCGACTATTATTTATTAAAAAAAAAGTTAATTTAAATAAAATATTATAAAAAAAATAAAAAAATAATAAACATGTATATTTTTCTTGTCACTTTAAAATTCCCTTTTATTTATATTTTAAATTTTTTAAAGCAAAAAATAATTTGTATGTATCTTAAAGTATCTAGATACTTTTTGAAGGTAACTGTATCTGTAACTAGTTACTGCAATAAAATCTGTATCTGTATCTAGTTACAAATTTTGGTAAGTAACTGTAACTGTAGCTAAATACTGAAAATATTGTAACTGTTACAACACTGATGGTACAACAAAATATGGTAAAATAAAACATTTTTAGAAAGGTATTTATTTTCGCCGTGACTAGAAGTACACTGGGAGTACTGGCATTAAACGTACATCAGGTTTGTGCGCATGCATGTTTCCATACCAGCTGATGGTAAATTTTTAGATTTATAAGTTGAGATTAAATTGGTACACTAAGGCACAGTTGGAAAACAGCTTGTTAGCTCTTGATAATAATTATGTAATTATTTAGCTAACTTTCAAGTTGTATAAACATTGATTAAAATTTAATTAAGTGATTGAAATACAATTAACAACAAAATTAATGAAATGTCAGTATGCATTACTCAAACCAACCCAAACTCAACAACCCAACCCAACCGACCCCGCCCCATTGACAAATATAAAAATTTGCTAAATAAGGATTTTTTTCCACCCGGTGTACGTTTAATGCCCGTACTCCCGGTGTACTTCTAGTCACTTTGATTTATTTTTGCAGGGATGACTGAATAGCGAAGTTCGACAGAAGTAAAAGTATTGCGCACACTGCCTAGTCAATTTGAGAATTAAAAACCTTTAATCCCCAGATTGACTCAGCGCCGGATTATAAAAATTTGCGCCCCGGGTCTAATAAAAATTTTCCGCCCCTACCTATATAATAAATTCAAAGAAATGTTACTTCTTAACAAATGGATTTTATTTAACCATAAACATTAGGGTTGTAGTATTTTTTCGAAATTTTTTTGATTTTGGACTCCAAAATTTGGAGATCAAATTAAAAAAATAAGTCTAAAGTATTTGAGTTTCAACAGATAAAAAAATTTTAGACGTAGCTCAAAACTTTTTTAAACCAACCTTTTTTCTCAAAATCTTTGGCTTCTCACTATTTTTTTTGTAGGTCGTATAGGAACATAATACATTTTTAATCAAAATATTATTGGTCGCTCAATATTTTTGAAATACATTTCTTGGTTTTTTTTAATAATTTTGATCTTGTAACCACTACTATTTTTCCAATTTAGTTGATTTTTTTGAGCGACGTTTATTTTTTTTGAGTTGAAACTTGAATACTTTAAACTTAAATTGTTTCATGTGAGCTCCGAAATAAAAAAAAATGTCGAAAAAATATTGCCACCCTAAAAACATAAACAAAAACAAATACCTAAATAAGAAAATTAACATTTTGCCAATTCAACTTTGCGTGCTTTTAGAAAAGCAAATTTGTTTATCGCAATATTGACGTCATCTTTCAATAGGCTTATATCTATACTGTATATATAAAGTGCTCTTTTAGTTCTTTTTTAGTTCCACCCTTACATCCAAACTAAGATGTCCCATAAGCCAACTGAATGGCTTGTGCGGGTTAGGGGTAGGAACGGACCGACGGCTTAAAGTCCCCTCCGAAGGACTATACACAATGGACAAACACAAATAAACAACCATACCCAAGTGGGATTCGAACCCACGACCTCTCGGCTCGTACCCAGGAGCTCTGACCACTACACCACCGAGGCCGGTGGTGTAGTGGTCAGATATATATATATATATATATATGACTGGTACTGTATATAACTATAGTTTTAAACTAATTTAAATTAATAGTTGTTCGTAGTGTCATAAAATATTCTTATATTAAAAAACCTTTACGCCCATACGCATCGCATCGGTGGAAATAATCAATTTCTGCAAACTAAAGTTCTTGTCGCCCAACAACTTGTCAGGCGCCCTACGTAATACGTGACATGACATATTTCGTATACTATGCATAGATAATAATACTATGGCAACAATCACGGTTATAATTTAAATAATTTTTTTTATTAAAACTGATTAATACACGAAAAATAAAAAAAAGGGGAAAACCCTTTAGGTTGTAGTAAAGAACAAAAATTACCAGTCAAAAATTTTGCGCCCCCTGTAAGCTTGCGCCCCGGGTCTATAGACCCCCAAAGACCCCCCCTAAATCCGGCGCTGGATTGACTATCGCATCAGACATTTTGCAGATTGCCTAAAATAGCGTAGTAAATTTGCAGATGGTAGTGATTTTGCACAATGTCTGGTAAATTGGTCAGTTTGCAGAATATCTAGACATTTCGCACATTGCCGGATTTTTTACATTGCCGGTAACATATACACATATTAGGTACAGTTGTATTCATTAAAAAAGCGTACAAGAATTAGAATGAGAGAAAACTGTCAACATTATTGCGTAAAACCGGCTTTCCACTGACTTAATTCACTATAACTGACAGTAGAAAATAAAAATGCCTCGTCAGTTAAAAAGGCTCAAATAGTATCAAGAATCGAAGAAGAATGGTCAATTCGTACCGTGGTATAATAGAAATAAAAAATCTATATTAAAAATTAATAATTTTTGTAATATTATTTAATTAACCTACGACGTCAATGCTCTTTATAACCTATAGTAATTATTTTAATGACTTATGTCAGTGATAAGCCGGTTTTAAGCAATAATATTATTTTGACAGTTTTCTCTCATTCTAATTCTTGTACGCTTTTTTATTGAATACAACTGTACCTGTGACAGATATATACCTAAATAATAAAATAATGTAGGTTAATATTTTTGTTTGTTTTGTAGCTTGTATTTGTTATATTTACTTCAAAGATAGTTGCTATAACAAGGAAAATTGGATCAAAAAAACATACAAACTACATTCAAAAGAAAAATCAAGTAGGTACTTTGTAAGAAATTTAAGTAAAATTGTAAAAAACAATATAAATTATAGTTCCTTTTACAGTGTATCCTGCAGGAAGCATAATATCATCTTTGATCTGTAACAGAAACTCAATACCTACTGCCGTGTAAAATCAAATTAGAAAAACAAAATTAATCAAAATTAAATCTTTCTTTTTGCATTGTGCAAGAAATGTGCTAAGACAAAGAGATAATGAAATGGGACGGGATTGAAACATCCCGCATTAGAAAATCAGCTTATAATATATTTTTCACAAGTTTAGTTTATTTTATTTTATGTTAGCTCCATGGTGGCCCATTTAGGGTTTTTATTTGTAACTATTTGTAAATACATAAATAAATTTCAAAAAAAATATGTTGTAGGTACCTATACATAATATTTTTCTTGCAATGTTAATGTTGTAACTTGACACTTTTCATTTCATTCTTTAAATTTGCCTTAAAACAGGATATTTTATTTTATTGAAAACATTTGACTTATACCTAAATGGCTTTAAAAAACAAGATATTTTATTTGGTATTTGGTAAATATTATTTAGGTTCTTTAAAACAATATATTTTATTTGATTGAAAGAGCATATAAAATATTTTTTTTCATAAATAATATTTTCTTGAAATGTTAATATTGTGACTTTTACGTGTGATCTTTAAATTATTCGACAATTTAATCTAAAAATCGAATAATTTTATAGAAATTTGGATCAATTTCATAAAAGATTAGGTAATATTTAAATTTAAAATATCATTTAAATTCAAAGGCGGGAATGTAATAAGATGAAGGTGGTGCACAAAGTGAACCAAAATTCGTCCTACTGAAGAACATACGTTGTTTTTTTTGTACCATGGTGTGACTTGACCTTAATGGTATTGTTATCAGTGTTAAGGTCAAGTTTTTTACATTATTATTATATGGTTTTCTTGGATTTGCCTTTATAATTTAATTTATTTGTATCGATTTAATTAATTTGTATCGATATATAAAAAATAGTTTGAATAAAATCGTAACAATTTAATTAATTTTAAATACTTTCCGAGTTCTAAAAACTCGGCAACGTTGTATTTTCCGAACTATACATACATTGAGAAAAAGTGAGGTTAAAAAGCGTTTGACAGATGTCAGATTTGGAAAAGTGAAGTTAAAACCGCTTGACAGTTGTCAGAAAATTTCAAATAAAATTGGCTTTATATGTTGACAAAACATTACTTTGCGTTTGTTATTGATTAAGTATAGTATTTAATTCGTTAAAACGTCTTTAAGCACTCGTTTTTTTAAAACTCGCTCCGCTTAATTAAACAGCGTTTGTAAAACTTGTTACATAATTTACTATAATAAACATCAATTTTACAAATTAAATAAAGTAAATAACAAGTTTCAAAACCAACAATAAGAATTTTAATGAACTCGTTATTAATGATCATTAATCAGTATTTTTATCGCAACTTTTCAAATGTGTAATTATATTTTTAATTGTAACTTTCAATATATGATAATAATACCCAATAATAACTATAATTAAAAGAAAAACATACTATTTTTAGACAGATTATTAACCAAATTTTGCGAGCAAATTTAAAAGTAATATGAGCAAAATTAATTAGAACTTTTAAAAATTAATAATTTACCCTGCACTTCCCCCAAATAAGAATTTTATTCCGTTCGGAATTTTTTCCTGGGACCCCATCTTCTGCGCTGTTGTTGCCAATTATCACTGTCACTGTCACTTTTTTTACACTAATAACTTGTCAAATGACAATTGAAATATGACCAAGTCACTGCAGTGCAGTGGAGAGGTCAACAAGTTTGAAAGTAAGTAAAACATTTTTATAACCTTACTTTTTATAAATAACCATATTGCAACGCTGTCAACTCCCACGATCACATGTTACGAATATAAATCAATAATTTTACTGTTAATTGTACTATAAATAGTACAATGATGATGAATTGTCAGTGTTTTAGTTATTTTTATTCAATATAAATCACAACTATAATTTTAAAGTCCATATTTCAATTATTATAAAATACGTCATACAACGTCGCATTCATTATGACATTTTTAATTTTATATGTAATTTATAAATTGTAGTTTTTAGAATTTACAATAAAGTGCACTAAAATACCATATCATATCGGTAAATTAAGTTCGTTATTTCATTAGATTTAATCTAATAACGAAAAACTTAACTTTTGACGTTTCGATTCGGCAATCCATTATGCAGATAGGTGTTGCGGGTTGCGGAAAAACTAGGTCACCGAAAACTGTCAGATGTATTTAGTCCATTATTTAACAACAACAAACGATTTAAACAAAGTAAGTGCCGTTAACATTGCTTGTAGGAATAATAACTAAACGAATTTAAGGTTTCTTTTGTTGTCGTTGAAGGTTATGGGGTGATAACCTAAAAAATCGTATTGTTTCAGTTAAAATGGCAAGTAATGTCCAAGACTGCAGTTACTCGTGCGAAATTTGCGGTTTGGAGGGCTTGAGTGAGGATGAATTTCGTAGTCACACGCATACAGCCCATGTGGAGGGTAACGCAGTGTGTCCTTTTTGTGAATTGAGTGCCGTCTCACCTGCCGAACTGATTATCCACGTAAACCAGGCACATTTGGACTTTCTGACGCCGGAAAATGAATTAAACATGACGTTTATCGATGATCCCAGTCCTAGGTAGATAGGCTGTGGTTTGTTTTTTGGCAATAAAGTCTTTTTCTTTGTTTTTGCATTTGCAGCGAATTTAACTGTGTTAACGGGGAGAGTAGCCACAACTATTGGAATGGTCCATCTTATTCTAGTCATTCTAGTTCAAATTACAAAATAAGCAATGGTAGGGAGAGTAGTGGAAAGAAGGGAAATATTAATAATATTAATTTAACACCAAAGGTAAGAATACTGCGGCCTTTTCCTATAGAGCATTTGAACTGTCAAATCATAGAAAAAAAGGTTTTTCTATGTGTCAAATGGAGGACAAGGACATGCGCAATTATTACTATTATAGTTTAAACCGCGACCATATTTTCGTATTGCGCATGTCCAAGTCAAATGTTTTGTAAAAACAAATAAAAAAATTTTATAGTTTGTTTTTTTTAATCAAAATTTGACAACGTCAAAAATTGGGGGTTTAGTTGGCAAATTCTAGGGACCCTAAATTTATAATTGGCTACATTGAGTAAAACAAAATAATTTGTGGATTAATGCAGCACAAATTAATTATTTCATCAAAATGTTTGTTTTTAAAATTTCTTTTTTTTTATAGTGTTCTGTTATCTTTGGTATTGTTTATTATAATTCCAAGAATTAAATTATAAATATTAAATAAAATTAGTAAAATTTGATATATTATAAATACCAACCCTATTGAAAATGCCATATAGAACCATATAAAAACACGTATCTGGATTCTATATGGTTTCTATCTGGTTCAATATAGGTATTTGAAACAGGCATTTCACTATATATAGAACCAGATAGAAGATTACATTATAGAATCAGATAAAAACACTCTAAAACACTATAGAACCAGATAGGGAAACCTATCTGGAAATACATATAGAACAGAAACCAGATAAATACATCCATATACATGTCTTTATAAAGACATGTATATGGTTGTATATGGATTTATCTGGTTTCTGTTCTATATGTATTTCCAGATAGGTTTCCCTATACCTATGGTTGAATATGAAAATTTTTAAAATGGAAATCCATATTCAACCATATAGAATCCGTAATGTAAACCAGGACTTTCCATATAGGACCTATAAAACCATATAGAACCAGATACGTTTCCTTATTGGATTCAATATGGGTTCTATATGGCATTTTCAATAGGGAAAGTATATTTATATACAGTAGGTACAAACATAATCAAATATGTCTAATTACAAATAAAAAAACAAACTAACAATTAACTAAATTACTAATACCTACCTATTTCTTCTTCTGTTGCATGGTTTTTTAAATTAATTTTTGTTAGTTGGGATATGTTATTAAATTTTACTTTCGATAGGTAGATTTTTAATAAGGGGCCGTCGATAAATCTCGTGACGCTGGTGGGGGATCAAATAAAATCAAATAAAATTGTTTATTTTATATATTTTAGTCGAATAAATACAAAAAAAAATCGGAAAAAAAAATTAGGGGAAAAAGTTATAGGTTTTATATTGGTCGGAAACAAAAAATTCTTAAAACCATGCGTTCTTTCAATAAACATTTCTTAAAACCATGAGTTTTTGATTAAAATTCTAAAACCTTGTTTTTAAGATTTAACTTTTAACTTTTCATTTTTTAACGTTCTAAAACCTTGTTTTTATGGTTTAACAGTCTTTAAACCACAGACCTTTAAACCTTGTTTTTTTGGTTTATTATTCTTTAAAGCTAGGTTTTTATAGTTCTTAAAACCACGCGTTTTTTCATTTTGGTTTAACATTCTAAAACCTTGTTTTTATAGTTTAACTTTTAACCTTGTTTTTATGGTTTATAATTCTTCAACCCTAGCTTTTTATATTTAAACATTCTTAAAACCAAGCGTTCTTCCATTTTAACATTCTTAGACCAAAACCCATGGTTTTGGTTTAACATTCTAAAACCTTGTTTTTATGCTTTAACTTTTAACCTTGTTAATATGGTTTATAATTCTTTATATCTAGTTTTTTTATATTTAAACATTCTTAAAACCAAGCGTTCTTCCATTTTAACATTTTTAAAAACATGCGTTTTGATTTAAAATTCTAAAACCTAGTTTGTATGGTTTAACATTCTAAAACCTTGTTTTTATGCTTTAACAGTCTTTAAACCTTTTTTATATAGTGTGATTCCTTTTGAGTGTGGACACCTCTGTAACTTTTTTATTTATGGGCGGCTTTTCAAAAGACTATATTTTTGTATGACCAATAGGAAACGAGGTAAAACTATAATTTTTTTTAAAGGAGGCAAAAACGGGAATTTGGTAAAAATACAGTTGTCTGTACTAGCGTTGATTTAGTCCTTTTAAATTGTATTAATAATTTATAAAATCAATGATAGTGAAAAAAAACAATTTAATAATTACTGATTATGTACCCACTGTTTTATAAAATCGATTGATAACCTCACTGGAAAAAATGTTCGCGACATCTAAAATTGCCACTTAAACGACATGTTAGTAATTAGGTACAGGTAAAAAAAGATGCGACGCCGTTTTAATTGGGCGTGTGTTTTTTCTTGCACTTTGAAGGTGAACGGGGGCGGCGAGTCGAGTCCGATAATTTCGAGTCACGGTCACGGGTCGCCGCTGAGGTCCAGTTTGGATCTGAAGCTGAAATCGGCCGCCGCCAAGCTTCAGTGTCCGATGTGCAACTACACCAGCGCCAGTCCCAACGAGCTGGAGGAACATGTCAACAGGTAGGTGCATTTTGTGGAAATAAAATGATGTATTTATGAAAACACTGTTTTAAACACATGTATATATTTTGGCCTGCTAAACTTAAAAATAACAATATTTTTAATTTAACGAATTATTCCAATATTGCCTTAAAAACACTGTTCAATATTTTTTATTTAATTTTAAATATCGAATGAGATTTTTAATTCCCAATTTTAAATATGCCTTTGAATTAAAAATATCGTTTCATATTTTTAATTTCATCATTTCCTATAGTAATATTAACTAAAATAAAAAACTCCTGACAATTAAAAATATGGTTTTGATATTTAAAATTAAATTAAAAATATCGAACAATATTTTTTTCTTACTACCTCGACTCAAAATACGTTGTTTCGTCCCCGATTCCACGGCAGAAAGTTTACGTTTCTTGCATTGGTCAAGCTATACGCGCACACTCTAATAGCGGGAGTAATAGTATATTACACTACAAGGGCAGAAAGTGTGAGATTCCTGCACTGCGCGCCATGATGCCCGAGGCGAAGCCGAGGGCATCATGGCGCGCAGTTCAGGACTCTCACACTTTCTGCCCGTGTAGTGTATACTATTTTTCTTACTACCCTGCAGAAAATACGGGAAAAAATTAAATGTATATAAAAAAATTTGTGTCAAAATTAAAATCTGACGTTTAATTTAATTCTGACGTTTACATTCAAAATCAATCAAACTGTAGCGTTGTCATGGTAATTCAGCGGTGCCAATACAGTAAAAATAAAAGGTTGTATTTTAATTAACAAATTACTACTTTATAACAAATAAAAGTACCATTAAACACTTAAAACAACATAAAAAGTAAAAAAGTAAAAACATAAATTGTTTATTTGTTGTTATAATTGCAAAATTATGGTTTAAAACTGTCATATTTTTGTGTTTCTCATGTTGGCAGTACGAAATTTAAATGTTAAGCACGCGACTAAAAAATTTTTACTCCCGCTATTAAAGTGTGCGCGTATAGCTTGACCAATGCAAGAAACGTAAACTTTCTGCCGTGAAATCGGGGACGAAACAACGTATTTTGAGTCGAGGTAGTAAGAAAAATTTTTTTAGTCGTGTGCTTAACATTCAAATTTCGTACTGCCAACATGAGAAACACAAAAATATGACAGTTTTAAACCATAATTTTGCAATTATAACAACAAATAAATTTATGTTTTTACTTTTTTACTTTTTATGTTGTTTTAAGTGTTTAATGGTACTTTTATTTGTTATAAAGTAGTAATTTGATAATTAAAATACAACCTTTTATTTTTACTGTATTGGCACCGCTGAATTACCATGACAACGCTACAGTTTGATTGATTTTGAATGTAAACGTCAGAATTAAATTAAACGTCAGATTTTAATTTTGACACAAGTTTTTTTATATACATTTAATTTTTTCCCGTATTTTCTGCCGGGTTGCAAGAAAAATAGTATACACTACACGGGCAGAAAGTGTGAGAGCCCTGAACTGCGCGCCATGATGCCCTCGGCTTCGCCTCGGGCATCATGGCGCGCAGTGCAGGAATCTCACACTTTCTGCCCTTGTAGTGTAATATACTATAATTCCACGAATTTCCAATATGATATGAAATAAAAATTCTTTTTCCACTTGGTGATTCAACTGAAAATAAAATATTAAATTTCTTAGTTGGTTACAAGATAAAGAAAATATCAAAGCAATATTTGTAATTGAATTAAAAATCTCCAGCAATATTTGTAATTCACTCAATTTTTAAGTGGGAAAGAAACATTTGCAACTTTTATTTCTACCTACTTAAGTTTGAAATTCGTTCAATTAAAAATCACATATGATATTTTTAATTCATTGTGAGCAAATATAGATATAAAACGCTTGCAAATATTTTTTAAGTTTAAGCTTAAATGTTAAATGTTAAATGTGATATTTTTATTTCGTTGAATTTATAAGTTGAAAAAGAAGGATTATGACTTTAAATAAATCAAGATACATTTAAAAAAGATTTAATTTAATTAAATATATATATATATATATATATATATATTGTAGCATTAAATTTTTCTTAATGCGACAATTCATTTTTAATGATACAACGTTTAAGTCTTGAAAAGTATTTTATTTAAAAACTAAATAAATGTATTAATGTTATGTGGGTTGCCTATATTATGTTATAAATAATTTAAAGTAATTGTTTATGTTTTGTCCTATTTTTGGAATTTCCTTTTATTTTTGTTTGAATTCATAAAGTAAACTAAAATTATAAAGAGGCGTTTATATGGTTAAACTGAAAATAATTTATCAATACTTACCTTTTTTTTAGTTTTTATAAAAGTTATTTTGTTAACTTTTGACTATATCAATATCCATTTATTTTTGAACTTATTCTAAAATCCAATTGTTTTATTTAAATGGGAAGTCAGTCTTCAAAATCCTCCTGATCAAATTAAATATTAAAGGTATACTTATATTTCTAATTAATTTAAATATTTGGCGCGGTTTATAATTAGTAATTTTTTGTTACGCACACCGAATTCTTCGATGCACGTGTGGATTTAAAATCACGGATTTATGTTCGATGCATTGCGTCTTGCGTATCTACCTGCTTATAAGTTTTTGAGTTTCACTTTCAAATTAATTAAAAGTGAGTTTTGTATTGCCGGAAAAAATCTGTAAGTTTATTTTAATTTATTTTGAAGGCAAATATTTATTTTATTTTCCTCCCATAGGGCTTTTTCGGTATATGCTTTTTCGGTATATGCATTTTTGGTATATACTTTCCTTTTTTTGGTATATCCATTTTCTCCATTTTTTTGTACCATTACGGTTTTGCCGTGTACTTTGTACATCCTACTTCGATCCTACTTCAATTACGGTTGCTGTCTGCAACAAAAGTTTCCAACTGGAAAAATCTGGGAAGAAACAAGTTTCTCTACAAATTCACGTGGCCTGTTTCCTGTCGCAAGAATACTTACGCCGACTTCACCAGGAGCAGCCCTTCCAAGAAAAAAGAACCGTTCAAGAAAGAATTCTGGAATAAAGAACACCATCAGAAAAATAAACCAAGAAAGAACACCATCAGAAAAAAAAAACCAAGAACGAACACCATCGACGCCAGACGAAATTTGGAACTGGTATTATTTTTTATTGTTTTTTTTTCTCTACTATTTTCAATAAAAACAATTGGTGCCCAACTTATCTTAATTTTCTCAACCTCTAGTAAAAATATAATCCACGAACCCAGCTCTCCTCTTAACCACTGAGTGTCCGAAATCCATGTACCATTAATTTTGGTTACATATTTAGTGGCGCCCAACGTGGGGCCCCGATTTTCTGAGGTTGAGAAAATAAGATTTTTAGATAGCTTACACTTTGAAAAGGTGGTTATTGATTAATTTTTGATTAACCATTCAATAAATTTATTAAATTGATATTTTATAGGCAGCCAAATACTTTTTATTATTTAAACGGTTTAGCTAATTAAAATTTTTGTTCCTAAATTTGAGTGAAATGAAATATTACGCACAAAAATAATTATTTACGGTGTATATTTTACGTTTCGTATTTTCCTGAGAATTATCTAAAATTTTTGATTGGGAAATTATTATAAAGTTTACGGGTGTAAAAAAAACACATATCTTTACACAAAAACAAAAGTTTTTTGGTAGATATATTGCTGAAAGTTTCAAGGTCTTCGGTTGGTGTTAAAAATTTTACTGCGATTAGTTACGTTTAGAAAAAACGGGTTACAATTATTTCTCGTGTTAAATACTTTGTTTACTATAAACGTTTGTTTTAAATTTATTGAAAATATTTAACAATAATTGTTAAATATCATAATTATTATATTTACACTTTTGGTTTGGAATACTGTAATTTAGATTGGTTTTATTAAATAAAATTAAAATGGGCGAAATGAGACCAGGTTATTTACTTAGTAATGAACTAGACTATGAATTGAGAATACGGGGTATAGAATCTTCAAAAAAGGAGATTAAATCTAAGCGAAAAATTTTAAACGAACTTTTAAAAACTTATGCGGTCGACGATTTAGAATTAAATGATCCCAAGTTTAATTTCGATAGTGATAAAGAAACCATTAATAACACTTTGGAGGTAATTGCGGGGTTAATTAACGAATTCGACGGTCCTCCAACTGACACACAATATAAGAGAATAGAAAGTAGGTTAATTAGTATAACAAATAGGGTTAAAAGAATTCCAACAGATAACGATGAGGATAGGGTAGAGTTTAAAAATGAATCGCATGCCACCTGTATCGAATTAAAGGCAGAACTTTCAGAAAAATGTTCAAGTGTTGCTAGTGATTCAGTCTTAAATTCGACCACATTTAATCAAACCGCGCTAAATGTTTCACAAGTACAATCAATTAAATCTATACCCGTTTACAAGTGGAACGTTAAGTTTGATGGACAATCTATGTCTATTAATTCATTTTTGGAAAGAATAGAAGAGCTATCGGTCGCCAGAAAGGTTTCGCATGAAGAACTGTTTAATTCAGGTATTGATTTGTTTGAAGGTAACGCGTTGATATGGTTTAGGAGGATAAAATCAAATATTAGTAGTTGGGATGAGTTAATTGTTAAATTAAAAGAGGATTTTTTAGTAGATAACTATGATGATTTACTTTGGGAAGAAATTAAAAGTAGATGTCAGGGTAGAAATGAGCCTGTTTGTATTTTCATTGCTTTCATGGAATCCTTATTTGACAGACTAACAGATGCGCCAAACGAAACAATCAGGTTAAAGTACATTAAACAAAATTTGCAGCCTCACTATATCACTCAGCTAGCTTTACACGATATCAAAGATATCAATGATCTGTCTAAACTATGTAGGAAAATAGACGCGGCGTATAACTTGCGAAAAAAACAGAACCCTGTTAACAAAAAAATTGCTTGTTTAGAACCCGATCTAGCTTATCTGTCACAAGATAAAAATTTAGTTTGTTGGAACTGTAAAAAACCAAATCATAATTTTAGA